ATCACACAAAAGTTAGCTTTTTTTTTTTAAGCACAGAGGGGCCCAACAAGCAATGAAGAAAAAATGAGAAAAGAAAAGGAAGCAATCCATACCAACGATTTCTTCTCACAAGGTTCGCACTCTTCCAACAGCTTGTCGAAAAGAAAGAAATCAAAAGGGGATAACCCCAAAAGCTGACCCAAACCCTTCCTTGCTAACGATTACTCCAACAAATGATGGATGGGTCAAAAGGAGTGGGTGTTTGGCTATCAAAACAAAGAGCAGAACCTATAGGCATGAAGAACCCAACGATTTCCTTAATAGATTCAAGAAATTGCAACAAAAAAAGGCATACCTTGTTAATCCTCTCAAATAATAGCCTCAGATGCACCAAGAAAGAAGGAATTGGTTAGTTTGCAAGAAAAGTCTGCGCAGAGACAATCTCATCTAGCAATAGAAAGTGGGTTTCTTCATGCGAGTAATAATGGAGTCGGGTTTGGCTTGAGCTCCCTTCCAATGGCCGTAGACAGGTTGTTCTTCTTGATTTCACTTTCTCTCCCTCTTGCTCTGAGTTCGTTGGAGGAAGAAAAGGAAAAAGAAGACGAAGGTGATGGGGAGAGGATTACTCTAGTATGCGTAAAGAGGAAGGATAAGAAGGAAGAAATAATAAATGAAGAAGAAGGAGGAAGTTGGTATTGGGGAAACCACAAAATAATTGCTATAGCTTATGAATTTGATTTTTGGGTCGGGTTTAATTATTCGTCCCATTCCAGCACTTATCCATGGCCCTAATAATTAAGGGGGCTAATGTTGAGGCCCAAAAATTCAGGGTTGGGCCCAAATAAATTCTCGGCCCAACGCAATGCCTTATTAAGAAAAAGACATGATTCGGAGTATGCGGAATTCGTCATGCCTGCTTTCACGAGCCACGACCATGTGCCATGCCAAATAAATATGCAATTTATCACGCTAAGAATTAAAATGAACCTATAAAAGGCATTGGCTCTTCAAGCTCATGCTAATCATTTCGTCAAGCATTATTTCTCTTTTCAAAGACTATAAAATTCAAGCACACCAATTGACATGTCATGCTAAGCAGGAAATCATTATTTCATACATAGCCACGCTACAAGCTTAAGTGGGCCCAAACCACGCAAATGCCCGGGGCTTGCTTGAGTAGGCTGTGGTATGGATGGTAACGAGCTTTCATGGAGCCCACTGATGAGCCAAGAAATGGAAGTTTTGGGCTACTTGGGAGCCCAAAACTCAAGCCCATTTCTTGAGCCCAAACACATGGGTTAGCATGAGAGAGGGGAGAAAATGATCCAATGCCTTAGGAGGATATCTAATAGTCTGCCACAACACTTAGACAAAGCCAGCATCAATAGAATGCCTAAAATCAACAAAGCCTTTTCCAGCAGTTTGACGAAAACCCATCGCACGCTGGAAATAATAGGCCAACGACCCAATATTGCACACGAACCTAGCCTAGCGACTTGTAGAAAAGCTGGCGCCGTGCTCCATCCTTGTTAAGACTCCAAGATGGTCAAATAGGAAGCCATGACAGAGACCAACAAAAATCCATGAGTGTAGGAAGAAGACCCAGCGGACAAAAGCTCCACCTATCTCATTTTCCGTTGCAAGCTCTGTTTTGAAAACCAAGGAGAAAAGAAGGAGGCGCTCCACCCCTATGGAGAAAAACCAGCTGTGCCAAAACCTTGGAACCACAAAGAACTCCTTACCTATGCACCTTGGATGAGAGAATTTCACCAAATAGGATTGAGTGGAAAGAAGCAACGAAAAAAGGAGGAAAATGTTAGATGAAATTAGGGTTCTTCAAACCTATAAAAGAGAGCTTCTTCTGCCCAGAAAATGATCATCCAGAGCCTGACCAAGCTTTGTCAAGCGGTTGAGAATTTACTCAAGCCACCCAATCTTCTTCCTCGTTTGTTTTCTCATTTCTCTAAGAAAGAAATCTCTCAAATCTTCCTCTGTTCCATTTTAACCCTTTGTTCTCTATAAAAAACTCACGCTTCTCTCTCTCTCTCTCTCTCTCTCTCTCTCTCTCTCTCTCTCTCTCTGTGTGTTTATGCTAAACTCATGATTGTTTTGCTCCCATGCCACAAGCTTTTCAAGCTAAGCCATTAATCAATCTGTCATGTTTATTTGGCTATTGGTGAAAAGAACCTGAGGGTGTTTTTCTAAGGTTTCATCAAACCTTTCAAAAACTCTTTTAGGAGCTTGGTTTATGAACTCAGATACTTGGGGAATTTATGTTCGTTTTCTTCTTACGACAGCCCAAGCCCATTCGTCAGGCTGCTGGAACAAAATGATCTCCACACACTCTTATAGGGCTCGCTCCGTATTTTATTTCACTAATTCAAACCGTCTATTTTGTAGATATTCATTCAAAAATATCTCTACCAAAAACAAAACAAAAAAATCATTTGAATCCGATATCATTTGATCACTCAATTGAATTATTGAAATTTTTGTACTTTCTTGAAGTACCGTGTTCATTGATTTTGTATGACACAATTGGATGTCGAAACGGTTTCTGAATTATCTAATTTTTTGCAAGGATGATTTATGAATGTAGACTTAAAAAATAAATAGTTTGGATTGTTAAAAAAAAAAATTTGTTAGGGACCCTAACGGGTGTCCCTTAAATAAAATTATTTGAAAGATCCCTCAATAAAAAGAGACATATATATATATATATATATGTCAAACCGTAATTTGCCACATATGTCAAACTGTAATTTGTAGAGGAGTATGTCCTTTTAGGAAAAAATGCAAACAATATCCACATGTGATTGAATTCGTGTGAAAAGTCTCCATACTTGACTGCCATCTCAACTTGCTATAGTTTAAGATCATAGTCGACTTAATGATGGAATTAAAAAGTTATAAAGCAAAAGTTTTCTTTGCAACTTAGTGCGTGTATTGTATAATGAAGACCCCCCTTGTCCATCGACGAAAAGGAACAAACACTAGTGGTGGGTTGGAATAGAAATTGTATATGACTGGTTGTTGAAAATCCAAGTGTTTCCTTCTCATTATTTCTAGCTACCCACAAATTTTAAAAAAAAAAGATAAAGAAAAAGAAAAGTTGACTAGCTACTTGATTTTAGTCACTCGTGCAGTGCATGCTCAGTTAATTATTATTTAATTACCATGTGTTGAGTTGAGAGGTCATTGTCCAGAAATAAATTAAAATTGAAAAGTATTAATTTTAATTTTTTTTTTTTTTTTTTTTTTTTTTTTTTGGGTTTCGAGTACACACAACTCCTTTAGCTGTATCAAGAGAGGAAAACTCTCTTAATTAAGAAAACTAAGCAATCCAAAATATCAGAAAAATATCTCTGAGAACCAAGTGAGTTTTAGACCTCTGAGTTCAGACTAAAAAAAAAAACCCTCTCTTCTGTGTAATACTAATCGATAGGGCCTCATTGGTAAGTGCTACAAGATCTCGTACATTGGAACCCATGGTTATGGACCCGAATCCATTAGTATGGAACATTTTCTTTTCCAAGTGTTATATTATTGAATCCGCAGAACTACTTCGATATCTATTTTTTAGTTCCTATCCACGTAGTTTTTGTGAATTCGTACAACTTTTGTTCTTTTATTACATTTCTTTCTGGTTTCTTTTTTTGAACCGTTCTTTGTTTTTTTTTTCGTGATTTAAATTCATTCAATATTCAATTCACAATTACAGATGAAACGGAAGAACTTCCATTGGAATCCCTATCTAAATTCACAATAGTAGGACAAATTAGATATATCTTTAGTTCATATATACCTAGTTAATATCACATATACATGCCTTTCCCCCATACCGTAAACCAAATATTCTATCTTAGATTTAATGGGGCTCTAGAATCATTCTTCGAAACATCGACAAGAGTTGTCTTATAGCGATTAGATTTCATACACCTAGTTCGACCCCCTACCCCCCCTTACTCCGCTAACCAATCTTTTTTTTAATCTCGTTTTTTGTAAATCCTTAATCTTCCATTTTTATTATCTCGCATGGATAGGTACAATCAATTTAAATGGACGAATTTGTTAGAACGAATCATTGCATAGAAATATTAGTATTTGATTGATCTAAATTCATGTAATTTAGTATTTATTCAATTTTTTTGGTCAATCCGTAAATTGAATAAAATCGACTGAAATGAGAATCATTCTCCATACCATCTTTTTTTAATCGCACGTCGTAAACAGATACAATAAAAATTCTTACTCAGATTATGACTCCGAATATTTATTTTATATTGGAATTGAATAAACAAAACACTATAAAGAGAATATTCATTGGAGGAAAGTATAAATAAATAGGCCAGACAAAAACTTTAGGAAAAAGATCTTTTAGATCTCTTTCCTTTTTTTTTTACAATTCCCGAATATCGTAATATTTTTTACTATTACTCTAGATCGTATATACCTTTATTTAATTTATACTTACCTTATTTGTATATTTATCTTCCCTAAGTGGATTACCTTGAGTCGCGCATACATTGCGTCAGGCTAAGCTAAAAAAAGACTATGTAACTAGTCAATGATGACCTTCCATGGATTCGCCTATATAAGCCGCAGCTAAGGTTGCAAAAATAAGAGCTTGAATACCGCTTGTAAATAATCCAAGGAACATGACAGGTATAGGAACTACTGAAGGTACTAAAGAAACAAGAACAACAACTACTAATTCATCAGCTAAAATATTTCCGAAAAGTCGGAAACTAAGCGATAGGGGTTTTGTGAAATCTTCTAAAATGTTAATGGGTAAAAGGATTGGAGTTGGTTGAATGTATTTACCGAAATAACCTAATCCCTTTTTTGTAAGGCCCGCATAGAAATATGCTACTGAAGTAAGTAAAGCTAAAGCAACGGTAGTATTTATATCATTTGTGGGCCCGACTCCAATCAAGAATAGTGGCGTTGGGTTTCTCGACCCTTTGCCTTAGGATTAGTCAGTTCTATTTCTCGATGGGGGGCAGGGGAAGGGATATAACTCAGCGGTAGAGTGTCACCTTGACGTGGTGAAAGTCATCAGTTCGAGCCTGATTATCCCTAAACCCAATGTGAGTTTTTCTATTTTTACTTGCTTCCCCGCCGTGATCGAATGAGAATGGATAAGAGGCTCGTGGGATTGACGTGAGGGGGTAGGGATGGCTATATTTCTGGGAGCGAACTCCAGGCGAATATGAAGCGCATGGATACAAGTTATGCCTTGGAATGAAAGACAATTCCGAATCCGCCTTGTCTACGAACAAGGAAGCTATAAGTAATGCAACAAAGTTCATCTTGCATAAAATCCAACACAACAAACAGAGCTAGAAAATTTCCTTACAGATAAGGTGATAGTCTAAAAGATGATTCCAAGTCCAAAAACCGAGAATATATAATTACAACAAATATTTGTTCATTGTGTATTGAAAAACAATAGCGGTTGTACATCGAATGAAGAACCTGTACCGCCATCCGTACAAGCACCTGTTGATGAAGAAACAACATCCCAAACCTCATTTATTTCCTGAGTTTGGACACATCGGACCTCTGGGAAAACTTGTTGAACATCAGTCTCAGCTCTAACTGACAATTGAATTCCCTCCAACTCCACTGCTACTTCTTTCATAGTAGGACGATTCCTTCCATTCAAATTCAAGCATCTAACAGCAAGGTTAGCAACTGCTGTAATCTTTTCCTTTCTACCATCCTTCATAACTTGAGAATCAAGAATATCAAATAGAAGATTATTCTCCATGGAAAGCAGGAAATAAGTTGCTAGACTTCTGCTTTCTTGTGACCTCATGAAAGAAACTGGTTTTTGTCCAGTCAAGAGCTCAGCAAGGACCACGCCAAAGCTATAAACATCGCTCTTCTCTGTAAATTGGCTTGATTGGAAGTACTCCAAATGAGTAGAAAAATTAGGGTAACGTACAAATAAGTACTGAAAAAAAGAATTCAAATAATTTGAGCAGGACTTTTGATTTGGACATATACAATGGTAGGCTTGCGTACCTTGACATCCATCAAGAAGATAGGAGTTTTTTTGCAAGAACATCGCTCAAAATTGTACCGCTCATAATCACTAGGATTGCAGTTCATGTTTTGAAGGGAAATGTTAAATGTGATTCCTCCGCATTGCACCGAACAATTTGGTTTTGCCAAGGATGCTTCTGATGCTACTGCTAGTAGTTCATTACTCATCGACCACAAGAACAGAGTGATATGAAGTAGCAACTGGCCAACCATTATGTTTCTTCTTCCTTCTCTTTAATTACCTATCTGCCTGCCTAGTAGGAAGCTTGGAATTAGAATTTAGCTAGCAAAGAAAAAAAATGTTGACTAGCTATTTGATTTGAGTCACTCATGCAATGCATGCTCAGTTAATTATTGTGGCCATCACAAGACGAATCACCATTTGTTGAGAGATCATTGTCCAAAAATAAATTAAAATTGAAAAGTAATTTTTCAAGTACATAAAAACGTTGTGAAAGTTTCTCCTTCTCAAATCAATGATTACGTTCACATATACAGCTCTATTATAAGAACAGAAACGGTGTTGAAAGATCATGCGTGAAAATTTTGCATAATATTTTGCTAGATTATGCAGAACAAGCGAAACAGAGTTTTTCTTTGTTACTCCTTAACCCACTTGAAGAACACAGACACTACAAAAAAAGGAAGCAATAGTCACATTTTTTTAACTAATTTATTTTGGTGACAATTATGGGTGGTCAACGCTCTTAACCAAATTAGTCACCATTATTTATGTCTAATAATTTAAATATAATAAATTTTGTTGTAGCTGACACATGAATAGTAATAATGTAATAAAATATAAGAAGATAATCTTTCCCATAATAAAATATTTACAATGGTAATTTAATAGAAAAATATATACAAATTTATAAATAAACCCAATCCTAGACATGTATTTATAAAAAAACCCAAGCAGTATTTAAAACATAGAAACACACCCAAAATTAACCTCAAAATCAACAATTGTATATTTTTTGGGTGTGTTTATAAATAGGTTTTGAGTGTGTGTAATGATGGGTTTTGGGTGTGTTTATAAAGTGTTTTGGGTGTTAGGTTTTTTAATAATTTCAGCCCCTATTTTGGGTGTTTTAGTGAAACTCCCAAAAATATATGGATGGAATCTTTCTCACTAACAAGGCTCTTTTCCCTTCCCTCTATATAATTAGTAATAGTTACTCTAAATAATATATATTATAATAAAAAATGTGAGAGCAAGCATGTGCATCTGAAGATGCGCACAAACCAACCCCTCTTTTTCTATCTTTTGTAATTTTTATTCTCCCCATATCTCATCTCTCCCAACGCCTTCATTTTTTTTCCCATCTTCTTCTTCCTTCCGTCACTTTCCATCTCTTTCTCTCTTTTTATTTTTATTTTCCTTCTTCGTCTCTCTCTCTCTCTTTTTCTTTTTTCTTGCTTCTTCATTTGAAGTTTCTTGGTTTGAATTATTTGGCTAAAAGTTTCAACTCTTATGGAAGCATGATATATATATATATATATATAATATGGGTCTTCTTGACTCAGATTTTTTTCAGCTTTAATTGTGATTTCAGCAAGAATTGGGTGATGGGTATTTTGGTTTGAGTGTTGTAATATGGTTTTCGGTAAGGGATTTGGTTTTCGGTAAGGGATCTGGTTTTCGATAAGAGATGGTTTTCGATAAGGGATCTGGATTTCAGTTAAAAATAAAAATAAAAAAGAATTTCAGTTATATAACCAACACAAGCAAAGGTAAGAGATGGTTTTTTGTAGTGAGAGTTTGAGCTTCATTTTATTTTTACCATATAACCAACACAAGCGAAGCCCCAAGACAGGTTCCATAAGAGCATCTCCACTCATAAGGGCTAAGTCTAGGGTAAGGGCAAGCAAGGGCAGCCACTATTTATGTGAATGGTGTCAGCCTTGCCATTTGTGGTTCCACCCATGAAGGCTAAGTCTAGGGCAAGTCTAAGGCAATTACTATTCACTTAAATTTATTTTTTATTTTTATACTTAAACCTTTGATTTTGATAAGCTTTTCGGATAAGATTTTCAATTCCCAAGTGTTAATATTTATCGTAAAGTCCTCACCTAAAAATCAAGATAACATTTTTGGATAAAATTTTGAAATTAAATTGGTGTGGAAAGTGAATAATATTTGTAGGTATGTATAGAAAAAATTTCCAGAATGTTTTGATATTTTTTTTAAAAAAAATTTCAATTTTTTACTGTTGGATTATGCAAGATTTTTTTATCGGAGGCTCCAGGAGAAGCCACATGGCTTGTAACCATTGGGCAATGTGGGCTGGTGGGTCCAACAGTAAAAAAAAATTGAAAATCAACTGCTGACGTCAACAGCCCAGTCAAGATCTGCCCTTGGGCTTGCCCGGGTTGCAGGTGCTACGTTGGAGCCGCATTGGGCTAGCTAGGGGGGCCTTTTGCCCAGTTTGATAGCAGCGTTGGAGCTTCTCTAAGGCGATAGTCTAAAATCTTTTAACGCCGTCTAAAGTATAGTTTAATACAAGAAATATTTTTTGAGTGTGACTTAAATGGCAAATAATTAATTAATTAATGGTGATTGACTATACTCTCCAGACCAATTTCTCTTAATCCAGCTAAATATTCGAAATCTAACACTTTCAAAACACTCTGTTGATCTAATCATAATTAATATCGAGTGATTTGTGTTTAAATGGAAACCATTCAGTCAGTTTAGCTAATCAGCCACTATGATCTTCTTGGTTGAAATTGCAGTCACATTCTAACCGGAAAAGTTCAGGAAGGAGAAAAACATAACATATATGGAATGGAACAAGCATTAGAATATTATAGTTAAGAAATATTTAATTATTGTTCAGTGAGACATTAAAGGTAATAGTGGAACTTCATGTGATGATGAAGCAACCACCATCCAAACCTGGCTTTGTGCCTGTTGAGCTTGAAACGACATCCCAAGGCTCAATTGATTCAGTTCGAACATATTCAACTTCTTCATAATTTTGTTCACCATTTGAAGTTTTTTTCTGACGTTTGAATCCCCTCCAGCTCTGCCGTGACCTCTCGCATTATAGGGCGATTCCTTCCACTCAAATTCAAACACCTCCTTGCAAGGTTAGCAACTATGATGATATCTGCTTTAGACCCTCCCTTTACAACTTCAACATCAAGAATTTCAAACAAGCAATTTAACTGCATCGAAATGATGAAGTATGTGGCAAGACTTTTGCCTTCTTCTTGTGACGTTCTAAAAGAAATTGGTTTTTTGTCCTGTCAAGAGCTCAACAAGGACAACTCCAAAGCTATACACGTCACTTTTCTCCGTAAATTGGCTTGATTGAAAATATTCAGGGTCCAAGTAACCAAATGTGCCGTGTACAAGTGTGGTCAGGTGAGTTTGGTCAAATGGCAACTGATCTTGAAGTTCCAAAGTCAGTAGCTTTTGCTCTGTATTTTGCATCCAAGAGTATGTTGGTAGACTTTATATCTCTGTGATAAATGGGAAAGGCAGCTGAAGCATGTAAATAGGAAAGAGCTCCTGCAATTTCCTTGGCAATTCGTAAGCGAACTTCCCATGTAAGTGGAAACTCCTCATTCTGCTCAAATCACGGATTTCTAGTTGCACAATCTGTTTTTAAAATTGGGTTTGATTAACTTTTTGGCGTTCAATTCATGTTGGTATTTGCGTTAGTAAAACTTACACGACATTGTCATGTGGCCTTCATATTCTTTTCCTTATGCATTATTGGCATGGCATTGTCATCTTTCATAAGTGATTGCAAGACTGAAACATACCTATAAGAATCAGTGTGATCTTTGTCTTTCCACCGACTCTGTGTCTGTAGCATGTATACGTCCCATAATAGTTCATACAATGAGGGGCCCCAGGCCCACATCTGTTTTGATCTGTGCATTCATCAATATCTGCAATGTAGAGACAAGAAAGCAAATGAAAATCATGGTGAAAGATTATCACGAAATACAAACCAACAAAGCTGACTAAAATGCCATAATTTGGTGCATGGTAAACAAAAGTGTGGAACAGATGACAAATTGTTAATTAATTTGTGCATGTGTTTGAATTTTTTTGAGAGATGGTAGATGTTTGTTTACCGTGACAATCGTAGCCAAGATAGGGATTTCCCTCAAAACCCCGAGGACAGGAACATACAAGCCTTGGCCGAGTGGAAGTGGCATTTAGTTTTTCGCAGTAGGGTTTAGGGTCATCATAAGCCCTGGGAAATTGTCCAGTGAATCTGTGAAATACTGTGACTGAAGTATTTTCCAAGCCTAAGCTCCAATCTAGCACCACCGGAACGCTGTCCATATCCTTTAGGACACTAAAATTGGATGCCGTAAAATTGTTCCTAAACCACTCTTGGTCAACCAAAAAATGCATATATATCCTTGCATGCCCTTGCTCTGCTATCATCTTCTGTATCAGTACTGATGAAACTGAGATGCGGTGGGATGCTAGTCTGGCAACAGTTGACACCGATTTCACAATCTTCAGGGCTTATGCTAGTCCCTTCACAAATTGACCTGCATCCTCCAACAAGATACTTCTCTGAGTACTTTTCTGAGCTCACCGAGGCAAGGTAGCCACAACTCACTGCTGTGAATTTGTTGTGTTTCCCAGAGTATACAAAAGGGCTTCCACTCAAATTCGCAGGTTGCTGACCTCTGTATTCGCCGCAGAAGAAAGCAATGGGGTTGTTAACTTGAAGCGTGCCATTAGCATAAACGTTCAGCACTTCCAACTGGGCACGCCTCAAGTAAAGCTTGTGAGGACTCTCACTAGAAGACTGGTTGCACACCATTTCGAACCATTCGTCAAAGTAGCAATCTTTATGAGGTCCAATGCCGAAAGGGAATGGGATGCTAATATTTCCGCAATGTGTTGCGCAATTATGCTTTGCCATTGGTGTTTCAGCTCCCGATGCTGCTGTTGTAGTACTTGAGCTCCATAACAGCAGAACGAATGGTACCAGATGAACTAGCAAATCATATTGCATCTTGTCATGCATTCCTCTGTTTCCTCCTCTGTTTCTTCCAAGTTATTGTTTGCTAAGAAGAATACGTATGTAATGAGAAAGAAATGATGAAATGGAAAAGTAAAAGATTCTCAGACAAAAAGTTTGTTTGCTACTTGGTGCTTGTATTACTAGTACTTTTCTTTTTGTAAGGTGAGTGGAAATTGTATATGATTCGTAGTTGAGAATATTCAAGTATATTACTAGTACTCTTCTTCTTATTTTGTCGTTTTCAAGTACATAAAAATGTTGTGAAATCAAATCAATGATTACATAGAGATCATGTTTTCATATTTAACCGTGGAAGTTGGAGTATTGACTAAGCCATATCGTAACCATCACCATCAGCATCCCTTCGAGAAAGAAGTTCGGGTTGAATTTGCTTTCCCATTTTATAAATATTTTCCAAAATGTGTTTGGGAGTCTTCGAAATAGAAATGGAAAGGAATAATATTGGTTTTTATGTTCAGACCACAACTTTTTATGATCATTTTACTATTGTATGCATCCTTAAATCGTTTATGTAGGCCATGGGGATCTGTTATCTTGTGTGGATAAAATTACCCAACAGAAAATGCTTGGGCCGGAATCATATTGCATTCCCTTTGTTTCCTCCTCTGTTTCTTCTCTGTTTCTTCCTCTGTTTCCAAGTTGCATAATCTCTTCCAACTGTCCAAACTACAAGGCCCTGTCGATAGGCCGTGAAGGGAATCAATTGTTGGCTAGAATTTATGCTATGATCGAGCTGTGTGGAAAAAGTAAACCTAAGCAGCCAGACTTGACCGTAATCAATTCTACTAATCGTTTGTGTAGGGCATGGGGATTTCTGTTATCTTGTGGGATTAAAAATGCTTTTGCATAATCGTATTATCATGCATTCCTCTCTTCCTCTCTTTCACCTATGACCTTCTGGATTGGAAGTTGAAACTGCACTCACATTCTGATCGAAAAAGTTCAGAAAAGAAGCAAAACATAACATTTATGGAACACGCATTACAATATTACAATTAAGAAATATTTAATTATTGTTCACCATGACTTCAAAGGTAAGAGCGAAATTTCATGTAATGATGAAGAAGGACCACCATCCAAACCTGGCACTGTTCCTGTTGAGCTCTGAAACAATATCCAAGTCTCATATCTTTGAATCGAACAAAATATTCAACATCATCAATCTACTAATTTTTTTTTTTTTTTTTTCCATTTTTTTTTTTTTTTTTTTTTTTTTTTTTTGAGATTTGAATCTACTCCAGCTCCGCGGTGACCTCTCTCATTGTAGGGCGCTTTCTTCCACTCAAATTCAAACACCTCCTTGCAAGGTTAGCAACTGCTATGATATCTGCTTTAGACCCTCGTTTCACAACTTGAGCATCAAGAATTTCAAACAGGCGATCTAACTGCATCGAAGTAATGAAGTACGTGGCAAGACTTTTGCCCTCTTCTTGTGACCTGTTAAAAGAAATTGGTTTTTTTTCCAGTCAGAAGCTCAACAAGGACCACTCCAAAGCAATATACATCACTTTTATCCGTAAATTGGCTTGATAGGAAGTATTCTGGATCCAAGTAACCAAATGTGCCATGTACAAGTGTGGTCTGGTGAGTTTGATCGATGGCAACTGATCTTTAAGTTCCAAAATCAGCAACTTTTGCTCTGTATTTTGCATCTAAGAGTATGTTGGTAGACTTGATGTCTCTGTGATAAATTGGAGGGGAAGCTGAAGCATGTAAATAAGAAAGAGCTCCTGCAATTTCCTTGGCAATTCGTAAGCGAACCTCCCATGTAGTGGAAACTCCTCATTTTGCCCATGGATATACTGGGAAAGGTTTCCATTGGGTATAAATTCCTAAACCAAAATGGGAACCTCCATCTCTAAACAGCAACCCAGTAGTTGAACCACATTTCTGTGGTTGATTTGTGAAAGAATCACAACCTCATTAATGAAATATGAAAATTGGCTTTCGTCCACTATTTTAGATTTTTTCACAGCAACAATTGTTCCATCTGATTACCATTCGTAAAATTAGAAGATCAATTGGCAGATCTTAACAAAAGCTGTTTGTGGTAGAGTATTTCATGACTCACTTACCAAGTTGGGCATTGGTGACATATATGCATCAACTTGAGTATGAGTGTTGACATGAGTCTTCTAATTAATCAAGGAGATTTATTTCCTTAATTAATTAAGGGATTTACTTTCCTATTCTATATAGTTGACAAATCATTGTACAATTAGGAGATACTATCCTAATTGATTACTGTATCTATTTCCTTGTAAAGAACTCATGTAAACTCCTATATATACCTCCTTATGGAGAATAATAAAACTCAACCTAAAGTATTCAAACCATATTCATATTTTAGCACTTTGGTGGTAATAGATTATGCTAATGAGATAGAACAAAGAGTTCTCTTTTTATTTATTTATCAATTCTCCCTTACTCGAGGATTTACCAATTTTGTTCAAATTTTGAACGATAGTGTATGAAATTTGCCGATCAACTGAACTAGAGAACCTTCCTCTTAGCCCATCTACTTTCCTTTGATTCCCAGTCGAGAAAAGAAATGGCATATAGCTTCCAACTTATTAATTGAAGATTAACTCCAAACAATATCATACTTTGGAAAAGAAGGTGGTAGGGGATAGAAGAGAAATACTACTACAACAAAAACAAAAAAAAAAAATAAAAGGGCATAAAACTCCACTTGCATATAACCATATGATATCTCATAACAGTAACAGTTCATAGGGTAACACAAATTTTAAAAAACCAAGCAAGTTCCTTTTACACTATTTGACTGGAGTTACTAGCTGTGCAGCAGCCCAACGTTAAGATGGTAAAAACCAACAGCCTCCCCTGTTCTGGGCTGGGTATTTAAAAAAGTTTCAAATTTTGGTTTGGGCTATGGCCCTATTTAGTCAAACCCATATATAAATTCTATGATATAAATCCATGTGGTCCTTTCAAATATTATAAAATCTTATGATATAATCTTTAAAATCCAAAAGTTAAAAATCCTGATTATACAAATCCATCAATAAAATCCTATAAGTCATTACATTCTGATTACATCCACTGGATTTTTTTATCCTTAAATAGTCTTTTAAAATCTCAATTGGATTTTTTTTATCCTATAAGTCATTGCATCCTGATTAACCAATGACATTTTTTGGTATTTTGAATGTTTTACCATTTTCTGTTTTTGCTTTATATATATAGATAAATAAACCAAAAGTACCACGAATATAAAAATTAAATTTCAATAGCAAAAAGAGGAATAAAACCTGATTTATGCTTATAGGAAGGAACTTCACTCTCCACCTTGGAGAGAGCCTGGAGAAATAGAAAGTATTTGCTCAATGTAATAGATTGGAGAGAACAATAACTGAGAAATAAAATGGTTTGTTCTATGTAAAAGAAGACTGGGAACTTGGGAAGATAAATATTGATGTGGTTTGAGTGAAAAAAATTTGGTTTGACAAAAGGGTTTAGAGTAATCGGAAGAAGATACATTTTTTATTTGACGGAAGAAGAGAAATTTCAGAAGAGAAAAAATGAGCTTTTTAGTGAGAGATTGAAGCACAAAAGAGAAGGAGAAATACCGGGAGATGTTCAAGAAACGAAGAAGAAGAAAAAACGACGAAGATTTAGAAAGGAAAAAAACAAAAAAAAGAGGAGAAGACATAGAACGACAGAAAATGAAGAGGTACCCTCCGACCAAAAAAAAAAAGTAACACAGATTTATTTTTAAAAGGGCCCCTCTGTTTTGAAAGCATGCATGCTATATTACATTTGAAAAAACAAAAGCATGTCTGAGATTAGATTAGTACAAAAAAGAGGAGTAGCCACGCATGTCTGATATCTCTTATCCGTTCCGTTCTTTTTTTTTTTTTTTTTTTTTTTTTTTTAATTATTTCTCTCCTCCCTAATTTTTTTTTTTTTTTTATGTGGCCTTCTGTTCAAGAAAGTTTGAGGGCCTCAAGTTTTGGAACTCATCGATCTTTTAAAAATAAAAAGCTTTGGAACTCTCAATAAAATATATAAATTATAGGTATGTATACGGTATATATATAAAATTTGGAGACCCCTATGAGCTGAGGCCACCCCGCCGTCGCACTCCGTGCCCATGCTCACGACCGTCGCTTCTTCATGCTTTGATTCATGCTTTCTCTGACTTGGTTTCTTTTGGTCAAATGCTCAGCAAACTTAAACATTAACTAACTAAACAATAATACAACAGAGACAAAAACTTACTCTGACAAGAACAGAAATGGTGTTGAAAGATCATGCATGAAAATTTTGCATAATATTTTGCTACATCATGCAGAACAAGCGAAACAGAGTTTTTCTTTGTTGCACCTTAACCAAAGACGGACTTAGGATTTTAAAATGGGGTGGGCTAGATATACCTTATTGAACTGTTAGATTTTAGGCTTATGGAATTGATCATATGTGTGTGTGTATATATATATATATTTAATTTAAGAACATATCATTTTTATTTTATTTGTTTAATAGGCATATTATACACCAACAACGCCAGCTAAGGTCTACCATAATGAACAAAAATAAATTAAGAGAAAAGAAAATTCATAAAAAAATTCAAAAATGAAAATTTATCATCACAAAGATAGAGTCAGATAAACACACGACAATTAGAGGTAACACTACAATTATCCAATTAGTTCAAATTAATATTTCTGCTATAAATGGGATTAACATTAACACTAATTATAAGAAATAAATAAATAAAAACTCACCTGGGCTATAGCCCATGTTGTACAAGTCATAGGACCGTCCCCATCCTCACTAGTACAAAATCACCCTTGCGCGACCACGTTTTGCGCGACGAAAAAGTATTCATCGCTCAAAGTCACTTTGCGCGACGAAACACAAAACTTCGTCGCTAAAAATCTTGCGCAACAAAATTTTGCACGACGAATTGTTTTTCGTCGCGCAAAATCACTTTGCGCGACGACAATACATCGTCGAGCAAACTCTTGAGTGACCAAATTTTGCGCAACGAAAAACTATTCGTCGCGCAAAGTCACTTTGCTCGATGAAAAACAATTCGTCGCACAAAGTCCTTATAAAAATAAATAAAATAAAAAAGGGGAGCAAATGGGATTAGATACCCCAGTAGTCCTAGCCGTAAACGATAGATACTAGGCGCTGTAAAAATTCTTTTTTAAAATCTTTTAGTTAGAAAATATATATTTTAAATTGACGATGGAATTAGTTCATTGTATTCATATAGGGTCAAAGAGTGTCGTTGTAAAAAATCATCAAAATCGGAGTTAAAATAACTGTTAAATCGTGATTTTTCATTTATAACCGTCGAAAAGTTTTGTCCCATTATTTGATCTCTGAATGTTTATTTTTTTCGATTTTTGGCGTATATGATCTCGAAGTATAAACAAACAAGTTTGACGGTTGGATCGTTGAAACTTGTTTCGTAGAATGCGTATGCCATCAAAACAATATATTCACTAACAATTAAGAGTTTATTTATACTTTTGTTAAATATAACATAAGATTTTGTGGTATCCACTAGTGTAAATATTTTAAATTGACGATTGAATTAGTTCATTGTATTCATATAGGGTCAAGGAGTGTAGCTGTAAAAAATCATCAAAATTGGAGTTAAAATAACCATTAAATCGTGATTTTTCATTTATAACTGTTAAATTTTTTTGTCCCGTTACTAGGTCTCTGAATGTTTGTTTTTTGCGATTTTTGGGGTATACAATCTTTAAGTATATACAAACAGGTCTGACGGTTGGATCGTTGAATGGTGTGTGTATATATATATTTATTTACTTATTAAGTAGCTTTAAATTTATTTATTTTGTACGTATAACAATTAAGAAATTGAATAGTATATACATTTATTAAGTAGCTTTAACCTTATTTATATTTTAAATCATAAAATAAAATAATTTTATTTTTTATTATTCATAGCAATTATTTTTATAAATATCGTGTTACGAACCAATTTTTCGTCTCTCAAAAGTTTGCCCGACCAACAGTTCGTCGCACAAAACTCTAAAAATTTGGGCGGGTACCAAAAATGGGACGGGATTTATTAAAAAAAAAAAAAAAAAAAATTTTAGACTTTGCGCGACCAATATTTTGTGTCGCTCAAAACTTTGCGCGACCAATATATATTTTTCGTCGTGCAAAATTTGGGCGGCACCAAAAAGGGGATGCGGGAATTTATTTATATAATTTTTTAGACTTTGCGCGACCAATATGTATTTTCGTCACTCAAAAATTTCAAAATTTGGGCGGGTACCAAAAATGGGACGCATGGATTTTTATTTTTATTTTTTACTTTGTGCGACTAATATTCCAATATTTTTCGTCGTGCAAAATTTCAAAGTTTCTGTCGCGCTGAAATTTGTGCGAGTACAATGTATTTTGCGCGATGAAATTCTCTTCGTCGCGCAAAGTGTAAAATGTAGTAGTGCCTTAACCCACTTGAAGAAATAGAGTTTGAATAACCAACACAAGCGAAGCCCCAAGACAGGTTTGTTGCTCCAACTGAGTAGTCCAATCCTACATGGATTTAAAGGCAAGAAGAGATAGGTCAAAAATAACATATCAAAAAGTTTGATGTCAAATATTATTTTAATATTATTTTAGTTATGTACTCCACTATCATTTACCCTCTTTTAAAATTTTATGCATCATATGAGCCCTATTTGTTTTTAAAAATATAATAAAATAATATGATATTTAGGTGGAGTTAAATTTTTCCCAAAGTGTCAAATTGCCATATAAGTCATCAAATTTTAATATTTTTCATTTGACATCTCTCTTGGAGATGCGCTTGTCAAATACCAAACATCAAATTTAAATTTGATGGCTGATGTGGCAATTAACATCTTACACAGCTTTGCACTCAACCCGATATGTCAAATTAAATTATTATTTTATTACATTTTAGTGTTGATTTGTTTTTAATTAAAAGAAAAGAAAAGAAATAATAATAAAATATTCATTTGACATCTTGCTTTTGAGATGTCAAAAATAACATCTCAACCTCTAGCCTTCATTCCACATCAGTTTTGACATATCGGTTGGAGTGATGTGAGATGTTATTTCTAGCTGTTAAATGTCTATATGACACTTTTGACACATCAGTTGGAGATGCTCTAAGGCAGTCTAAAGTATAGTTGTACTCTTCAAATCGATTTCTCTTGATCCAGCTAAAATATTCAAAATCTAACACTTTCAAAACACCTTGTTCAAATAATTAATTAACTAATGCCGTTCAATTTGATATGCAAAATCAATGGGGCCGAGTTTTAATCCACTTAATTCATTATTTTTTTAAAGACAGTTCAATTATTTGTTTGCTATTGTTTAATGGCGGCCTCGTTAAAACATTCCCACAGAAAATCCTGGGGAAGAAAAGAGTATCAACCATGCGATTGACTAAACAAAAGAGTCAAACAACTTAGACGAAACAGACAAAACTAAAACCCAACCACAAAACCATTAAAACAACATCCCATCATTAGGCAAGTACTATGAAAAACTACATAACAAAATTGAGTTTTAATTTAGGGTTTAATCATATGTGACCAAGATGTTAAAGTTAATGTTTAATCCCTTGTTGTAACTCTCGGACAAAATGTGCTCGAGCATATTTTCTAGTATAGAAAGAGCTCGAGCGTGTTTTGGTAGAGACTTTGTCTGACGTGTTTTTTGGGAAACCAAGTTGCTTATGATATTTTGTAAGGCAAAATATTATTAGCTTTTAATTTAGTTAGTAAGGGTTGCTTATGATATTTTGTAAGGCTAGACTACACACAACTCCTTTAGATGTATCAAGAGAGGAAAACTCTCTTAATTAAGAAAACTAAGCAATCAAAAATATCAGAAAAATATCTCTAAGAACCAAAAAAAAAGGACCTCTAAGTTCATCTTGCATAAAATCCAACACAACAAACAGAGCTAGAAAATTTCTTTACAGATAACGTGATAGTCTAAAAGATGATTCCAAGTCCAAAAACCGAGAATATATAATTACAACAAATATTTGTTCACTGTGTATTGAAAAACAATAGCGGTTGTACATCGAATGAAGAACCTGTACCGCCATCCGTACAAGGACCTGTTGATGAAGAAACAACATCCGAAACCTCATTTATTTCCTGAGTTTGGACACATCGGACCTCAGGGAAAACTTGTTGAACATCAGTCTCAGCTCTAACTGACAATTGAATTCCCTCCAACTCCACTGCTACTTCTTTCATAGTAGGACGATTCCTTCCATTCAAATCAAGCATCTAACGGCAAGGTTGGCAACTGCTGTAATCTTTTCCTTTCTACCATCCTTCATAACTTGAGAATCAAGAATATCAAATAGAAGATTATTCTCCATGGAAAGCAGGAAATAAGTTGCTAGACTTCTTCTTTCTTCTGAACTCATCAAAGAAACTGCTTTTTGTCCAGTCAAGAGCTCAGCAAGGACAACGCCAAAGCTATAAACGTCACTCTTCTCTGTAAATTGGCTTGACCGGAAGTACTCCGGGTCCAGATATCCAAACGTTCCATGTACTTGTGTAGTGAGGTGCGTTTGATCAATGGAAACTGATCTTGAAGTCCCAAAGTCAGCTACTTTTGCTCTGTACTTTCCATCCAAGAGTATATTAGAAGACTTGATGTCTCGGTGGTAAATGGGAAAGGAAGCAGCAGAGTGTAAGTAGGAAAGAGCTCCTGCGATTTCAATGGCAATTCGTAAGCGCATTTCCCATGTAAGAGAAAACTCCTCATTTGGGTGATGAATATACTGAGAAAGCGTTCCATTGAGTATGAATTCATAAACCAAAAGGGGGACTTCAGTCTCTAAACAACACCCCAGTAGTTTAACCACATTTCTGTGATTAATCTGTGAAAGAATGACAATTTCATTAATAAATTGTCCGACTTCTCCTCCAGCAACTATTTTTGACTTCTTGACAGCAACAATTCTTCCATCTGACAACATTCCTTTGTAAACGGTACCTTGACCTCCTTGACCAAGAATTCTATCTCTGCTGAAGTTGTCTGTGGCGTTGTCTAAATCCTTTGAAGTGAACAACTTAATTTTCTCAACATTAACTTCACCAGAAGATAATTGCTTCTCCAACAATAAACCTCCATTTTGTTTAAAAAACTTTTGCTTGCGTTTGATATCCTTCCTCTTCTTTATAAATTTGTGCGGCCACCGAGCTCCAAAGAGTAGAAACAATAGTCCAATAAAACCGAGAGCTGCTCAATATGATAAAAAAGAGTTTATGTCTTGTGCCCATAAAATAAAATAAACTGTTGATGGCAATAAAAAAGAGCTTATGTCTAAAATTTCTCTTCACACCTAGGCAGAGGGCTGAGTGACTTATAATATTTATTTGGGTTGTAGATTGTCCTTCTTGGATATCCGATTTAGAAGAGGTCTTTGCGGACGGAATTAATTTCTTGATTTGTTCTTAATTAACAAAGTTTAATAAATACATAACTGCAAAGACCTCTTCTTTTTTATTTATTAAATGTCAAACGCCAAAGACTTTATTCATTAAATTTTTTTTTTTTTTTTTTTTTTTTTTTATTTAAAAAGCGGCAGTATTTTATTGATTTCTAGGAAATAACAAGTAGAAAAAAAAATTATATTTGTACGTAGTAGGGAACTTAAAATACATTCGTCGGTTCCCAAAAGTGCACCAATTCGGCTAATCCCAAAAGTGCAGTTTGGATTGCAGAATTTTCCCAAACCAATTGGGCTAATCCCCAAAGTGCAAGCCTTTGCTGCAACTAACTTTTGAGTTTAGCTTGTTACCGGTTGGTGACCAATTTTCACATTAAATGATACATCATAACTTTGAGTTTAGAATTTTCACATTAAATGATACATTATCCACACACTATAACACTCAATTATTTTTACTTTTCTTTTTAATGAAAAATCAACTCTGTTTAATTCCAAAATCGTATACTACGTACGATGATATAGGACGTACCTATAATAATGATCAATCTATCATTATTTTTGGCATGGCAAAGATAATAATAATAACCAGGAGTGTGCGGACAGTTGCATGGATCAGGACCACGCATGCATTCATCAGTATCTGAAATATAATTTAGAAAGGGAAAAAAAAACAGAAACGGTAAATTAGCGATACAATAATGCTATTTGCATAAGATCTATTGATCATTTTGCAGATCACCTTTCTAATAGAATTTAGATCTCAAAAATATATGAGGAACTCACTGATATTAAAGAAATTGTAAAAAATAATATATGTGGTACAAATAACATCACTTTTGACAATAAATATTATTAGGTACCCAAAAATATGTACAAAGAAGGGTCTTATTTTGACTTGCACGACTTTTATATCTAGAAAAAAGTTCTTCGGCTGAAAATAAAAAATAAAAAAGGGAGTTCTTTCCCCTCCTTTCCAATACCTCTTGCATAAATCAAAAGGAAAGAAGGTTCTCAGAAAAGAAAACAAACGCAGAGAAAAAATAAAACGCAGAGACGGAAGCTAGATATAATTAATTACATACGTACCTTGACAAGTTTCAAGAAGATAGGGATTTCCTACAGATCCTTCTGGGCATTCACAATAAACTCTCAGTAACGATTGTTGGTGAGTGATTGCTGAGCTATTCTTGGAATCCAAAGTATAGATATAGCAGCGGGGTTCAGCGCTATAATTATAATAATATTCTTATAAGGCTTAGAATCATTTGTAACGTAGCCTCCAAATAATGCTAGTGAAGAAGTAGAGTTGATTATATTCCATTCTAGCAGCACAGGAACGTGGCTTCTACTCTTGACTGCATGAGCAGAAGATGATCTCTCACTCTCAAACCAATCCTTGTCAACCAGAAACGCATAGTCGTCGCAATCGGCGTTTCGAGTTTCACCTTGGTATAGAATGGAAGCGGACATCATCCTGAGATATGGAGGAATGGTAGTCTGGCAACAGTTGATACCAATATCACAGGAAGCAATATAATTTTTATGATCACAAACTGACTTGCAGGCAACCACAAACTCAGCTGATTCCATCCCGGCAAAGAAGCCGCAGCTAACTGCAGTGAATCTGTTTTTGTCCTGAGAGTAGACGAAAGGGCTGCCTGTCAAATTGGCCATTGGGCTACTTCCAGTTTCGTTGCAGAAGAAGGTAACGGGGCTGTTCACCTGAAGCGTGCCTCCAAAAGCCTGAAGCGGGTCTCCAATAGAAATATTCAGCACCTCCAGTTTGGCTTGCTTCAAAAAAGGCTTGTAATGAGGAGCAGAGCTGGAAGTTTTAGAAGACTGGTTGCTGCACTCGATTTCAAACCAGTTGTCTAAGTAGCAATCTTTGTTAGATCCAATTCCGAAAGGGTATGGGATGAGGACGTCTCCGCAATACTCTTCGCAATCATACTTTGCCATCCGAGGAACTACTTGTGCTGTACATATATTTATCGACAGAATGAATAAGTATAAGATCATCATATGAAGTGCTTGCGATTGCATTGTTCCTATGCTCGGATAACAAAAAGTAAAAGATTATCAAGCAAAAGTTTTCTTTGCAACTCAGTGCTTTCTACTATATATAATAACGACCCCTTGTCGATCGAAGAAAAGTGGGTTCGAATTCAAGGCTACTTTCCCTTTGGTAATTGTATATGATTATTAGTTGAGAATATTCAAGTGTTTCCTTCTCTTCCTAGCTATCCCAAAAAAGAAAAACAAAAAACAAAAACAAAAAACAAAAAAGCAAAAAATAAGTTGACTTGACTTGAGTCACTCACAAAAGGAAATGCAGTACATATGCTCAGTAAATTATTGTGGCCATAAAGAAATTAAAATGAAAAGTATTTTGTCGTTTTCAAGTACATAAAAATGTTGTGAAATCAAGTCAATGATTACATACAAGCGAAGCCAGAAAGTAGGTTTCATAAGGTGATAAATTAATTTTATATATCCCGTGATTTGTGTTTATATGGCAGTCATTCCTGACTGTAAAAGGTGACTTGAGAAGGAGAAAAGGTTAACATATATATGGAACATGCATCACAATACTACAATTAAGAAATATTTCATTATTGTTCAGTGTGACATGAAAGGTAATAGCAGAGAACTTCATGAAATGATGAAAAGCTAGACCACCATCCAAACCTAGCCATGCGCCTGTTGAGCTTGAAACGACATCCCAAGGATATTGATTTAGTTCCAACATATTCAACCTCTTCACAATTTCACGAAATAAAATAAAGGCTTAATTATGTACATGCCCCTGTGCTTTCCAACTTATCTCAGATTACCACCTGTGGTGGAAAACGTCTCAAAGTACCCCCCAACGTGCAAAAAACTGTCTCACGTTACCCTTTCCGTCAGTTTTTTTGAAGTTCCGTTACGAACGTTACTGTTCATCTCCCCCAAAATTCCAGAACAGCAGCTCCTCCCATTTGTTACTGTTCATCGCACCAGTTTTTGGGCTGCCATCGCCTCCTCCGGCCACCCCAAGCGACGACATGGATATCAAAAGAACCAGCACGTTGTCCTCTACCACCCTCACATCTCAGCCGCTGCCAACCGTCGTCTGTATCACCGAAAAAAGCAAGAAATTGGCCGGTTTTTACCCAAAATCTCCATTGCTCGTTCGGGCAATTCCGAGCACCATTTTCTTCGATCCAGGTATGATTTTTCAACCTCTCGAGTTGTTCTTGCTGCTAGTTGTGTTGGTTAGGAGAAATTTCTGAGTTTTGGAGGGTAAATAAGCGATGAACAGTAACAAAGGGGAGGGCTACTGTTCTGGAATTTTGGGGGAGATGAACAGTAACATTCGTAACGGAACTTCAAAAAAACTGACGGAAAGGGTAACGTGAGACAGTTTTTTGCACGTTGGGGGGTACTTTGAGACGTTTTCCACCACAGGTGGTAATCTGAGATAAGTTGGAAAGCACAGGGGGCATGTACATAATTAAGCCTAAAATAAAATATAAGCTTAATTGCTACAGTGCATCTTGAAATATTGGTCAATTCTCACTTTATACCCTTGAAGTTAAAGTGACCCACTTTGCTCCCTTAACCAAAGTTTGATGTTCCACAATGCCCTCTACCGTCAATTCCATCCAAAAGTCAGTTAAGTTTAATGACGTGGCAGGGGTGTTTTAGTAATTTTGTGCACCTAGATTTTTTATTCACAAATTTGAGTGGGTAATGTGGCAAAGTGGAGCCCACCTCCAGCATGGATAAAAAAATTAATAACTTAAAAAATTAAAATTTAAAACTGTAAAAATTGAATCCTCTCTATCTCTCTCTCTTAGCTTCTGGAGATGGAAGAAACACGGGAGGCTGCTTTAGCTTGTTTTGATAATTTGTAAGAGGAGCAAAAGGATAAGGCATGGGAAGATTTTGAAGCAATGGATTTAGATGGTGATGGGACAATAACCCTCATCGAATACCAGCAGTTTTATTATGGCAGCTCTTAAAAGGAATAAAAAAACCAGGAGCTCAACGCTAATAGAGATGGCAAGTTGAATTTTCAGGAATTTAAAACTCTTTTCTATTGGTTTCTCAATTCCAAGGACACAACACCATTAATACCAACACAAGATCGGGTAACATTTAACTTATCATCGATTCATCGATTTATTTAGTTTATCTTTTACTGAATTTTTTCTCTCTATCTCTCTCTGCAGGGTGGGTTGCGATGGGGAAAATGGCTAGAGGGGCATGGGTCGGGGAGAAGGGGGTATGGGGGCTGGGGTTCTGTGCGAGGGGTAGAAAAAACCAGAGGGAGGGGGCGATGGGTCTCGATGGGGAAGGGAAGCAGAGAAGAAATTGGGGTGGGTTCTGTGCAGGGAAGGGTGGGTTGCGGGTAGGGGGCCAATAGCTTTTCGGGTTCTGCACAGGGAGAGGGGTGGGTTGTGGATTGCGGGTTGGGGGGTGAAGCGATGGGTTTCTGGTGGGGAAGAAGGGATGGGTAGGGTTTTTTTTTCTTTTTCTAAAATCTATTTTGTTTTCAATTTTATGTTTGTATTTTAAATTTTTTTAAGAATAATACTAGTTTTACCACATTTTTATACCACATGATGTGGCGGCTGATGTGTGTTTTAATAAAGAAAATTAGAAAAATAGAAACTAATATTTTACATGATGTGGTATGTACAAATCAGCCGCCACATCATATGGTATAAAAAATGTGGTAAGACTAGTATTATTCTTTTTTAAAAGAATAAAAAAAACCTAGGTACACAAAATTACTAAAATACCCATGCCACGTCATTAAACTTAATGGACTTTTGGATGAAGTTAACGGTATGGGCAATGTGGAACATCAAACCTTAGTCAATGGGGCAAAGTGGGTCACTTTAACTTTAAGGGGGTAAAGTGAGAATTGACCAATATTTCAGGGTGCATTGTTGTTAATGTATGGTTTTTACTAATTTCTTTTGGCTTCCCTTGACAACTTTGTAATAGGATGTGTAATGTAATTTATCAAGCTCAAGTCTAGATTAGGGAAAACATTTATTGGTGCTCTTCTCTATTCTCTGCTCTATGGTGGCTCAAGCAAGTTGACAAAGGTATTGAGCATTGCATATCATTACATAAAACTGTTTTCATAAAAAGATGACTAGTCAACCGTTTCTCATATGACTAGTCATCCTTGCCTCCAGCTGGATAACAAACTGTTTTGTCCTATTCTTCTTTCACTCTCTCTGCTGTCAAGTGGGTTTGGCTGACCTAACGATTTCGTTGGTCTGTATAGCCCACGATCTTTCTCATTTGCAGCGGTCTCTTTTCGGGTGGAAGTTTTGGAAAGTTTGGCTTGCCATCTTTCGCTTCTTCTTCCACGAGAGAACCATTATTTCATCTATGAGTTTTTCCAATTGATTTCTTTTTGAAAAACTGCATTTGAAACACGAATCTGCATCTAGCTATTTAAATCATTCTATCATTTATATCTAGGTCGGATTCAAGATTGATTTCTTCAAGAGTATGGTTTCTTGAAGAAATTGATCTTTCTCCTTTGAATCCAAATTGGTTTCGGTTTGTGTTGGAGCTTGCAAGCTAGTGCCATGGGATGAACGAGCTGGAGAAGGAGCTGCCATTGCCATGAAGGACTGAGCTTCAAGCTTTGCTAAGTTGGAGAAGAAGATTGCACAAAGGAGGTATTGCTCATATTCCTAAATAGACCTAGGTGCTTCTTGAGCTTGGTTGTGTTTCCTTTGTAAGAATCTTTTTCTACTTAGTGGATTGCCTGGTCGGTTGATGACTCCCAGTTTTTCCCAATGGTGGGTTTCTGGGTGAACAAAATCTGTTTTGCATATCTGTAATTTTTCTGGGTTTGTGTTCTTGGTGGTTGACTAGTCATCTGTATCTGCTGTTTGATGTTTACATGATAATGATGTTTTCACACACTTTCACCATAGTTGTTGCTAGCACAGGGGATGCCTAGATTGATGGGTCCTTCTGAGTGCCTAGGTTGTCACTAGTAATCTTCTAGGATTGCAGGTACATTGTGGCATGCTCTGTGTATTCTATTGGTTGTGATTGTTTCTTGACTAGTAGTTGACTAGTCATATGTGTATTTGGTCAAGGTTTAAAGTGTGTGAAGCTAGCTGTGTTGTTGTGTCTTGTTTATGTGATTAAGTTTACCCCTCGTCACCTAAGTATCATTTTCAATTGGTATCAGAGCGTCAGCTCTTAACAAAAATAGAGAGATCCTAGGATTTGTTTTGGTGTTTAGGTGTGCTCACTATGGAAAGGGATCGAGTTGCTGGATCTTGCAACTCCCCTCCCTATTTTGACGGCAATAACTATGCTGCATGGAGAGAAAAATTTGAGATATTCCTTGATGCTCTTGATGAGTATGCAAGTGGGTATCTCACAAAAGAGTGGGTTGCTCCGGTCAAGACTGTTGAGGGTGAACTTGTGTCCAAGCCTAGGTCAGAATGGACTGAAGCTGAGGTGTTTGCTGCATATTCGAACAAGAAGGCCAGAAATGCCTTAGTTACAGCTTTGTCTAGCACACAATTTGCACATATACAACACATCCCTAATGCTAAACAAGCTTGGGATAAACTAAGGGTAGTTCATGAAGGGGATGACCAAGTTAGAACCCTAAAACTTCAGATGGTGCTTGCACAATTTGAAGAACTTAGAATGTCTGAATCTGAGTCCATTTCTGAGTTCTATGGAAGAGTTGAGATGATCACAAATGAAGCCATGAGTCTAGGTCAACCCATTGAAGAGCTTCTTGTTGTTCAGAAAATTCTTCGTGTTCTACCATCTAGGTTTAGAGCAAAGAAAACCGCAATCATGGAGGTCCAAAATTTAAATGAAATTAAGCTTGGCAAGCTTGTAGGAAAATTGAAAACCTATGAGATGGAATTGAATATGGAAGAGAATGACTCCAAAAATCAAAAAATGTTGCACTTCAAGGAGTGCATGTTTCCTCTCCGAAAGGTGGTGATAAATCCTCAGGTTTTGAGGATGAGATGGCTTGTTTGTCAAAAAATTTAGGAGAATTCTTAAGGATAAGGGAAAGTTTGCTAGAGACGGCAGCTCTGGTAGTGAGAAAAATTTTAGACCATCAACTGATCGGTTTAATGAGAGGAATAAGGATGTCAAACCTTTCACGAAAGATTTTAGAAAATCTGTCAAGTGCTTCACATGTGGAGGCATTGGACACTATGCTGCTGACTGTGCAAACAATCAGAAAAAATACTCCAAAGGAAAGGACAAGGCCATGAAAGTGAGCTGGAGTGAGAGTGAAAGTGAAGGCTCTCAAGATGATTCATCTTCCTCTGATGATGATGACCAACATGTTGCCTTTGTTGCCTCTGTACAGCCCATGTCTGATGAATCTGATTCTGAGTCAGATGACCTGTCATACGAGTCATTAGGAAGAAAATATGATTGTTTGTTTAAAGAGACCTTGTCCTTGAAAGAAGAGAGCCTCAAACTTGAGGCAAATAAACAAGATCTTCAAAATGAAATTCTCATCTTAAAAGAAACCAAAAAGGAGTTGAGTGACAAATTTGAGTCTCTAGAAAAAGAAATTGATGCTCTTGTGTCAATTAGGAGTAACCTCGAAACCAAGTTAATGTGCTCAAGGAAAGTAACATTGGTTTCCAGAACTCAAACAAACAGCTCCTAGGTGAATTGAATGAAGCAAATAGGAAGATTATATCTATGACCATTGGTGCATCAAAAATTGACAAAATGTTGAATATGGGAAAACTTCATGGGGACAAAGGTGGTCTTGGATTTAATCACTTTGGTTCTAGTTTGTCTAGTTCTACCACTAAGTTTGTCAAATCAGAAAATCCAGTCACGATTCCTCTTGATGTTCAGCAGGTTGTCAAGAAACCTAAGTTTGTTCCAACTTGTCACAGGTGTGGGTTGACTGGTCATATTCGACCAGTCTGTCATATGTATAGCAAAGATAAGACCAGAAAATTGTCTCCAAAATCTAAAAGAAATTCCAGATCTTTGCAAGATCAAGTTGATCATTTGCTGAATGAGGTCACTAAGATAGCCAAACTTGTCTCCCTCAAAATGAGTTCTCCTATTGTGCCTAAGTCTACTTGGATTGCAAGAGGTCATACCAAATCTCTTGTTGTGCTAAATGCTTTTGCTGCTTCAAATATCAACTCTTGGTATTTTGATAGTGGTTGTTCCAAACATATGTCTGGAGATAAAAATGTTTTTCATCTCTCAGCCCCTTTGATGGAGGCACTGTGACTTTTGGTGGAGGTCATAGATCTCAAGTTGTTGGAAAAGGTACTGTTTGTATCCCTGGTCTGCCCGAGCTTAAGAATGTTAGATTTGTTGAGGGTCTCACATCCAATCTCATTAGTGTGAGTCAGCTGTGTGATGATGGAATAGTAGAAGTCAGATTCTCCAAGCATGGCTGCAAAATCATTGGAAAAGGTGGAAATGAGATTGTGAGCGTGGCAAGGTCTAGGGACAATTGTTTCTGCATTGATGGTGTCAACGATGCAAAAGAAATAGTTTGCAACAAGGTTGTAAATGAAACAAGTATTTTGTGGCATCAAAGGCTTGGACATGTTAATTTTAGAGACTTGCATAAGTTGTCCAAGAGAGAGCTAGTAAGTGGCTTACCAAAGCTGGAAAAATCTGATGAGCATGTTTGTGAAGGATGTCAATTAGGCAAACAGTCAGAGTGTCACACAAAAAGGTCAAACACATTCAAACAAATGTAATTCTAGAACTTGTTCACATGGACCTTGTTGGTCCTATTCAAACCGTGTCCCTTGGTGGAAAGAAATATATTCTTGTCATGGTTGATGATTTCTCTAGGTTTACTTGGGTCTCATTTCTACGTGAGAAATCTGAAACTTTTCAAAGGTTTAAGTCTGTTTGTCATCTTTTGCAAAAAGAGAAGATGACTAGTCATCTGCCTCTTGTTAGAATTAGAACAGACCATGGCTCTGAATTTGAGAATTCTCAGTTTCTGAAATTTTGCGAAGAGATGGGAATTAAACATGAGTTCTCTGCACCTATTACACCTCAGCAAAATGGTGTTGTGGAGAGAAAGAATAGAGTGCTTGTAGAGATGGCAAGGGTGATGCTAAATAGCAAAAATCTTGCTAAACACTTTTGGGCTGAAGCTGTCAATACAGCTTGTTACATCTCAAACAGGGTATTTGTGAGGTCTGGTACCAAACAAACTCCCTATGAGATTTGGAAAGGAAAGAAGCCTAATGTGTCATATTTTAAGGTCTTTGGTAGCACATGCTATATTTTGAGAGATAGGGAGCATCTTGCTAAGTTTGATTCTAAGTGTGATAAGGGAATCTTTCTAGGATATTCCACTTCTAGCCGAGCCTATAGAGTGTACAATTGTAGGTCCAGAACCATCATTGAATCCATAAATGTCACTATTGATGATTTTGCTGCCTCTATAGAGATGGCATTAGATGAGGATGGTCTTTTTCCTCCTCCTCCACTTGTGCAAGAATCTCCAGGTCTGGATCTTGTGGTTGACCTGTCAACTTTTGAAAATTCTGTCCCGGTTGACCTGTCAACCCCTTCAACTTCTAGTTCCATCTCCTCTGTCCAGGCTGACAGCTCTCATACTGATCATAGTTCTCTCACTCCATCTGCGAGTGTCATTATTGGCCCTCTTAATCAAGGAGTGAGAACTAGGAAACAACTTGCTCAAGAAATTAGCCATGTGTGTTATGTTTCCAAGGAAGAGCCTAGAAATGTGAAAGAAGCCTTGCACCATGGTGAATGGTTTCTTGCAATGCAGGAAGAATTAAATCAATTTGTGAGAAATGATGTTTGGTACCTTGTTCCAAGACCAGTCCACACTAATGTCATAGGCACTAAGTGGATTTTCAAGAATAAAACCGATGAACAAGGAAATGTGGTGAGAAATAAGGCTAGATTGGTTGCTCAAGGATACACTCAAATGGAAGGCATTGACTTTGATGAAACTTTTGCCCCTGTTGCACGATTAGAATCAGTTAGATTGCTTCTTGCCATTGTTTGTCATTTGAAATTTAAACTTTATCAAATGGATGTCAAAACTGCCTTTTTAAATGGTGTCCTAAATGAAGAGGTCTATGTTGAGCAGCCAAAGGGTTTTGAAGATCCACATCATCCAAATGATGTGTTTCGTTTAAAAAAGGCTCTCTATGGTTTAAAACAAGCTCCTAGAGCATGGTATGAGAGGTTATCCTCTCATCTTCTAGGAAATGGGTATGTTCGAGGGTCCGTTGATAAAACATTGTTTGTGAAAAGGTTTAAAAAGGATGTCTTGATTGCTCAAGTGTATGTTGATGATATTGTGGTTGGTTCTACATCTGATTTGCATGTTCAAGATTTTATTCATGTCATGACTAGTGAATTTGAAATGAGTCTTGTCGGTGAGCTTAATTATTTCTTAGGTCTCCAAATTAAACAGAGCCATGATGGGATCTTTGTATCCCAATCTAAATATGCAAAAAATCTTGTGACAAAATTTGGTTTGGAAGGAGCCAAATCTGCAAGAACTCCAATGAGCACTAGTGCTAAGATTCATAGAGACTTGCATGGCAAAAGTGTGGATCAAACTCTCTATAGAAGCATGATAGGAAGTCTTCTCTACTTGACTGCTAGTAGACCTGACATTTCTTTTAGTGTTGGTGTATGTGCTCGGTTTCAAAGTGACCCAAAAGAGTCTCACTTGTTTGCTGTTAAGAGAATTATAAAATATGTGAGTGGGACTAGTGAATTTGGGTTGTGGTATACCTATGACACTTGTGTCAATCTTGTTGGGTATAGTGATGCCGATTGGGCAGGTTGTAGTGATGATAGGAAAAGCACTTCCGGGGGGGTTTTCTATGTAGGCAACAATCTTGTTGCTTGGCATAGCAAAAAACAGAATTCTGTCTCCTTATCCACTGCTGAAGCAGAGTATGTTGCCGCTGGGAGTTGTTGTACTCAACTCCTTTGGATGCGACAAATGTTGGAAGACTATGGTCTTGCTCAATCATGTTTTCTAATCTATTGTGACAACATGAGTGCCATAGATATTTCAAAAAATCCTGTTCAACACTCTAGGACTAAGCATATCGACATTCGGCACCATTTTATTAGAGACCTTGTGGAAGACAAAATTTTAACTTTGGAATTTGTTCCCTCTGAAAAACAGCTAGCAGATATACTCACCAAGGCCTTGGATTTTCAGAAACATGGTACACTAAGGCAATCCATTGGCCTTTGTTCCATTGATTGATTAGCTAGTCTGCTCCTTGTCTTCAGCACACTTCCAAACAGTTGACTAGTCATCTTGCTTGTAAGTTGCCTAGTCCACTATGTTACTGTTCATATCACTCATCTCTGCTGGTGTGCATGCTGAATGTTTTTGTGCTTTGTTTGACTTGTGCATAATCCCTTTTTCTTGTTTTTGAGCTGTTAGTTGAGACCAAAATCTTGCTATCTTGTCCTCTTGGTGAGCCATGTATCTCGGCTTCATTTTGGACTGTTCTTGTTATTCTCTCTTAGCTGGTCTCACTCTCTTTGCCAATCTATTTCAAATTTTAACAAAAAAAAAAAAAAAAAAGGGAAGTGTGACCAATGTAGTCACGGCTCTAGGAAGGTATAAGGTGGTTTGATTGAAGAATCTAGAGCAAAGAGCCGTAAAATTGGGCCATTCAAAGCACTTATGTTCGAGATGTGCAAGTACCACAAACTCAATCATCAAATATTTTGTCCATAGAGAATGCTGATTTTTTGCTGTGAGCCCATACTATGATCATGTCTTAAGAATGCAGTGTATACGTGTCTCTCCAAGAGAGATTAGATATCATCTCTTGTGTCCCTTGGCTCTAAACCTCCTTCTTTCCTAAATATGCCTTGTCTCTGAGCATGAATTGCATCTCATTGCGTGTCTCTCAGAGTTGATTGTCTATGTACACTGCATATGTTTTTAAACTATTCCTCTTTTTTCATCTTTTTTCTTCATGTGTTGAAGACTTGGTTTAGACTATTGTGCTCATGCCACCTTGGTCACTTGATATATGTGCTGGTTCATGCTTAAAATTTAAAAATAACCAAATAAAAAATACCCAAAATCATGTCTTTCACAGGGTCGATATTATTTGGTGTGTGTCATAATGCTGGTTTAGTTGCCTAGACATCTATGCTTATGGTTGCCTAGTCATCTGGGTGTTTTGCCTTGCTGTTCCTTCTCATATTGCATTAGTTGACTGGTCATCATATTTGTGGTTGCCTAGTCATCATATTTGTGGTTGACTAGTCATCTTGTTCCCTAACCAATGCGTCCTTTTTCCATTTCTCGTGCTTTGCCTGTGCCAATTTTGCCTAGGTTGACTAGTCATCTTGCTTATGGTTGACTAGTCATCCGCTTTGTTTCCTAAACATTGCGTCTTTTTCATTTTTCGTTTTGGCGGTTATTTTTTTTCCATTTTTGGTTCTGAGCGGTTCTTTTTTTTAGGTCGTGTCGTTTGCGCCTTTTTCCTTTTTAGGTCTTTTATTTTCCCTTCTTCGTCACTTTCGCTTGTCTCTTCTCTCTCCCTCTGTTCTCGTCAGTCTTCCGTTTCAGAGTTTTTTCTCTCCCTCTCTCTCTGTTCTGGTCTTTTCGCCCCCTTCTTCCATTTGTTTTCTCTTCAAAATTCCTTCCCGCTGCTGACCATGTCTTCCTCCGAGCCTCTCCACACTTACCACCGTCGCTCCAAATCAAAATCCACTGACAGGGTGGATTTCAATCCGTCAATTCCTAGGGTTCCTCGAACCCGTTCTTCTTCCTCTGTTCCTGTTGGAGATTCTTCTCCTTTTGTGTCTAATGAGGCTGCCTCCTTCTTTAATGAGGTTGTCTCAAAGAGAAAATTCATTCCTGAGAGGACTTACCAGTTTGATGCAGTTCCCTTGGCGGCTCAGGAGTCTGCAAATCAGATTTTGGAGCACTACCACCTTCAAGCCCTAAATTCTCTCTCTAGTAAGTTTAACATCCCTGTTGTTCAAGAATTTTACTCTAACTTTCCTGCTGACCCTAAGGAGTCCAAGTATCAGATTTTGGTTAGGTCAGTACCCATTACTCTGAAACCATCTGTTATCAATCGGGTCTTAGGTTTTCGATCATGCCCTGGTTTTGATTTTGCAAAATTTGCTCTTGCTTCTGCTGAATACTCTGTTGATCTTTTTAAATCCATGGCATACACTGATCAATCCTTGCCTTTGACCTCTAAAGGTCTGCCTATCAAGTCTTACCTGTCCCCTTTTTATAAATTTTTGTGGGATTTTATCCGTCATAATGTTCTCCCCACTGGGAACAATTCTAATCCCACTCTTGCTGCCTGCCAACTCATGATATCCATGGTGAATCATGATAAAATTCCCCTTGGTGATATCCTATATAATGCCATTCTTGGGAAAACCATTGGTCATGGTACCAAGCACAAGGGGACTCTTGTGTTCCCCTGTCTGATTCAGCGCCTTTGTGAGAAAAATGGGGTGGCATTTCTTGATTCCGATCAGTGGCATCCCCCCATTGGTCCTTATGGCAAGGCCTCTGCTGCCCTTAGCCAGAGAGTTTCCAGGACCTTTCTCACTTCTGTGTCGTCTTCCTCTGAGAATGCCTCTCTCAGAGCTCAGTTGGCTGCCAAGGAGGAGTATATCCAACATCTTTTGACCCTTATTCCATCCACTTCGATTCCGGCACCTCCTGCTGCTGCTGCTGCTGCAGATCCTCAGTCTGCTCCTGCCACTGATGAGGACTCGGATGACTCTGTGGATTCTGGTGGCTCTTTGATCTTTTAGCTTGGTGTTCTCTTGGCTGTGTCCTAGATAGGAAGATTAAGTCTTGATAGGTTGTGCATTTTGAAAAGGGGAGGTGTTTTGTAATCTCATTGTGAGTAGTCTGTGCATTTTGCTAGAAGGGATTGTTTTTGTAAACACATTATGGGTAGTCTATGCATTGTGATAGGGGGAGTTGTTCTGTCCTATTTTGAACAACTGGTATTTGACTAGTCATAACTCTATGGTCTGTACTGTTTTTAAACTATTGTTGGTTGACTAGTCATCCATCTATGAACATGTGCTGTTATCCTTGTTCCTATATGCCTATCACTTTGTGGTTAATCCCTTTTATCTGTTGTTTCTATCTCTCTGCCTTTTTGCACTTTCCTTATCAACAAGGGGGAGAACACTCTCAACCCCACATCGCATATCGTTTTTAAAAATTTCTGTGATAATATGCTTGTTTTTGTGCTGGGAAGATTGGTTGTTCTTGCAGGTACCCTCACTTCATCATCTCCTTAGTCTCGGTTTTGGGTTGAGTGTTCTTAGAGAGTGTGTTGCCAAGGAAAGCCAAAAAGGGGGAGATTGTTAATGTATGGTTTTTACTAATTTCTTTTGGCTTCCCTTGACAACTTTGTAATAGGATGTGTAATGTAATTTATCAAGCTCAAGTCTAGATTAGGGAAAACATTTATTGGTGCTCTTCTCTATTCTCTGCTCTATGGTGGCTCAAGCAAGTTGACAAAGGTATTGAGCATTGCATATCATTACATAAAACTGTTTTCATAAAAAGATGACTAGTCAACCGTTTCTCATATGACTAGTCATCCTTGCCTCCAGCTGGATAACAAACTGTTTTGTCCTATTCTTCTTTCACTCTCTCTGCTGTCAAGTGGGTTTGGCTGACCTAACGATTTCGTTGGTCTGTATAGCCCACGATCTTTCTTATTTGCAGCGGTCTCTTTTCGGTCTATTGGTTGTGATTGTTTCTTGACTAGTAGTTGACTAGTCATATGTGTATTTGGTCAAGGTTTAAAGTGTGTGAAGCTAGCTGTGTTGTTCTGTTTTGTTTATGTGATTAAGTTTACCCCTCGTCACCTAAGTATCATTTTCAATTGTAGCACTTAAGCCTAAAATATACAATGAATGACACCACTCCTAGTAATATAGAGATCTTTTGTGACAAGACACCACTTTTAATAATATCGAGATCTTTTGTGACAAAACCTCACACCAATTAAGTTTTGTAAATAGTTAAGTTATGGACAAAAACAATGTGTCACATCAGAAAATTTTCTTTGCAACTTGTCTTCACGATGGAATTAAAAAAAAGGGACCAGCACAAATTGAAGGGTATGTTTCTTTTGGTAACATGTTTCTCTTGATCCAGATGTAATTTTCAAAATAACACTATCACAACCCCTATTGATCTAGTCCCCAATGATTTGTGTTGAAATTAATGGCACCCGTAGCTCCAGCTCTGTCGTGACCTTTCTCATTGGAGGGCGCTTCCTTCCACTTAAATTCAAACACCTCCTTGCAAGGTTAGCAACTACTATGATATCTGATTTAGACCCTCCTTTTACAACTTGAGCATCAAGAATTTCAAATAGGCGATCTAATAGCATCGAAATGATGAAGTATGTGGCAAGACATTTGCCTTCTTCTTGTGACCTTCTAAAAGAAATTGGTTTTTGTCCTGTCAAGAGCTCAACAAGGACAACTCCAAAGCTATACACGTCACTTTTCTCCGTAAATTGGCTTGATTGAAAACATTCAGAGCTCGTTTGTTACACAGGACTGTCTTGGCATGGACTATACTTAGGGACTGTCTTGGCTTGGTCTAAGTTGGATAACACTTATCCTGCGTTTGGTTTATGCTTGGACTATGACTAGATTTTTTTATTTTTTCAAAAATAAAAATATATGTATTTTATAATATATATATATATAATATGTATATATACATACATATATAATATATATAACATATATACATGTATATATGTATATTATAATAATATTATATATTATAAATAATATAAACATATATATATATAGCTAAAGACCCCTGAGTACCAAACGACCCCTGAGTCCAAGTAACCAAATGTGCCGTGTACAATTGTGGTAAAGTGAGTTTGGTCAATGGCCTTGTATTAAAAGCTTCTAAAATTGTCCCGGGGTGTATCAAAAGGTACAGCTAAAGATGCATAAGCTTTTTTAACCGTCCATAGGCCATGAAGGGAATCAATTGTTGGCTAGGATTTATGTTATGATTGAGCTGTGTGGAAAAAGTAAACCTAAGCAGCCAGACTTGACCGTAATCAATTAAACTAATCCTTTATATAGGGCATAGGGATTTCTGTTATCTTGTGTGGATAAAAAATGCTTTTGCAAAATCATATTGCTTATTATGATGCATTTCTCTCTTTCTTCTCTGTTTCCAAGTTCTTGTTTGCCAAGATGTCCAACTCAACACATGTGATGAAAAGCAAGGTCTAAAAAATTTGGTTTGACAAAAGGGTTTAGAGTAATCGGAAGAAGATACATTTTTGATTTGACGGAAGAAGAGAAATTTCGGAAGAGAAAAAAATGAGCTTTTTAGTGAGAGACTGAAGCACAAAAGAGAAGGAGAAATACTGGGAGATGTTCAAGAAACGAAGAAAAAGAAAAACGACGAAGATTTAGAAAGGAAAAAAAAAGAGAAGACATAGAACGACAGAAAATGAAGAGGTACCCTCCGACCAAAAAAAAAAAGTAACACAGATTTATTTTTAAAAGGGCCCCCCTGTTTTGAAAGCATGCATTCTATATTACATTTAAAAAAACAAAAGCATGTCTAAGATTAGATTAGTACAAAAAAGAGTAGCAGCCACGCGAGGAGACACAGACACAGGGGACAACTTTATCTCTTCCGTTCAAATTTTTTTATTTTATTGTCTCCCTTAATTTTTTTTTTGAATGTGGCCTTCTGTTCAAGGAAGTTTGAGGCCTCAAGTTTTGGAACTCATCGATCTTTTAAAAATAAAAAGCTTTGGAACTCTCAATAAAATATATAAATATAGGTATGTATACGGTATATATATAAAATTTGGAGACCCCTATGAGCTGAGGTCACCCCGCCGTCGCACTCCGTGCCCATGCTCACGGCCGTCGAGTCTTCATGCTTTGATTCATGCTTTCTCTGACTTGGCTTCTTTTGGTCAAATGCTCAGCAAACTTAAACATTAACTAACTGAACAATAATACAACAGAGACAAAAACTTACTCTGACAAGAACAGAAATGGTGTTGAAAGATCATGCATGAAAATTTTGCATAATATTTTGCTACATCATGCAGAACAAGCGAAACAGAGTTTTTCTTTGTTGCACCTTAACCAGAGACGGACTTAGGATTTTAAAATGGGGTGGGTTAGATATACCTTATTGAACTGTTAGATTTTAGGCTTATGGAATTGATCATATATGTGTGTGTATATATATATATATATATATATATATTTAATTTAAGAACATATCATTTTTATTTTATTTGTTTAAAAGGCATATTATACACCAACAACGCCAGCTAAGGTCTACCATAATGAACAAAAATAAATTAAGAGAAAAGAAAATTCATAAAAAAATTCAAAAATGAAAATTTATCATCACAAAGATATTTATGAAAATTTTTTGTCCCGTTACTAGGTCTCTGAATGTTTGTTTTTTGCGATTTTTGGGGTATACAATCTTGAAGTATATACAAACAAGTCTGACGGTTGGATCGTTGAATGATGTGTGTATATATATATTATTTACTTATTAAGTAGCTTTAAATTTATTTATTTTGTACGTATAACAATTAAGAAATTGAATAGTATATACATTTATTAAGTAGCTTTAACCTTATTTATATTTTAAATCATAAAATAAAATAATTTTATTTTTTATTATTCATAGCAATTATTTTTATAAATATCGTGCTACGAACCAATTTTTTGTCTCTCAAAAGTTTGCCCGACCAACAGTTCGTCGCGCAAAACTCTAAAAATTTGGGCGGGTGCCAAAAATGGAACGGGGATTTCCAAAAAAAAATTTAGACTTTGCGCGACCAATATTTTGTGTCGCTCAAAACTTTGAGCGACCAATATATATTTTTCATCGTGCAAAACTTGGGCGGGCACCAAAAATGGGATGCGGGAATTTTTTTATATAATTTTTTAGACTTTGCGCGACCAATATGTATTTTTCGTCGCTTAAAATTTCAAAATTTGGGCGGGTACCAAAAATGGGACGCATGGATTTTTATTTTTATTTTTACTTTGTGTGACCAATATTCCAATATTTTTCGTCATGCAAAATTTCAAAGTTTCTGTTGCGCTGAAATTTGTGCGACTACAATGTATTTTGCGCGATGAAATTCTCTTCGTCGCGCAAAGTGTAAAATGTAGTAGTGCCTTAACCCACTTGAAGAAATAGAGTTTGAATAACCAACACAAGCGAAGCCCCAAGACAGGTTTGTTGCTCCAACTGAGTAGTCCAATCCTACAGGATTTAAAGGCAAGAAGAGATAGGTCAAAATAACATATCAAAAAGTTTGATGTCAAATATTATTTTAATATTATTTTAGTTATGGACTCCACTATCATTTACCCTCTTTTAAAATTTTATGCATCATATGAGCCCTATTTGTTTTTAAAAATATAATAAAATAATATGATATTTAGGTGGAGTTAAATTTTTCCCAAAGTGTCAAATTGCCATATAAGTCATCAAATTTTAATATTTTTCATTTGACATCTCTCTTGGAGATGCTCTTACCAAATATCAAATTTAAATTTGATGGCTGATGTGGCAATTTGACATCTTACACAGCTTTGCACTCAACCCGATATGTCAAATTAAATTATTATTTTATTACATTTTAGTGTTGATTTGTTTTTAATTAAAAAGAAAAGAAAAGAAATAATAATAAAATATTCATTTGACATCTTGTTTTTGAGATGTCAAAAATAACATCTCAACCTCTAGCCTTCATTCCACATCAGTTTTGACATATCGGTTGGAGTGATGTGAGATGTTATTTCTAGCTGTTAAATGTCTATATGACACTTTTGACACATCAGTTGGAGATGCTCTAAGGCAGTCTAAAGTATAGTTGTACTCTTCAAATCGATTTCTCTTGATCCAGCTAAAATATTCAAAATCTAACACTTTCAAAACACCCTGTTCAAATAATTAATTAACTAATGCCGTTCAATTTTGATATGCAAAATCAATGGGGCCGAGTTTTAATCCACTTAATTTCATTATGTTTTTTAAAGACAGTTCAATTATTTGTTTGCTACTATTTAATGGCGGCCTCGTTAAAACATTCCCACAGAAAATCCTGGGTTAGAAAAGAGTATCAATCATGCGATTGACTAAACAAAAGAGTCAAACAACTTAGACGAAACAGACAAAACTAAAACCCAACCACAAAACCATTAAAACAACATCCCATCATTAGGCAAGTACTATGAAAAACTACATAACAAAATTTGAGTTTTAATTTAGGGTTTAATCATATGTGACCAAGATGTTAAAGTTAATGTTTAATCCCTTGTTGTAACTCTCGGACAAAATGTGCTCGAGCATAATTCTAGTATAGAAAGAGCTCGAGCGTGTTTTGGTAGAGACTTTGTCTGACGTGTTTTTTGGGAAACCAAGTTGCTTATGATATTTTGTAAGGCAAGATATTATTAGCTTTTAATTTAGTTAGTAAGGGTTGCTTATGATATTTTGTAAGGCTAGACTACACACAACTCCTTTAGATGTATCAAGAGAGGAACACTCTCTTAATTAAGAAAACTAAGCAATCAAAAATATCAGAAAAATATCTCTAAGAACCAAAAAAAAAGGACCTCTAAGTTCATCTTGCATAAAATCCAACACAACAAACAGAGCTAGAAAATTTCTTTACAGATAACGTGATAGTCTAAAAGATGATTCCAAGTCCAAAAACCGAGAATATATAATTACAACAAATATTTGTTCACTGTGTATTGAAAAACAATAGCGGTTGTACATCGAATGAAGAACCTGTACCGCCATCCGTACAAGGACCTGTTGATGAAGAAACAACATCCGAAACCTCATTTATTTCCTGAGTTTGGACACATCGGACCTCAGGGAAAACTTGTTGAACATCAGTCTCAGCTCTAACTGACAATTGAATTCCCTCCAACTCCACTGCTACTTCTTTCATAGTAGGACGATTCCTTCCATTCAAATTCAAGCATCTAACGGCAAGGTTGGCAACTGCTGTAATCTTTTCCTTTCTACCATCCTTCATAACTTGAGAATCAAGAATATCAAATAGAAGATTATTCTCCATGGAAAGCAGGAAATAAGTTGCTAGACTTCTTCTTTCTTCTGAACTCATCAAAGAAACTGCTTTTTGTCCAGTCAAGAGCTCAGCAAGGACCACGCCAAAGCTATAAACGTCACTCTTCTCTGTAAATTGGCTTGACCGGAAGTACTCCGGGTCCAGATATCCAAACGTTCCATGTACTTGTGTAGTGAGGTGCGTTTGATCAATGGAAACTGATCTTGAAGTCCCAAAGTCAGCTACTTTTGCTCTGTACTTTCCATCCAAGAGTATATTAGAAGACTTGATGTCTCGGTGGTAAATGGGAAAGGAAGCAGCAGAGTGTAAGTATGAAAGAGCTCCTGCGACTTCAATGGCAATTCGTAAGCGCATTTCCCATGTAAGAGAAAACTCCTCATTTGGGTGATGAATATACTGAGAAAGCGTTCCATTGAGTATGAATTCATAAACCAAAAGGGGGACTTCAGTCTCTAAACAACACCCCAATAGTTTAAACCACATTTCTGTGATTAATCTGTGAAAGAATGACAATTTCATTAATAAATTGTCCGACTTCTCCTCCAGCAACTATTTTTGACTTCTTGACAGCAACAATTCTTCCATCTGACAGCATTCCTTTGTAAACAGTACCTTGACCTCCTTGACCAAGAATTCTATCTATGCTGAAGTTGTCTGTGGCTTTGTCTAAATCCTTTGAAGTGAACAACTTAATTTTCTCAACATTAACTTCACCAGAAGATAATTGCTTCTCCAACAATAAACCTCCATTTTGTTTAAAAAACTTTTGCTTGCGTTTGATATCCTTCCTCTTCTTTATAACTTTGTGCGACCACCGAGCTCCAGAGAGTAGAAACAATAGTCCAATAAAACTGAGAGCTGCTCAATATGATTAAAAAGAGTTTATGTCTTGTGCCCATAAAATAAAATAAATTGTTGATGGCAATAAAAAAGAACTTATGTCTAAAATTTCTCTTCACACCTAGGCAGAGGGCTGGGTGATTTATAATATTTATTTGGGTTGTAGATTGTCCTTCTTGGATATCCGATTTAGAAGAGGTCTTTGCGGACGGAATTAATTTCTTGATTTGTTCTTAATTAACAAAGTTTAGAGACTTTGGAAAAACATAAAAGAGAGAGAAATTTTGTAAAAGAAGCCAAAATGGACAAAATTGCCCTTATTTATTTTGGATTTCCTAAGGAATCCTTTATATTGCATGTCTTTGATTTGAAAGTTGAGAGGTTTTTTTGTCTTTTTTGAAAAAGTTTTGGCTTTTTCCAAAAATGAAAAAAAAATTTGGCTAAAACCTAAATTTACTAAAAAAAAATTATATTTGTACGTAGTAGGGAACTTAAAATACATTTGTCGGTTCCCAAAAGTGCACCAATTCGGCTAATCCCAAAAGTGCAGTTTGGATTGCAGAATTTTCCCAAACCAATTGGGCTAATCCCCAAGGTGCAAGCCTCTGCTGCAACTAACTTTTGAGTTTAGCTTGTTACCGGTTGGTGACCAATTTTCACATCAAATGATACATCATAACTTTGAGTTTAGAATTTTCACATTAAATGATACATTATCCACACACTATAACACTCAATTATTTTTACTTTTCTTTTTAATGAAAAATCAACTCTGTTTAATTCCAAAATCGTATACTACGTACGATGATATAGGACGTACCTATAATAATGATCAATCTATCATTATTTTTGACATGGCAAAGATAATAATAATAACCAGGAGTGTGCGGACAGTTGCATGGATCAGGACCGCGCATGCATTCATCAGTATCTGAAATATAATTTAGAAAGGAAAAAAAAAACAGAAACGGTAAATTAGCGATACAATAATGCTATTTGCATAAGATCTATTGATCATTTTACAGATCACCTTTCTAATAGAATTTAGATCTCAAAAATATATGAGGAACTCACCGAAAAATAGTATATGTGGTACAAATAACATCACTTTTGACAATAAATATTATTAGGTACCCAAAAATATGTACAAGGAAGGGTCTATTTTGACTTGCACGACTTTTATATCTTGAAAAAAGTTCTTTGGCTGAAAATAAAAAATAAAAAAGGGAGTTCTTTCCCCTCCTTTCCAATACCGCTTGCATAAATCAAAAGGAAAGAAGGTTCTCAGAAAAGAAAACAAACGCAAAGAAAAATAAAACGCAGAGACGGAAGCTAGATATAATTAATTACATACGTACCTTGACAAGTTTCAAGAAGATAGGGATTTCCTACAGATCCTTCTGGGCATTCACAATAAACTCTCCGTAACGATTGTTGGTGAGCGATTGCTGAGCGATTCTTGGAATCCAAAGTATAGATATAGCAGCGGGGTCAGCGCTATAATTATAATAACTATTCTTATAAGGCTTAGAATCATTTGTAACGTAGCCTTCAAATAATGCTAGTGAAGAAGTAGAGTTGATTATATTCCATTCTAGCAGCACAGGAACGTGGCTTCTACTCTTGACTGCATGAGCAGAAGATGATCTCTCACTCTCAAACCAATCCTTGTCAACCAGAAACGCATAGTCGTCGCAATCGGCGTTTCGAGTTTCACCTTGGTATAGAATGGAAGCGGACATCATCCTGAGATATGGAGGAATGGTAGTCTGGCAACAGTTGATACCAATATCACAGGAAGCATTATAATTTTATGATCACAAACTGACTTGCAGGCAACCACAAACTCAGCTGATTCCATCCCGGCAAAGAAGCCGCAGCTAACTGCAGTGAATCTGTTTTTGTCCTGAGAGTAGACGAAAGGGCTGCCGGTCAAATTGGCCATTGGGCTACTTCCAGTTTCGTTGCAGAAGAAGGTAACGGGGCTGTTCACCTGAAGCGTGCCTCCAAAACCCTGAAGCGGGTCTCCAATAGAAATATTCAGCACCTCCAGTTTGGCTTGCTTCAAAACAGGCTTGTAATGAGGAGCAGAGCTGGAAGTTTTAGAAGACTGGTTGCTGCACTCGATTTCAAACCAGTTGTCTAAGTAGCAATCTTTGTTAGATCCAATTCCGAAAGGGTATGGGATGAGGACGTCTCCGCAATACTCTTCGCAATCATACTTTGCCATCCGAGGAACTACTTGTGCTGTACATATATTTATCGACAGAATGAATAAGTATAAGATCATCATATGAAGTGCTTGCGATTGCATTGTTCCTATGCTCGGATAACAAAAAGTAAAAGATTATCAAGCAAAAGTTTTCTTTGCAACTCAGTGCTTTCTACTATATATAATAAAGACCCCTTGTCGATCGAAGAAAAGTGGGTTCGAATTGAAGGCTACTTTCCCTTTGGTAATGTATATGATTATTAGTTGAGAATATTCAAGTGTTTCCTACTCTTCCTTGCTATCCCCAAAACAAAAACAAAAAACAAAAAAACAAAAAATAAGTTGACTTGACTGAGTCACTCACAAAAGGAAATGCAGTACATATGCTCAGTAAATTATTGTGGCCATAAAGAAATTAAAAATGAAAAGTATTTTGTCGTTTTCAAGTACATAAAAATGTTGTGAAATCCAGTCAATGATTACATACAAGCGAAGCCAGAAAGTAGGTTTCATAAGGTGATAAATTAATTTTTATATATCCCGTGATTTGTGTTTATATGGCAGTCATTCCTGACTGTAAAAGGTGACTTGAGAAGGAGAAAAGGTTAACATATATATGGAACATGCATTACAATATTACAATTAAGAAATATTTCATTATTGTTCAGCGTGACATGAAAGGTAATAGCGGAGAACTTCATCAAATGATGAAAAGCTAGACCACCATCCAAACCTAGCCATGCGCCTGTTGAGCTTGAAACGACATCCCAAGGATATTGATTTAGTTCCAACATATTCAACCTCTTCACAATTTCACGAAATAAAATAAAATATAAGCTTAATTGCCACAGTGCATCTTGAAATATTGGTCAATTCTCACTTTATACCTTTAAAGTTAAAGTGACCCACTTTGATCCCTTAACCAAAGTTTGATGTTCCACAATGCCCTATACCGTCAATTCCATCCAAAAGTCAGTTAAGTTTAATGACGTGGCAGGGGTGTTTTAGTAATTTTGTGCATCTAGATTTTTTATTCACAAATTTGAGTGGGTAATGTGGCAAAGTAGAGCCCACCTCCAGCATGGATAAAAAAATTAATAAAAAATTAATAACTTAAAAAAATTAAAATTTAAAACTGTAAAAAATTGAATCCTCTCTCTCTCTCTCTCTCTTAGCTTCTGGAGATGGAAGAAACACGGGAGGCTGCTTTAGCTTGTTTTGATAATTTGTAAGAGGAGCAAAAGGATAAGGCATGGGAAGATTTTGAAGCAATGGATTTAGATGGTGATGGGACAATAACCCTCATCGAATACCAGCAGTTTTATTATGGCAGCTCTTAAAAGGAATAAAAAAACCAGGAGCTCAACACTAATAGAGATGGCAAGTTGAATTTTCAGGAATTTAAAACTCTTTTCTATTTGTTTCTCAATTCCAAGGGCACAACACCATTAATACCAACACAAGATCGAGTAACATTTAACTTATCATCGATTCGTCGATTTATTTAGTTTATCTTTTTACTGAATTTTTTCTCTCTATCTCCTCTCTACAGGGTGGGTTGCGATGGGGAAAATGGCTAGAGGGGCATGGGTCGGGGAGAAGGGGGTATGGGGGCTGGGGTTCTGTGCGAGGGGTAGAAAAAACCAGAGGGAGGGGGCGATGGGTCTCGATGGGGAAGGGAAGCAGAGAAGAAATCAGTGGGGGGGGGGGTGGGTTCTGTGCAGGGAAGGGTGGGTTGCGGGTAGGGGGCCAACAGCTTTCCGGGTTCTGCACAGGGAGAGGGGTGGGTTGTGGATTGCGGGTTGGGGGGGTGAAGCGATGGGTTTCTGGTGGGGAAGAAGGGATGGGTAGGGTTTTTTTTTCTTTTTCTAAAATCTATTTTGTTTTCAATTTTATGTTTGTATTTTAAATTTTTTTAAGAATAATACTAGTTTTACCACATTTTTTATACTACATGATGTGGCGGCTGATGTGTATTTTAATAAAGAAAATTAGAAAAATAGAAACTAATATTTTACATGATGTGGTATGTACAAATCAGCCGCCACATCATATGGTATAAAAAATGTGGTAAGACTAGTATTATTCTTTTTTAAAAGAATAAAAAAACCTAGGTACACAAAATTACTAAAATACCCATGCTACGTCATCAAACTTAACGGACTTTTGGATGAAGTTAACGGTACTGGCAATGTGGAACATCAAACCTTGGTCAAGGGGGCAAAATGGGTCACTTTAACTTTAAGGGGGTAAAGTGAGAATTGACCAATATTTCAGGATGCATTGTAGCAGTTAAGCCTAAAATATACAATGAATGACACCACTCCTAGTAATATCGAGATCTTTTGTGACAAGACACCACTTTTAATAATATCGAGATCTTTTGTGACAAAACCTCACACCTATTAAGTTTTGTAAATAGTTAAGTTATGGACAAAAACAATGTGTCACATCAGAAAATTTTCTTTGCAACTTGTCTTCACGATGGAATTAAAAAAAAAAAGGACCAGCACAAATTGAAGGGTATGTTTCTTTTGGTAACGTGTTTCTCTTGATCCAGATGTAATTTTCAAAATAACACTATCACAACAACCTATTGATCTAGTCCCCAATGATTTGTGTTGAAATTGATGGCACCCGTAGCTCCAGCTCTGTCGTGACCTTTCTCATTGGAGGGCGCTTCCTTCCACTTAAATTCAAACACCTCCTTGCAAGGTTAGCAACTACTATGATATCTGATTTAGACCCTCCTTTTACAACTTGAGCATCAAGAATTTCAAATAGGCGATCTAACAGCATCGAAATGATGAAGTATGTGGCAAGACATTTGCCTTCTTCTTGTGACCTTCTAAAAGAAATTGGTTTTTGTCCTGTCAAGAGCTCAACAAGGACAACTCCAAAGCTATACACGTCACTTTTCTCCGTAAATTGGCTTGATTGAAAACATTCAGAGCTCGTTTGTTACATAGGACTGTCTTGGCATGGACTATACTTAGGGACTGTCTTGGCTTGATCTAAGTTGGATAACACTTATCCTGCGTTTGGTTTATGCTTGGACTATGACTAGATTTTTAAAATACGTACATATATAATATATATATATATATAACATATATACATGTATATATGTATATTATAATAATATTATATATTATAAATAATATAAACATATATATATAGCTAAAGACCCCTGAGTAACAAACGACCCCTGAGTCCAAGTAACCAAATGTGCCGTGTACAATTGTGGTAAAGTGAGTTTGGTCAATGGCCTTGTATTAAATGCTTCTAAAATTGTCCCGGGGTGTATCAAAAGGTACAGCTAAAGATGCATAAGCTTTTTGAACTGTCCATAGGCGATGAAGGGAATCAATTGTTGGCTAGGATTTATGTTATGATTGAGCTGTGTGGAAAAAGTAAACCTAAGCAGCCAGACTTGACCGTAATCAATTAAACTAATCCTTTATGTAGGGCATAGGGATTTCTGTTATCTTGTGTGGATAAAAAATGCTTTTGCAAAATCATATTGCATATTATGATGCATTTCTCTCTTTCTTCTCTGTTTCCAAGTTCAAATTAATATTTCTGCTAAAAAATTTGGTTTGACAAAAGGGTTTAGAGTAATCGGAAGAAGATACATTTTTGATTTGAACGAAGAAGAGAAATTTCGGAAGAGAAAAAAATGAGCTTTTTAGTGAGAGACTGAAGCACAAAAGAGAAGGAGAAATACTGGGAGATGTTCAAGAAAAGAAGAAGAAGAAAAACGACGAAGAAAAAAGAAAAAAAAAAAAAAAGAGAAAAAAGAGACGACCGAAAATGAAGAGGTACCCTCCGACCAAAAAAAAAAGTAACACAGATTTATTTTTAAAAGGGCCCCTCTGTTTTGAAAGCATGCATGCTATATTACATTTAAAAAAACAAAAGCATGTCTAAGATTAGATTAGTACAAAAAAGAGTAGCAGCCACGCGAGGAGACACAGACACAGGGGACAACTTTATCTCTTCCGTTCAATTTTTTTTATTTTATTGTCTCCCTTAATTTTTTTTTTGAATGTGGCCTTCTGTTCAAGAAAGTTTGAGGCCTCAAGTTTTGGAACTCATCGATCTTTTAAAAATAAAAACTTTGGAACTCTCAATAAAATATATAAATTATAGGTATGTATACGGTATATATATAAAATTTGGAGACCCCTATGAGCTGAGGCCACCCCTCCGTCGCACTCCGTGCCCATGCTCACGGCCGTCGCGTCTTCATGCTTTGATTCATGCTTTCTCTGACTTGGCTTCTTTTGGTCAAATGCTCAGCAAACTTAAACATAACTAACTGAAAAATAATACAACAGAGACAAAAACTTACTCTGACAAGAACAGAAATGGTGTTGAAAGATCATGCATGAAAATTTTGCATAATATTTTGCTACGTTATGCAGAACAAGCGAAACAAAGTTTTTCTTTGTTGCTCCTTAACCAGAGACGGACTCAGGATTTTAAAATGGGGTAAGCTAGATATACCTTATTGAACTGTTAGATTTTAGGCTTATGGAATTGATCATACGTGTATATATATTAATTTAAGAACATATCATTTTTATTTTATTTGTTTAAAAGGCATATTATACACCAACAATGCCAGCTAAGGTCTACCATAATGAACAAAAAAAAATTAAGAGAAAAAAAAATTCATAAAAAAATTCAAAAATGAAAATTTATCATCACAAAGATAGAGTCAGATAGACACACGGCAACTAGAGGTAACACTACAATTATCCAATTAGTTCAAATTAATATTTCTGCTATAAATGGAATTAACATTAACACTAACTATAAGAAATAAATAAATAAAATACAAATTTATAAATAAATCCAATCCTAGACATGTATTTATAAAAAAAACCCAAGCACTGTTTAAACATAGAAACACACCCAAAATCAATCCCAAAGTCAACTTTTTGGGTGTGTTTATAAATGGGTTTTGAGTGTGTGTAATGATGGGTTTTGGGTGTGTTTATATGTTTAAATAGTACTTGGGTTTTTTTATAATTTCAATCCCCATTTTGGGTGTTTTAGTGAAACTCCCTAAATAAAACTCACCTGGGCTATAGCCCATGTTGTACAAGTGATAGGATCGTCCCTATCCTTAACCCACTTGAAGAAACAGAGTTTGCATAACCAACACAAGTGAAGCCCCAATACAGGTTTGTTCTCCAACTGAGTAGTCCAATCTTACATGAATTTGAAGGCAGGAAGAGATAGGTAAAAAATAACATATCAAAAAGTTTGATGTCAAATATTATTTTAATTATGGACTCCACTATCATTTACTCTCTTTTAAAACTTTATGCATCATATGAGCTCCATTTGCTTTTAAAAATATAATAAAATAATATGATATTTAGGTGGAGTTAATTTTTCCCAAAGTGTCATATTGCCACATAAGTCATCAAATTTTAATATTTTTCATTTGACATCTCTCTTGGAAATGCTCTAAGGGAGATGTCAAATATCAAACATCAAATTTAAATTTGATGGCTGATGTGGCAATTTGACATCTTACACACCTTTGCACTCCACCCGATATGTCAAATAAATTATTATTTTATTACATTTTAGTGTTGATTTGTTTTTAATTAAAAGAAAAGAAAAGAAATAATAATAAAATATTCATTGAGATCTTGCTTTTGAGATGTCAAAAATAACATCTCAAACTCTAGCATTCATTCCACATCAGCTTTGACATATCGGTTGGAGTGATGTAAGATGTTATTTTTAGATGTTAAATGTCTATATGACACTTTTGACACATCGGTTAGAGATGCTCTAAGGCAGTCTAAAGTATAGTTGTACTCTTCAAATCGATTTCTCTTGATCCAGCTAAAATATTCAAAATCTAACACTTTCAAAACACCCTGTTCAAATAATTAATTAATTAATGCCGTTCAATTTTGATATGCAAAATCAATGGGGCCGAGTTTTAATCCACTTAATTTCATTATTTTTTTAAAGACAGTTCAATTATTTGTTTGCTACTGTTTAATGGCGGCCTCGTTAAAACCTTCCCACAGAAAAATCCTGGAGTAGAAAAGAGTATCAACCATGCGATTGACTAAACAAAAGAGTCAAACAACTTAGACAAAACAGACAAAACTAAAACCCAACCACAAAACCATTAAAACAACATCCCATCATTACGCAAGTACTAAGAAAAACTACATAACAAAATTTGAGTTTTAATTTAGGGTTTAATCATATGTGACCAAGATGTTAAAGTTAATGTTTAATCCCTTGTTGCAACTCTCGGACAAAATGTGCTCGAGCATATTTTTTTAGTATAAAAAGAGCTCGAGCGTGTTTTGGTAGAGACTTTATCTGACGTGTTTTTTGGGAAGCCAAGTTGCTTCTGATATTTTGTAAGGCTATATATTATTAGCTTTTAATTTAGTTAGTAAGGGTTGATGTGTGTGAAAAAGGGGTGTACTACACACAACTCCTTTAGATGTATCAAGAGAGGAAAACTCTCTGAATTAATAAAACTAAGCAATCAAAAATATCAGAAAAAATATCTCTGAGTTTTAGACCTCTGAGTTCAGACAGAAAAAAACGACCACTAAGTTCATCTTGCATAAAATCCAACACAACAAACAGAGCTAGAAAATTTCCTTACAGATAAGGTGATAGTCTAAAAGATGATTCCAAGTCCAAAAACCGAGAATATATAATTACAACAAATATTTGTTCACTGCGTATTGAAAAACAATAGTGGTTGTACATCGAATGAAGAACTTGTACCGCCATCCGTACAAGGACCTTTTGATGAAGAAACAACATCCGAAACCTCATTTATTTCCTGAGTTTGGACACATCGGACCCTTGGGAAAACTTGTTGAACATCTGTCTCAGCTCTAACTGACAATTGAATTCCCTCCAACTCCACTGCTACTTCTTTCATAGTAGGACGATTCCTTCCAATCAAATTCAAGCATCTAACAGCAAGGTTAGCAACTGCTGTAATCTTTTCCTTTCTACCATCCTTCATAACTTGAGAATCAAGAATATCAAATAGAAGATTATTCTCCATGGAAAGCAGGAAATAAGTTGCTAGACTTCTTCTTTCTTCTGAACTCATCAAAGAAACTGCTTTTTGTCCAGTCAAGAGCTCAGCAAGGACCACGCCAAAGCTATAAACGTCACTCTTCTCTGTAAATTGGCTTGACCGGAAGTACTCCGGGTCCAGATATCCAAACGTTCCATGTACTTGTGTAGTGAGGTGCGTTTGATCAATGGAAACTGATCTTGAAGTCCCAAAGTCTGCTACTTTTGCTCTGTACTTTCCATCCAAGAGTATATTAGAAGACTTGATGTCTCGGTGGTAAATGGGAAAGGAAGCAGCAGAGTGTAAGTAGGAAAGAGCTCCTGCGACTTCAATGGCAATTCGTAAGCGCATTTCCCATGTAAGAGAAAACTCCTCATCTGGGTGATGAATATACTGAGAAAGCGTTCCATTGGGTATGAATTCATAAACCAAAAGGGGGACTTCAGTCTCTAAACAACACCCCAATATTTTAACCACATTTCTGTGAATAATCTGTGAAAGAATGACAATTTCATTAATAAATTGTCCGATTTCTCCTCCATCAACTATTTTGACTTCTTGACAGCAACGATTCTTCCATCTGACAACATTCCTTTGTAAACAGTACCTTGACCTCCTTGACCAAGAATTCTATCTATACTGAACTTGTCTGTGGCTTTGTCTAAATCTTTTGAAGTGAACAACTTAATTTTCTCAACATTAACTTCACCAGAAGATAATTGCTTCTCCAACAATAAACCTCCATTTTGTTTAAAAAACTTTTGCTTGCGTTTGTTATCCTTCCTCTTCTTTATAACTTTGTGCGACCACCAAGCTCCAATGAGTAGAAACAAGAGTCCAATCACACCGCCAGCAACTGAGTAGCTCAATAAGATACAAATATTGATAAGATGATTAAGATTTTTTTTTTTTTTTTTTTTTTTTTTTTTTTTTATATGTCTATAATGTCAAATTTTCCACCAAAGGGCCCAAAGTTTAATTCATTAAAGTGCATTTGCATACCTAAAACGCCCACGTTACTCCGTCGAATTGGTCGTGGATCCGGCTGGTAGCATACAAAGTCCCCTGGACGATTTATACAAGTGCCCGCACGACAACTAGAGGAGTTGAGACATTCGTCGATATCTGGAATATTTAATGACAAGTGGAAAATGGGGTAAAAAAAGAAGATCAGGGATGGTTAATTATAAACGGTACACAACTCCGAAGAATTTCATCGTTTACCTTCGTTGGTTGAAGAATTTAATTAATTACAAACAACAAAAATTAGGGTAACGTACAAATCAGTACTGAAAAAAGGAATTCTCATAATTTGAGCATGACTTTTGATTTGGACATATACAATGGTAGGCTTGCGTACCTTGACATCCATCCAGAAGATAGGGGTTTCCTTGATAGCCCGTGTTGCAAGAACATTGCCAATCATCGTTGCAGGTCATGTTTTGAGGGGAAAAGTTATATGTTCCATATATATCCCGTGCAGAATATTTACGCAACTGATATTCCAGCACTACAGGGACGTTGTCCATGTCCACAATGGTAGAGATATTTGTTGACATAAACCAATCGCGGTCTACCAGGAAGGCATACTTGCATTCCTTTTCACTTTCACTATCGTTTAGCATTGATCGAAAAGTAGTATCGAAGAATGAAAGACCTTTCAAAATGGTGGTCTGGCAGCAGTGCAAACCACTACAGCTGTTATTTGGAAAGATAGTACTACTACTGTGAGCAGTATTATCACAAATGGAATAGCACCCAGCAAGTGGTTTCCCAAAATCTGACATCAAGGCAATTACCTCACAACCGATTGAAGTGAATCTGTTGCTCTGGGAATACACAAAAGGGCTGAAAAACACGTTGCGTGCCTGGCGGTCGCTTTTCTTGTTACTGCAATTAGAGAAGGTGATTGGGCTTGTGACTGTAAGTGTGCCTCCAAGAGAAATGTTCAGCACCTCTAACCCAGTCTTGTTCAAGAAAGCCTTCGGAGGGCTGGCTGAGTTGTCGCATGTTATTCGGAACCAGTCGTCCAGGTAACAACCTGCTCCAATTCCGAAAGGATATGGGATTTGAGTGACGTTTCCGCATTGCGACAAACAAGATGGTTTTGCCAAGGATGCTTCTGATGCTACTGCTAGTAGTGCATTACTCATAGACCACAAGAACAGAGTAATATGAAGTAGCAACTGGCCAACCATTATGTTTCTTCTTCCTTCTCTTTAATTACCTATCTGCCTGCCTAGTAGGAAGCTTGGAATTAGAATTTAGCTAGCAAAGCAAAATGCTCATTCTTGAGCCTAAGCTTTCTCTCGGATAATACTAAAAGAAAATAAGGAAGGTGCAGAGATAGTTAATATTACTTCCTGGCAACTTCTGCAGCTGCTAGGCAGAAATATATTAATGCCATATCATTGACCTATGAGTAGTACTGTTACAAGTCAAGTCCACTAACTAAGACAAATTATTCAGGTTTACCATTTCTTCTTCAGAAGAAAAAACAAACACACTGGGGCGAAAAGTTTGAGGTGAACTTTCTTTGCAATGTGTTTGGGAGCTTATATTACACCTAAAATGGACCCCACAAAATGACAAATCATACTTTTTATAAATACAATTTTATAAATCACTTATTTACCAACTCTTGTACACATCCTTAAATATTTCTTTACTTTGGATCTATTGACAAAGTTGTTGAGAACATCTCACACTGGAGGATGGAAAGTTAGGTTAAAAAATGCTTTTGCAGAATCATATTATCATGCATTCCTCTCTTTCTTCTCTGTTTCCAAGTTGCTGTTTGCCAAGATGTCCAACTCAACATATGGGATGAAAAGAAAATGATGAAATTGAAAAGTAAAAGATTCTCAAACAAAAAATTTCTTTGCAACTTAGTCTTCACGATGGAAACAAAATTGAAGGTATACTTTTCTTTTGGTAACGTGTGTGGAAATTGTATGTGTAGAGCGTCATGATTGTCTGTTTGATATGTCTGGTAATAGAAAACTAAAGACTCCTTTAATTTTTATTTTTTTTTGCTTTTGTCGTTTTCAAGTACGTAAATATGTAATATGTCAAAACATTCAGATTTTCGATTCATCAAACACGATCCTCGCTTCAATTAGTTCCCTATTTTTCGGTCTACAATTAGTTCCTAATCTTGTTGATTAGAAAGAAACCGAATTTGAGTTTTCCTTCATGTTTATTTCTATGGGTTTGGAGACTTAATAAAGAACATGTAATTGTCTACAACATCACAACAAATAATTTGTTCACCATGTTTTCATATTTAACTGTGGAAGTTCGAGTATTGACGAAGCCATATCGTCACCATCAGTATCTCATGTTTTCATATTTTAATACAAGAGATAGTCTAAATTATAAGGGGGAGGGGAGCTCACAAACACCCTAGGTGCTATGAAGGTTTGAACCTAAGAGCACTGGTCTGTAAATCAAGGTCCTTTTCCACAGAGATATAGACCCCATTGGCAGTTGACCAATGTCGTTATTATTGAACAGTAAATACAAACACAAAAACAAAAAAAGAATAGACATGAAGTTGAAATATCATGCATGAAATATTTGCATAATATTTTGTTACATTATTCTCTTTCAAAAGTTACAGTATTTAAATTGAGTTAAAATTTGCAATATGTTCTAATTAATTGAGGGTGGTTGACTCTGCTACTATCAAGGACCTAATACTCTCCAAACCAATTTCTCTTGATCCAACTAAAAATTTTAAACTCTTAACACTTTCAAAACACCCTGTTGCTCTAGTCAAAATGAATTTATATATCCAGTGATTTGTGATTTGTGTTGAAATAGCCATCAGGCAGTGTAGCTAATTAACCAAACCTCACCTATGACCTTCTGGATTGGAAGTTGAAACTGCACTCACATTCTGACCTGAAAAGTTCAGAAAAGGAGCAACACATACATAACATATATGGAACATGCATTACAATATTACAATTAATGTTCACCATGACTTGTAAGGTAATAGCGGAATTTCATGTGATGAAGAAGGACCACCATCCAAGCCTGGCCCTGTTCCCGTTGAACTTGAAGCAACATCCCAAGGCTCAATTGAGTCAGTCCTAACATATTCAACCTCTTCATAGTTTTGTCCACCATTAGAAGTTTTTTCTGACATTTGAATCCCCTCCAGCTCTGCCGTGACCTCTCTCATTGTAGGGCGCTTTCTTCCACTCAAATTCAAACATCTTCTTGCAAGGTTAGCAACTAATATGATATCTGCTTTAGACCCTCCTTTTACAACTTCAGCATCAAGAATTTCGAACAGGCGATCTAAATGCATCGAAGTAATGAAGTACGTGGCAAGACTTTTGCCTTCTTCTTGTGACCTTCTAAAAGAAATTGGTTTTTGCCCTGTCAAGAGCTCAACAAGGACAACTCCAAAGCTATACACGTCACTTTTCTCCGTAAATTGGCTTGATTGAAAGTATTCGGGGTCCAAGTAACCAAATGTGCCGTGTACAAATGTGGTGAGGTGAGTTTGGTCAATGGCAACTGATCTTGAAGTTCCGAAGTCAGCAAGTTTTGCTCTGTATTTTGCATCCAAGAGTATGTTGGTAGACTTGATGTCTCTGTGATAAATGGGAAAGGTAGCTGAAGCATGTAAGTACGAAAGAGCTCCTGCAATTTCCATGGCAATTCGTAAGCGAACTTTCCATGTAAGTGGGAACTCCTCATTCTGCTCATGGATATACTGGGAAAGGTTTCCATTAGGTATAAATTCATAAACCAAAATGGGAACCTCCGTCTCCAAACAACAACCCAATAGTTGAACGACATTTCTGTGGTTGATTTGTGAAAGAATGACAACCTCATTGATGAAATCTGAAAGTTGGCTTTCGTCCACTATTTTAGATTTTTTCACAGCAACAATTCTTCCATCAGTCAGCATGCCTTTGTAAACAGTACCTTGGCCTCCCTGACCAAGAATTCTATCAGTATTGAAATTGTCAGTGGACTTCTCCAACTCCTTTGATTTGAATAGCTTGATTTTCTCAACATTAACTTCACCTGACGACAATTGTTTCTCTAATAATAATCCACCATTTCGCTTGAAGAACATCTCCCTGCGTTTCATGGTATGGCGTTTCTTTAGGAATCTGTATCCCAACCAAGCACCGACAAGCAAAAGTAACAGTCCAAGACCAGCACCAAGACCTGCATATATAACTCAGTAAAATGATAAATGATCACAAATTGCAAACCAAGTTTTTGTCTTGTGCCTATAAAATAAAATAAAATAAGTGGTTGATGGCAGTATACAAAAGAGATTATGTCTAAAATTCCTCTTGACACTTAGGCAGGGTTGTGCCTTGGTCTCTATTTTCTTAGTCATGAACCTTGGGCTCTGTGATTTATAAAGTTGTAATATTTATTTGGGTTGTGGATTGTCCTTGGATATCAGATTTATTTCCATCCCCCTATCCCCACTCCATGAATGAAGAAGTATTCCATAAAAGAAAAAACTAATGTGGACCAAATTAATGCTTGATTTGTTCTTAATTACCAAATTTTAATAAATAATTAACTGCAAAGACTAAATCAAGAAATCTGGTAATTTCTTAAAAGTTGATTTGTTCCTAATAGTTGTCTCCCCATAACTTTATTCATGAAATATGCATCTTTTTTCTTTCTTTTCTGTTTTTTTTTTGTTTTGAAAAAAAACGACAGTATTTTATTGATAAGGAGGAAATAACAAGAAGAAAAAAAAATTGTACATAGTAGGGAAGTTAAAATACATTCGTGAGTTCAAGAATTACAAGAATATCCTAGGTCTAACTTATTATCTCACTCCACCAATTGAGCTAATCCCAAAACCCCAAGGACTTGAACATATTATTCTTATCAAATATGTGTAGGATTTTCCCAAACTTTGAGTTTTGGTTGTTACCGGTCAACTAATTGGTGACCATGCCTTATTTACATTACATGACACATCATCTACTTACTAATTAAGTGATAACACTCTGTTTAAAGAGAAATCAACTCTGTTTAATTGAAAAAATCGTATACCACGTAGGACGTACCTATAATAAGGATCAATTTAGTCTTCTTTTTGTCCGTAGCATCGACCCGCGCAAAAGTAATAACCAGGAACGTTCACACACTCGCTCTGGGGCCCGCATCGACCATAACCAGTAGTACGCATGCATTCATCAATATCTGAATGTAATTTAGATATATATATTAAAAAAAGGTATAAATTAGAAATACAATAATACTATTTGCACAACATGTGTTGACCACCATGCATATTACACTACTACGTTTTCCTATTTGCGCGACCGCATTTTGCGCGACGAAGAAGTATTCGTCGCGCAAGAGATCAATATGCGACGGAAAAACACAATCGTCGCGCAAAGTGTGAAAAATTTGCGCGACGAATTCAATTTGTCACGCAAGATAACTTTGCGCGACGTACAAAACTCTCGTCGCGCAAAGGGAGGGAAAAAAAAACCCGGGAAAGTTTTTATGGCGCCAAAACCTTGCGTGACAACAAAGTCGTCGCGCTAAATTGTTTTGCGCGACGAAAATCAATTTGGTCGCGCAAAGTTATGTAACATCCAGCCAAATTATCTCTGGCGACAAACACTTGCGCCACGACCAGAATCGTCGCAAAAGAGATCTTTTGCGCGACGCCTTCCTAATTTTGCGCGACAATAAAGGCGAGAACACTTTGCGCGACGAAACTCGTTGCGTCGCGCAAAACCTGGATGTCGGCACGAAGTTGCGGGACGGAAGAATTTTTTTGCGCGACGAAACGGGACATATGCGCGACGAAACTGAGATTTTGCGCGACGAAAGTGTCCTGTTTGCGCGACGGAGGTTTTCATTTTTTGCGCGACGAATTATGTCTTCGTCGCGCAAAACTCTTCTCCTTCATATGCTGGTTTCTGCCATTGCAGAGGCAAAAAACAAAAAAAAAAAAAAAAAAAAAAAAACTCTGCTCTGCTCTGCCTGCCTCTGGATCTACTGCAGCTTCTGCTTATGCTGGGAGTTGACTACGGTTAATAGGTATGTATTTGTAGTCGTTAGTTTGAAAGTATTAATTTAAATTAACACTAACGCAATTAATTTCGTTGTTTTTAGGGATAATTGTAATTTGCGATTGGTGGAAAACGATTGAGAAGGTATTTGATAATTTTAATATTTTTTGTTGTGAAATTATATATATATTATGTTGTTAAATTGTCCATTACGTAGCACAATGTGTTGTGATGTACGAAGTTAATTGAAATTAACTTCGTACTTTGTTTTTTATTGTATTAAAACTTAGTTTCCCGTTCGAGATTAGTTGGATTTCGTGCATGGATGCGTAATGCATGACTGCGGTCCAATTAATTCTTGAATTGTCCCATTATTTGGACAGTTTGGTAATGCATAGTGTTGTCACGTAATCTACGGCTACAGGACTAGGTTTCGATTGTGGAAATTTCGGTGTCATCTCGGTATGTTCTTCGGGTGGTACGTAGGTATTTATACCTATGCCCACCTCAAGAACTGTATCGAGATGCTGCTGAAATTCTTCCACGTCGAAATCTAATCTCATGTAGCCGTAGGTTACGTGATAGGACTATGCATTCCCGAATGGGATAGGACCCTTACCGGAGGCATAAGGTGACATTACAACTTCGTATGAAGTTTTTGTAATTGTTGTGTTGTGATTGTGGTTCCAGGAATTATGAGCAGACTGTGGATACAGAACCCGAATAGATGCGCAGACGAATACTTGGATGGAATCGAGGATTTCATTGAGTTTGCACGTAGACACAACCCGGGTGCAACTAGAATCCGGTGTCCTTGTAGGAGGTGTAACAACACATTGTGGGAGACAATTGAAAATGTTGGATTTCATTTAGTAAGGAATGGAATGATTGAGACATATAGCATTTGGAACCTTCACGGAGAACAATTAGACAATGCTTCGTCTTCAAATGCCATAAGAGTGGACAATGTTAAACCTATTGTGGATCGTAATGAACAAGTGATGGATATTATAAACGATGTTTTTCCATTTGCATCGACGAACATCAATCAGGAAGGGGAAGATGACGTGCCTACACCAATGGACAGTGCAGAGTTCGAACAATATGAAAAACTATTAAAAAATGCCAACCAAGAGTTATACCCGGGGTGCAAGAGCTTTTCCGTTCTCACGGCCATTGTGGAGCTAATGCACGGAAAAATAAAATATCGTATGTCGAACTTGTGTTTTGATTACTTTTTGGGGGGTTTTCAAGAGAATGCTTCCGACGGACAATTGTTTGCCGAAAGACCATAAACACGCGCAGAAGGTGTTGAATGGTCTTGGATTGGGTTATGAAAAAATTCATGCTTGCAAAAATAATTGCATGTTATTCTACAAAGAGTATGAAACATTGGATACATGCCCTATATGCAATGAGTCGAGGTTCAAAATGACATCTCAGAATAGAACGACTAAGATCCCACAAAAAGTCATGCGTTATCTGCCTCTGAAACCTAGGCTTCAGCGATTGTATATGTCGACGCATACTGCCACAGACATGAGATGGCATAAGGAAAAACGGGTAGACGATGATGTGATGCGGCATCCTGCAGATGGGGAAGCATGGAAAGAGTTCGATCGAACGTTCCCTGACTTTGCTGCTGATCCTCGAAATGTTAGATTGGGACTTGCCACTGACGGATTCAATCCGTACGGGGTTCTAAACCAACACCACAGCACTTGGCCGATTTTCGTATTTCCATATAATTTGCCGCCTTGGAAATGCATGAAAAAAGAATACATGATGTTGACTGTTTTGATAACTGAGGATCCTGGCAGGTCAATCGATGTTTACTTAAGGCCGTTGGTTGATGAGCTCAAGGATTTATGGGCAAACGGTGTGCGTACGTACGATAAATCCACTGGGAAGATGTTCACTTTGCGGGCAGCAGTGATGTGGACTGTTAATGATTTTCCCGCATATGCAATGGTTTCTGGGTGGAGCACAAAGGGTTATATGGCATGCCCTATGTGCAAGGAAGATGTAACTTCTAGTTGGCATGCCGGAAAAGTTTGTTATCTTGGTCATCGGAGATGGTTGCCATGGGACCACGAATGGCGGGAAAAGGATAAAGAGTTCGACGGGAACAAAGAGCCTCGCCTTAGACCTAGAGAATGGTCTGGTGATGACATCTTGGAACAGCTTAACCGTTTGGATTTTGCTCCGTTCGGCAAAACAGTTAGTCGAACCAGACCTTCTACACATATGAACTGGACGCACAAGTCTATGTTCTTTGAGCTCCCATATTGGTCGAAACTAAAATTGAGACACAATCTTGACGTTATGCATGTTGAGAAAAATGTGTTTGACACTTTGATAGGTACGATTCTAGACATCGAGGGCAAGACAAAGGACACGATCAAAGCTCGTCTTGATTTGGAAAGAATGGGCATACGAAGAGGTTTATGGATGAACAGGGACGGTGATAAAGCTAGAAGGGATCTGGCATTTTTTTCCATGAAACCAAATGACAAAAAAGAATTTCTAAAGTTTGTATCGTCGGTAAAGTTTCCCGATGGGTATGCTTCTAATATCGCGCGTTGCGTGAATGTTGACGGGGGTAAATTTACTGGACTTAAGAGCCATGATTGCCATGTGTTTATGCAACGGTTACTTCCTGTGGGTATTCGACACCTATTGCCGGAAGATGTAGTGAAGCCGATCATGTTGTTGTCCAGATTTTTTTCCCAACTTACGGCAAAAACATTGCGAAAGACGGACATGCATCAATTGCGCCATGACATTGTCCAAGTCCTATGCAAGTTTGAGATGATATTCCCTCCAGCTTTCTTCACAAGTATGATCCACGTGATGGTTCATTTGCCAGAAGAGGCATTGCTTGCTGGTCCTGTCAACTATCGTTGGATGTATCCAATAGAAAGGTATATAATCCTCATCATTTGTTTATGCATCATTATCCAATTGAAAGGTATATTATCCTCATAATTTGTACCATATCGTTTTCTTTTCGCAGGTTGCTTGGAGAGCTGAAAAAAAACTGTACGCAACAGGGCGAAGCCCGAAGGGTCAATTATAGAGGCTTGGGTTCAATATGAGTCGCTTACTTTCTGTGGAATGTATTTACAAGATGTGGACACAGCTTTCAATCGTCCTCAACGCAATAATGACGGAGGTGTGAGAAATGAGAAACTTTCTGTTTTTGCCCAAAGAGCACGACCATTTGGAGATCCTGTACGAGGAGAGTCGTTTTCCATAAATGACATGCAGGTAGCACATTGGTTCGTACTGAACAATTGTGATGAGATAATGGCATACTTAGATGAGCATGAAGAGATGATGAAGCGAGAACATCCATCACATTTGTATGCCACGAAACACCGTGAATTGTTTCCACAATGGTTTTTGGAAACTGTAAGTTAAAAGTGTTTTGTAATTGAGATATATATTGTATTATTTAATGTTCTCAAATTAACATGTGAATATTTTTGTATAATATTAGGTCAACAAGTTGAAATCATCGAATTCCCCCACTTACAGTGAAGAGTTATATAACTTGGCGTTCGGCCCGATTCGGGCTGAATTGTTCTCGGGTTGCCATGTTAACGGCATCAAGTTTTTAGGGGCTGCACGAGATGACAAGTTGTGTACGCAAAACAGCGGTGTCCATGTCCCAGGTGGAGGCGAAAGTACGGACATTGATTTCTATGGCAAACTCACAACTGTTGTGCAATTGCTTTACAAAGACCGATACCAAGTGATCATGTTTAAGTGTCGATGGTTTGATACAAACCCAAATAGGCAGGGAAGTGTTAAAATCGACCATGGCTTAATATCAGTGAACATTAAAAGAACTTGGTATGATGACGACCCTTTCATTTTGGCAAACATGGCAAAACAGATTGTGTATCTAGATGACCCTAAAGCCGGGAGCGGTTGGAAAGTTGTTCAGCATATGGATCAGAGGAACGTGTATGCTATACCAGAACTAGACCCAACTGACAATGACGTCACTGACCACGACGTCACTGACCAACGTTTGGAGTCTTCCATGGAAAATGATGCAGAAACACTTCGAGATACAAATGTTATACAAGAACCATTTCAGGTTCAAGGAGTGTCTTCAATCGAAATACCGATTCAGTCAATTACAATTGACCTCGGTGATCTTCCGCGATATGATGTTCCAGTGGGCCCAAACTACGAAAGTGATGAGGAGGAGGATTGGGAAACCGAAAGTGATGATAGCGACGATAATGAAGGTTATTATAGTTCAGATGATGAATAATGCAATTTATTAGTGACTACCCATGTAAATAGTAAATTCAATTTTGTGTATTTTAATTATGGTAGTGTAAAGATGGCAATCACAAATAAAAATCAAGTTGCACACAATTTGAATTTGACTTTTTTAATCACAAATTTAATCATATAATATATACATTGAATCTAACTATTTGAATTTAAGTGGTATTTATGAATATAAGAATTAGGGTTTTCTCTTGTTGGAGTTGAAAACTATTGAAATTGAAAGAATACAAAAAATTGAAACAAGCATGAAAAATTTGAAAAATTAAAATCAAGAATTCATCTCTCTTCGCGATGTTCCACGCTTGGCTACAGCCCATGTGATTTTGTCCTTCTCTTTCTCAAGAGGTCAAACTTTGTCATTGCAAGTCATAAAGTTAATTAAAAACTTTTTTTTTAATAGGAGAAAGTTCATTACTCTATTATTATATGATGAAAACCCCCCTTTTTTAATAGGCAAGATATAATTTTTGCCTACTTCAAACAAGTTTCCAGGTTTTTTAAATAATAGAAACTATTTTAAAATTACTTTTGAAAATTTAAAATATTTTTCAAGACCATAAAAGAATTAAATACTACATATTCAGTCATTTCATAAATAAATTAAAAAATGTAAAACTAATTCTTCACAAAATAAATAATACTAAAAACAAAATACAAATTACAGAAATTGAATTAAACTAAAATATTTTGGTTTTCCGAGAGATTTGCGCGACGGAATTAATTTCTACGTCGCGCAAGTTGTCCACATTTCCCGCCTTTCCCGTTAGGGTTTAGGATTTACGGATTTATTTATGGTAATCTTGCGCGACGAAACTAATTATCGTCGCGCGTAGCGCATTTGCGCTACGCAATTAATACCTTTGTCGCGCAAGATGTCGAAATTTTTGCCTTTTGGTTTGTTTGGTTTTTTTTTAGTGTGGTTGCAACTTGATCAGAAATTGCAATGTAGAAAACGAAAACTGCAATGCAGAAAACGGAAACTGCAATGCAGTTTCCGTTTCCGTTTTAGTACTTTCATCATGGTTTTGCATTTTGGTTCCTCACTTATTAATATATTTATTTTTTCCCATACTTTGCAGTGCAGTTTTTGTTCCCATAATTGCATTGTAGTTTTTGCTTTTTATTGTGGATTGTTTTTTTTTCACTTTTTGGTGCAATTATCCTAAGGCAAGTCTTAAAAGTTAACATATCCTTGGTCTAAAAATGTATGGGTTTTTAGAAATTTTATTGTCGATGGCAGAATTGTGACGCCATGAAAAAATGTTGTTAACAAGGCAGACCTTGATTAGCATGTTTATCATAAATGCTGGTCCCGATTTTAGAATGCTTGAAGGAAAAGAATTTTGTCAATATATTAGTCTTCTTGTTTCAGTGTAGTGAAGGTCTTTGCAATAAATTTAGTATGTGTTATGTTTTGTTGGTGTTTTTGGTTTAGTGACTTTTAGTCTCCTTGTACCCAAAAATAAAAAATAGGTCTTTTTTCCTTTTCAGTTTATGGTTGCTTATGTTAGAGATAGTTTAGTGAATTTCCAAAAACGCAAAACCATGATGAAAGTACTAAAACGGAAACGGAAACTGCAATGCAGTTTCTGTTTTCTGCATTGCAGTTTCCATTTAATTACAATTGGCTAAATTGTTTTATCATTGGATATTGGTAGGATTTTTGAAGTTAATGGAAATTATGCAATTGTGTCATCAATGGATATGTCTTTTTGACTTTGTTTAGTTGCTTGTTTTCATGATGGCTTTGATTTTTGGTTTTTTTTTTGTTGGTGTGGTTGCAACTTGATCAGAAACTGCAATGCAGAATAACAGAAACTGCAATGCAGAAAACAGAAACTGCATTGATTCCGTTTTAGTACTTTCATCATAGTTTTGCATTTTTGGTTCCTCACTTATTAATATATTATTTTTTTTCCCATACTTTGCAATGCAATTTTTGTTTCTATAAAATTAGTTTCTGTGTTATTTTATTTTATTTTATTTTATTTTTTTGTAGTTTGTAGTTTTTTTTTTAACTTTTTTGCTTTTGTTTTTGTTTACATCATTGATATCTACATTGTTTTTGTTTTAAAATCCCACTTAAATATGAGAAATTTTGGTTTTTCTAGAAACTGCAGTGCATTTTTTGATCTTCTTCTTCTATTCCACTACCCTTAGCATTTAAGCCATTAAAATATTACCTTGCGCGACGCCATTATTTTTGCTGTCGCGCAACACATCATTGCGCGACGAAATTTAGTTTTTCGTCGCGCAAGGTTTCCAAATATAGGCGGCCCTTTGTGAAAAAAATCGCGGTTTTTTATTTTCGTTATCGTCTCCAGATTCGAACCCTAGCTCGAACCCTCTCAGACTTCGAACCCTAGCTCGAACCCTAAACTTCGATTTCGAACCCTCGAACCCTATCAGGTTGAAATCCCCGTTGAACCCTCTCACCCTCTCAGACTGAACCCTCTCGCCTCTTGCCCTCTGCTTCGAACCCTCTGACCTCGCACCCTCTCACTTCGAACCCTCTCAGTTCCCTCCTTCGAACCCTCTCAATTCCCTCCTTCGAACCTTCGAACCCTCTCACACCCTCTGAGCTCTCTTATTCGAGCCCTCTCAGACCCTCTCTCATTCGATCCCTTTCGTCAAATTGCTCGATTCTCAGGCTCACTCTCGCATCTCAATATCAGGTATATCTCCTCTTCCTCTAATTGCTCTGGATTTGAATTTTGAATGAACAAAATTAGGGTTTTTTTTTGTCCTAATTAAAATTTGGGTTTCATGAAATTATTTAGGAATTCGTTTTTAATTGCGCTGTATTGTTTAGGTTCTGTTATTTGATGGAAATTAATTAGGGCTTTTGTAATAATTGGGGTGTTTTTAGGTTCTGTTGTTGGTTTGCATGTATTGTTTAGGTTTTGGTGGATGTGATTGTGAATGTTGATTAATTGGGGGATTGGGGCTTTGCTGGAAATTGGGACTTTGGCGGTTTAAGTGGCTGTTTTTAGGTTCTCTGTAGGTGATTCATTTGCTGCTTGGTGTCAGATTATGCATTCCGTGTTGCTGATTAGATGGATTGTTTTTAGGTTCTTTTTTCGGTGTTATGCTGTTCAGTTCTTGAATGATGATTAATTGGTTATGTTTCTGCTGCTTCAAGGTTATCATTGCTGGTTACATTTTGGTGCATAAATGGTAGAACGGTATTATGCTGGTTATAGTTTTGTTAAAACTGCATGTATTGGTTGCTGCTATTAGTTGTACAATGTAGCAAACTTTTTCAGTTTTTCTCTCTTATTACGGTTTTACGCATTTTCTGATGCACGAGCATGTATTAGGATAATTTGTTTTCCTATTTGTTTCATTTCTTGTTTAGGTTTTAATTTTGTTTGTCAATTGCGGTTTCTTATTAAACTAGGAACATGAATGCTTGGCTGGTTAATACATAAGCAAATAGATATGTAAATCTGTTATATTATTTAGATATGTAATATATATATGCTTAGTCTGAAGGTTGGTTAGGATATGTTGTGTTCTTCAATTAGTTCTTGCTTGTTCCGTTGTGCAGATGTCAAACCTAATTAGAAGTCGTAAGGCGGTGTCGGCTGCACATAGTTCGCCTCCCCTGTCGCAGCCATCAGTTGCCACAGCTCCAGCAGAGATGGACCACTTTCCAGTTGGTCCAAGGGTGTCCGATGCGCCGACGTCATCAGCGTCGTCAGTGGCGCAACCTGTTAGCGCCAGGCGTCGTCATCGCCCACCCAGCACCTCTGACACCATATCGACAGACGCTTCTGCTGGGTCGGGGTCACAATCCGGTAAAGATTTCCTTCACCTCCAGTTCTTTTGGACCAATATTTTCTAGTTGCATATCTTATTTATTTAATGTTGATTTCATATTTCTTTGCAGCGAAGAAGAACACTCGGGGACCGTGTCGGCAGTTGAAGACGGCGAAGGTCACCCGGGTGACCAACAGTCGTATCAACATTGAATACGACGAGCGGCATCGGGCAGCCTCGACGGCGGAATTGCATAGCTCTTTGGCCCACGACATTGGTCATGTCGTTCGGACCCATTGCCCTATGCAATGGAAGTCTTGGAAGGTCATACCTGACGAGGTCAAGATGGAGGTGCGCGAACATTTGTCGGTATGTATCCTACATTTTATTTGTTTGTCCTTCAAATTTTATTTATTTATATGCCTGGTCTATAATGAATTTATTGCAGACGAACTACAACTTAGAGGACCTCGATGATGAGTCATCGGCGTACGTCAATAGACTTTTTGGTGAGAGGTACAAGCAGTGGAAGAGCGACTTGCACCACCATTTTCAGGCATTTGATGATCCGCAAGTCGCTCTTGAAGAGGGTTGCCCGACGGAGCTTGAGGGTCGGGAGGATAGTTGGGCGTGGCTCTGCGCTCATTTTCTGGCACCCGAATATGTGGTATTTTTATTTTTATATTAATTGTTCAAACTTATTACATGTTTCTTACTAATGTTTATTTAATTTTTTCTATTTCATTTCAATTTCAACTGATACGTTTATTTTTTGTGTAACAGAATAAGGCCACAGTAAATAAGGGCAATAGGAAGAAGAAGACTCTTCTCCACCATTCAGGTTCCAGGCCCTTCTCATATAGGATGGACGCACGACGACGGGGTAATAATAAATTATTTTTATATCCAATTTTGAATATGTAATTAATATTAATTTTTATTTTTTGTACTAACATTTTTCTTGTCTTGTTCAATTCAGGCGGGGTCCAAATTCCCGGAGATCGACGTCTTTGGCGACGTTTATGTTCGACCTGGGAATGAGTTGGCCGAGTCCATTCATGTAAGTATTCTTTAATTTTAATTATTATATACGCATTCAAGTGTCATGGTTAATATATGAATGTTTTAATTCTGTAATTTTAATTAAACAGACGACGATGGTGGAGAGGAGCCAGTTGGTTCTTCAGGAGTCTGCCTCCCAACTTCCTCCCGATACTCCGCTCGAGTCTGTGCATCCTCCACAGGATGCGGGGTTTCAAATCTTGACGGAGACGTTGGATCAGACTCTCGGGAGGAGGCCCGGGACATATTGTCGAGGGATGGGGAATGCCCGGCGGCGGGAACCTATACCCCGTTCATCGTCGCAGTCAAACGAGGTGACTGCTTTGACAGCGACGGTGGCCGAGCTTAAGGGTCAGATGTCTATGATTCTAGAGTCCCTTGCTCGGTCAGGCATTCCAATCCCGCATTTTGGTTCCTCCTCGACCTCCGAGCCCCCCCAACCTGGCTACCAGACATCTACCCCTGCCAACAATGCCCAGACGTCCGAGCCGCATCTCGCAGACGACCACGTTGATTTTGGAACTTTATTCGATTAGTTTTTTATTTGTTATTACATTTTAACAATTTTTCTTGTAATTACATTTATATTATTTATAACATTTCTTTATGCAATTTTCTTTTATTGAAAAAAAAAAATTAACAAAATAAACCAAAATTTAAATTTAAATTAACAAAATAAACCAAAATTTAAATTTAAATTAACAAAATAAAAGAAATGGAAAATTAAATTTAAATAAAAAAATATTTCTTTTTGCGCGACGAAAAACCATTTCGTCGCGCAAATTAAAAATTAAAATTAAAATATTTTTATTTTTGCGCGACGTAAAATATTTCTGTCGCGCATATTCTTTTGCGCGACGAATATTTTCCGTCGCTCAAAGATTGCGTAACGAAAACTTTTTCGTCGCTCTAACTTTTGCGCGACGAAAATTGCACGACAAAAATGTCCCGTCGCGCAAATTTTGCGTAACGAATATATTTTCGTCGCACAAATGTTTGCGCAACGCAACATACTGCCGTCCCTGCACATTTTGTGCGACGAAGGCTAATCGTCGCGCAATTTTGCGCGACGCATGGAAAGTTTTGGTCGCGCAATGTCTTTCTTCACGAACTTCGCGCGACGGATTCTGCGCGACGACAATTCCGTCGCGCTTAAGTTTTTGCGACTACATCCATCTTTGCGCGACGGAATTGTTTTCGTCGCGCAAACTGTAAAATGTAGTAGTGTTAGACTCCATAAATGTCTGAGGGAACCACCAACAGTAGAGAAATGGTAAGCAATAGTATATAAGCAAGTATTTTAGGTACTCAAAAATATATAGAAGGGTCTTATTTTGACTTGAATAACTTTTTTGTCTTGAAAACAGTTATTTGGCTGAAAATAAAAAATAAAAAAGGGAGTTCTTTCCCCTCCTTTCCAATATCACTTGCATAAATCAAAGGGAAAGAAGTTTCTCAAAAAAGAAAACAAACAAAACAAATGCAAAGAAAAATAAAACGCAGAGACGGAAGCTAGATATAATTAATTACATACGTACCTTGACAAGTTTGAAGAAGATAGGGATTTCCTTCAAAGCCTTCTGGGCAGTAACAAGAAAGCGTTGAGCGATTGTTGGAATCCAAAGTGCAGAAGGATGCAACCGTATAATTATAATAATATAATTAGTATTATTATAATAAAGATCAAAATTCTCTGTAACGTAGCTTCCAAATAATGCGAATGAAGAAGTAGAGTTGATTATATTCCATTCTAGCACCACAGGAACGTGGCTTCTACTCTTGACAGCTTCAGCAGAAGATGATCTCTCAAACCAATCCTTGTCAACGAGAAACGCATAGTGGCTGCAATTGGCCTTTCGAGTTTGCTCTTCGTATAGAATGGAAGCGCCCATCCAAGTGAGATAAGGAGGAATGGTAGTCTGGCAGCAGTTGATACCAATATCACAGGAAGTAGAGTTTTGACGGTCACAAACTGACCTGCACCCACCAACCACAAACTCAGCTGATTCCATCATGGCAAGGAAGCCGCAGCTGACAGCAGTGAATCTGTTTCTGTCCTGAGAGTAGACGAAAGGGGCTGCCCGTCAAATTAGCCATTTCGCTACTTCCATTTCCGTTGCAGAAGAAGGTAACGGGGCTGTTCACCCGAAGCAAGCCTCCAATAGAAATATTCAGCACCTCCAGTTGGGCTCGCTTCAAAACAGGCTTGTAATGAGGAGCAGAGCTGGTAGTTTTAGAAGACAGGTTGTTGCTGCACTCGATTTCAAACCAGTCGTCTAAGTAGCAATCGTTGTTAGATCCAATTCCAAAAGGGTATGGGATGAGGACGTTTCCGCAATACTCTTGGCAACCAGATTTTGCCATCCGAGGAACTGCTGTGCTGTACATATATTTATCGACAGAAGCAATAAGAATAAGATCATCATATGAAGTGCTTGAGATTGCATTGTTCCTATGCTCGGATAATAAAAAGTAAAAGATTATCAAGCAAAAGTTTTCTTTGCAACTTAGTGCTTGTACTATATATAATAAAGACCCCTTGTCGATCCAAGAAAAGTGGGTTCGAATTGAAGGCTACTTTTCGTTCTGTAATGTTTAGTAGTTGAGAATATTCAAGTGTTCCTTTCTCTTCCTATCCACATAAAAAATAAATAAATAAATAAAGTTGACTTGACTTGAGTCACTCAGTAAATTATTGTGGCCATAACGAAATTAAAAATGAAAAGTATTCTTATTTTGTCGTTTTCAAGTACATAAAAATGCTGTGAAATCAAGTCAATGATTACATAGAGCTCAGCAAACGTAACATTAACTAAATAAACAATAATATTTTGAAAGGTCATGCAACACAAGAGAAACAGAGTTTTATTTGGTTTATTTTCACAAGCGAAGCCAGAAAATTGGTTCCACAAGGTGATAGTCTAAAATCTTCTAACGTCTCGTCTAAAGATTTTCTCGAGTGATTTAGTCATAATTAATTTTTATATATCCGATGATTTGTGTTTAAATGGCAATCATTCTGTTTAGCTAATCAACCACTATAATATTACAATTACAATATTACAATATTACATATCATTGACCTATGAGTAGTAATGTTACAAGTCAAGTCCACTAACTACGACAAATTATTCAGGTTTACCATTTCTTCTTCAGAAGAAAAAACAAACACACTGGAGCAAGAAGTTTGAGGTGAACTTTCTTTGCAATGTGTTTGGGAGCTTTATTACACCTAAAATGGACCCCACAAAATGACAAATCATACTTTTTATAAATCATTTACTAACTCTTGTATATTTCTTTGCTTTGTCTATTGACCAACTTGTAGAGTATCTCACACCGAAGGATGGATGGAAAGTTAGCTTAAAAGTTTAAGAGATATAGGGCCTCTTCGCACATGACCAATTAGTTTAGGGTTTAATGCTCATACTCTATGCCCTACATAAAGGATTAGTAGAATTGAAGGGAATCAATTGTTGTCTAGGATTTATGTTATGATTGAGCTGTGTGGAAAAAGTAAACCTAAGCAGCCAGACTTGACCGTTATCAATTCTACTAATCCTTTATGTAGGGAATAGGGATTTCTGTTATCTTGTGTGGATAAGAAATGCTTTTGCAGAATCATTTGCATATTATCATGCATTCCTCTCTTTCTTCTTTGTTTCCAAGTTGTTGTTTGCCAAGATGTCCAACTCAACATATGTGATGAGAAGAAAATGACGCAATTGAAAAGTAAAAGATTCTCGAACAAAAAATTTCGTTGTAACTTAACCATTAGGCTTTCTTTGCAATGGGAACAAATTGAATGGTACATTTCTTTTGGTAACGTGTGTGGAAATTGTATGTGTAGAGCTGTCATTGTCTGTCTGATATGTCTAGTGATAGAGAATTCAATTAGGAATTGAATTCCTTATTTTGGAGGAATTCAATTTTTGGGTGGGAGGTGGTATTCTAATTCCTGGAGAACTAAACCATTAGGCTTTTTTACCCATTATATCCTCACGCAATTTAAAAATTTCCGAACTTGCCAACTACTTTAACCCAACAACGAGGACATTTTAGTAATTAGCACCACTTCTACCTCAATTTCATATGGTTTAGTAAACAACTTCAATAGGAATCCGGAATCTAACTCTTCTCAATCCATATGGTTTAGTAAACAACTTAATAGGAATATGGAATCTAATTCTCCTCAATCCAACTCCTCCTCAATTCACATTTATTCGATTCCTTTCTCTGGAGATTGAAATGTTTGGTTCTTCTAGTGCGTTTTCAAGATGAGGTGTTGATCTAGGTAAGAGTTGCAATTTCTTTGCTGTTTTTAAAAAATTTATCGGCAACCAAACAGAGCAGAGCATCACTCTACTTTTATCCATCTCCCATTAATAATTTATGTTTTTTATCCCTTCTCTTTTGTCCCTAGACTTTTTTGAAATGGGGTTTGGTTTGGTTTTCATTTTGCATCAATAGTATGTGAGATTGAGGGATTTGAATGCTCTGTTTCTATTAGCTGGGTCGGCGCTGGGAGGGTCTGTTGATAGACTTTTGAATGGAGTTGACGGCAGGGGGTAAAGTGAGTCACCAAACCTTGGTCAAGAGATGAAAATGAGTCATTTTGAGTTTGGTGGGGGGGGGAGAATTTGACTAAAGTTTCAGGGGGCATTAATGTAATCAAGCGTAGATTTTAAAGCAAAAGTTTTCTTTGCAACTTAGTGCTAGTACTGTATAATGACCCCCCCCCCCCCCCCCCCCCCCCCATCCGAAGAAAAGGAACAAACCCTCATTATAAGGTCAGTTTGCTATGTTAGAAATGTTGGTGTATTTAGCTTTCAAGCAATTAATTTACGAGTCCTGTTTTCAGTGCGATCTGTTTCAGTTATGAGGCTGACAATGAGCATAGTTGCAACTTATTCCGTTGATGCTAGACGAGACACATCATTCTCTATTTCTCTCGGATAGTTCGCACTTAGCTGCTAGTTGGTTAATGTGACAGTTGATGCATGCTTGACCATCTGCTAATTGGCGCATAATGTGATTAGAAAATGTGATCTTCTAGCATTACTCCAACTATAAATAATCTCTCATTTCTTGGGGATCCCCTAGTTTTCCCTCCTTTTTCCAGAGGGTGCGTAGAGAATCTATCCTAGCGAATAACCTCCCTTGTGAGCTGTTACTGCCAACTTATTTTGGAGTTGCTCAACTCTGTACCTCACGCTAACACTATCCCCGAGTTTTCCTTTAGCATCTTTTGATCCCCTTCTCATTACATAATTTATCAAAAGAACGGCCTCACTTTAGGGCTGATAACGAGAAATCAAAAGATGATGATATACGGTTGCTCTGAGTGAGTCCCATTATAGTTGTCTAGCTATGTGTTTAACCATATGCTTTTTTGTTTTTGAGTCGCTCATGCAGTGCATGCTGAGTTAATTATTGTGGCCATAGCAAGACGAATCACCATTTGTTGAGTTGTGAGGTCATTGTATTTTTACTGTATAACCAACACAAGCGAAGCCCCAAGACAGGTTCCATAAGGCGATAGTTTAAAATCTTCTTACGCCATCTAAAGTATAGTTTAATACAAGAAAGATTTTTTGAGTGTGACTTAAACGGCAAATAATTAATTAATTTGTGGTGATTATACTCTCCAAACTGATTTCTCTTTATCCAGCCAAAATAGTCAAAACACTCCGTTGATCTAATCATAATTAATATCGAGTGATTTGTGTTTAAATGGAAACCATTCAATTAGTTTTGCTAATCAGACACTATGATCTTCTTGGTTGAAACTGCAATCACATTCTGATCAGAAAAGTTCAGGAAGGAGAAAAACATAACATATATGGAATGGAACAAGCATTAGAATATTATAGTTAAGAAATATTTAATTATTGTTCAGCGTGACATGAAAGGTAATAGTGGAACTTCATGTGATGATGAAGTAGGACCACCATCCAAACCTGGTTTTGTGCTTGTTGAGCTTGAAACGACATCCCAAGGCTCAATTGATTCAGTTCGAACATATTCAACTTCTTCATAATTTTGTTCAACAGTTGAAGTTTTTTCTGATATTTGAATCCCCTCCAGTTCTGCCGTGACCTCTCTCATTGTAGGGCGCTTCCTTCCACTCAAATTCAAACACCTCCTTGCAAGGTTAGCAACTGTGATGATATCTGCCTTAGACCCTCCTTTTACAACTTGAGCATCAAGAATTTCAAACAGGCGATCTAACTGCATCGAAATGATGAAGTATGCGGCTAGACTTTTGCCTTCTTCTTGTGACCTTCTAAAAGAAATTGGTTTTTGTCCCGTCAAGAGCTCAACAAGGACAACCCCAAAGCTATACACGTCACTTTTCTCCGTAAATTGGCTTGATTGAAAATATTCAGGGTCCATGTAACCAAATGTGCCGTGTACAAGTGTGGTAAGGTGAGTTTGGTCAATGGCAACTGATCTTGAAGTTCCAAAGTCAGCAACTTTTGCTCTGTATTTTGCATCCAAGAGTATGTTGGTAGACTTGATGTCTCTGTGATAAATGGGAAAGGCAGCTGAAGCATGTAAATAGGAAAGAGCTCCTGCAATTTCCTTGGCAATTCGTAAGCGAACTTCCCATGTAAGTGGAAACTCCTCATTCTGCTCGTGGATATACTGGGAAAGGTTTCCATTAGGTATAAATTCATAAACCAAAATGGGAACCTCCGTCTCTAAACAGCAACCCAATAGTTGAACCACATTTCTGTGGTTGATTTGTGAAAGAATCACCACCTCATTGATGAAACCTGAAAGTTGGCTTTCATCCACTATTTTAGATTTTTTCACAGCTACAATTCTACCATCAGCCAGCATGCCTTTGTAAACAGTACCTTGGCCTCCCTGGCCAAGAATTCTATCAGTATTGAAATTGTCAGTGGACTTCTCTAACTCCTTTGACTTGAACAACTTAATTTTCTCTACATTAACTTCACCTGAAGATAATTGTTGTTCTAACAATAAGCCACCATTTCGTTTGAAACAAAATTCCTTGCGTTTAATTTTCTTTCTTTTCTTTAGGACTTCATGTACCCACCATGCAGCAATCAGCAGTAACAACAGTCCCACACCCGCGCCAAGACCTGCATAACTAAACTAAATGATGACTGAAGGAAGTATTGCTAAGATTAAAAGTTTGTAGACTACGTTGTGACAGAGTTGCCTTAACTACTTCATTGTGCTCTGTTTTGATTTTGAAAATGTCCTTTTGACATGTTGAACTAGACTCGCTAAGGGTCGTTTAAGAACGGATTCTTGTAAACTGGTGTTGTAGATAACTTGGTTGATTATATAAACTCGAATCACGGATTTCTAGTTGCACAATCTGTTCTAAAAAATGATTAACTTTTTGGCGTCCAATTCATGTTGGTATTTGCTCGAGTAAAACTTACACAACATTATCATGTGGCCTGCATATTCTTTGCCTTATGCATTATTGGCATGGTATTGTCATCTTTTCATATATGAAGTAATTGCAAGACTGAAACATACCTATAAGAATCAGTTTGATCTTTGTCTTTCCACCGACTCGGTGTCTGTAGCATGTATACGTCCCATAATAGTTCATACAATGAGGGGGCCCCAGGCCCACATCTGTTTTTATCTGTGCATTCATCAATGTCTGCAATGTAGAGACAAGAAAGCAAATGAAAATCACGGTGAAAGATTATCACGAAATACAAACCAACAAAGCTGACTAAAATGCGACAATTTGGTGCATGGTAAACAAAAGTGTGGAACAGATGACAAATTGTTAATTAATTTGTGCATGTGTTTGAAATTTTTTTAGAGATGGTAGATGTTTGTTTACCATGACAATCGTAGCCAAGATAGGGATTTCCCTCAAAACCCCGAGGACAGGAACATACAAGCCTTGGCAGAGTGGAAGTGGCATTTAGTATTTTGCAGTAGGGTTTAGGGTCATTATAAGCCCTGGAATATTGTCCCATGAATCTGTGAAATACTGTGACTGAAGTATTGTCCAAGCCTAAGCTCCAATCTAGCACCACCGGAACGCTGTCCATATCCTTTAGGACACTAAAATTGGATGCAATAAAATTGTTCTTAAACCACTCTTGGTCAACCAAAAATGCATATATATCCTTGCATACCCTTGCTCTGCTATCATCTTCTATATCAGTATTGATGACACTGAGATGCGGTGGGATGCTAGTCTGGCAACAGTTGACACCGATTTCACAATCTTCAGGGCTTATGCTAGTCCCTTCACAAATTGACCTGCATCCTCCAACAAGATACTTTTCTGAGCTCACCAAGGCAAGGTAGCCACAACTCACTGCTGTGAATTTGTTGTGTTTCCCAGAGTATACAAAAGGGCTTCCACTCAAATTCGCTGGTTGCTGACCTTCGTATTCGCCGCAGAAGAAAGCAATGGGGTTTTTAACTCGAAGCGTGCCATTAGCATAAACGTTTAGCACTTCCAAACTGGGCACGCCTCAAGTAAAGCTTGTGAGGGCTGTTACTAGATGACTGGTTGCACACCATTTCGAACCATTCGTCAAAGTAACAATCTTTATGAGGTCCAATGCCGAAAGGGTATGGGATGCTAATATCTCCGCAATGTGTTGCACAATTATGCTTTGCCATTGGTGTTTCAGCTCCCGATGCTGCTGTTGTAGTACTTGAGGTCCATAACAGCAGAACGAATAGTACCAGATGAACTAGCAAATCATATTGCATCTTGTCATGCATTCCTCTGTTTCCTCCTCTGTTTCTTCCAAGTTATTGTTTGCTAAGAAGAATACATATGTAGCTTGCTTTCTTACTCTACGTATGTAATGAGAAATGGAAAAGTGAAAGATTCTAAGACAAAAATTTTATTTGCAACTTGGTGCTTGTATTATAGAAATCCCTTCACGATAGAAGAAAAGAGAACAAGTGGTTCGTATTGAAGTCGTCTTGTTGTAATGTGTGCGGAAACTGCATATATGGAGACGCCATGCTTGACTGGTTTTAGAGAATTGAAGTGTTTCTTTCTCTTTCTATCTACCCACGAAATAAAAATTAAATGAAAAGATAATGCTGTTGACGAGCTACTTGACTTATGTCACTCACAAAAGAAAATGCAGTTGAGTTGATGGTAATTATGCCACGTAGTATGAATTACAAAAAAGTGAGAGGTCACTGTCCGAAAGCAAAATAAAATTGATAAGTCTTCTTTAGTCTTTTGAGGTACATACACGTCTCATATGTCAAAAGTATTGGAAGTTTTTGACTTGTTCTAACTCCCATTTTCGATCCATCAAACACGGTCGAGGCTTCACTTTAGTTACATTTTTAACGGGTATGTAATTAGTTCATAGTCATGGTCATTAAGCCAAAAGAAATCGAATTTGAGTTTTCCTTCTTGTTTATTTGTGTGGGGTTCCAAACTTACAGTAGCATACATTACAGAACATTATATTCCGAAAGAACATGTGATTGCCCATGACAATTGATCTCAAAGTTCCAAAGTCAGCAACTTTTGCTCCGTACTTTTCGTCCAAGAGTATGTTGGTAGACTTAATGTCTCTGTGATATATGGGAAAGGAAGCTGCAGAGTGCAAGTACGAAAGAGCACCTGAAATTTCCAAGGCAATGCGTAAGCGCATTTGCCATGTAAGTTGGAACTCTTCAATCTGTCCTTGGATATACTGATAAAGAGTTCCATTGGGTATGAATTCATAAACCAAAAGAGGAAAGAAACTGATGAAATTGAAAAGTAAAAGATTCTCAAACAAAAACTTTCTTTGCAACTGATGCAGCACGCATTGCTCATAATTTTCTGTTTCAGTTTGACAGGCGTAAGATGTGTAGATTTGATTACGGTCAAGTCTAACTCTTAGGTTTACTTTTTACACACAGCTCAATCATAACATAAATCCGAGCCAACAATTGATTGCCTTCATGAGGTGAAAGTTCAAGACCATTAGACCTGAAAATCCTTATATCAAAATATTATATAGTGACCTAAATTTTGCCGAATAAACACGTACGTATTTTATTCGTATCCTTCCCGTTCTATATTTTACTAACTATTAAAGAATCGAGAGGATAAAATTATTTCTTACTTATTTCTAAAATGAAAAACATAATAATCAACTGCTTTAGTTTATGATCATAGTCGACTTAATGATGGAATTAAAAAGTAATAGATTATAAAGCAAAAGTTTTCTTTGCAACTTAGTGCTAGTACTGTATAATGAAGACCCCCCTTGTCCATCGAAGAAAAGGATCGAACAAACACTAGTGGTGGTACTAGCTACTTGAAAGGTACTTTCTTTTTGTAACATGAATGGAAATTGTGTATGACTGGTAGTTGAGAATCCAAGTGTTTCCTTCTCCTTGTTTCTAGCTACCCACAAATTTAAAAATAAAAAAATAATAAAAAAATTTGACTAGCTACTTGATTTGAGTCACTCATGCAGTGCATGCTCAGTTAATTATTGTGGCCATAACAAGACGAATCACCATTTGTTGAGAGATCATTGTCCAAAAATAAATTAAAAACGTTGTGAAAGTTTCTCCTTCTCAAATCAATGATTACGTTTACATATACAGCTCTATTATAAGAACTGAAATGGTGTTGAAAGATAATGCATGAAAATTTTGCATGATATTTTGCTACATTATACAGAACAAGCGAAACAGAGTTTTTCTTTGTTGCTCCTTAACCCACTTGAAGAAACAAACACTACAAAAAAGGAAGCAATAGTCACATTTTTTTAAGTAACTAATTTATTTTGGTGACAATTATGGGTGGTCAATGCTCTTAACCAAATTAGTCACCAATATTTGTTTCTAATGATTTAAATATAATAAATTTTGTTGTAGCTGACACATGAATAGTAATAATGTAATAAAATATAAGAGGATAATCTTTCTCATAATAAAATATTTACAATGGTAATTTAATAAAAATATATGGATGAAACCTTTCTCACTAACCAAAGCTCTTTTCCCTTCCCTCTATATAATTAGTAATAGTTACTCTAAATAATAAATATTATAATAGAAAATGTGAGAGAATGCATGCGCATCTGAAGATGCGCCCAAACCAACCCCTCTTTTTCTTTCTTTTGTAATTTTTATGGGGATTTCACTAAAACACCCAAAATAGGGGTTGAAATTATAAAAAAACCCAAGCACTATTTAAACATATAAACACACCCAAAACCCATCATTACACACACTCAAAACCCATTTATAAACACACCCAAAAAGTTGACTTTGGGGTTGATTTTGGGTGTGTTTCTATGTTTAAATAGTGCTTGAGTTTTTTTATAAATACATGTCTAGAATTGGGTTTATTTATAAATTTGTAAATTTTTATTCTCCCCATATCTCATCTCCCCCAATGCCTTCATTTTTTTTATTTTTTTCCCATCTTCTTCTTCCTTCCGTCACTTTCCATCTCTTCCTCTCTTTTTATTTTTATTTTCCTTCTTCTCTCTCTCTTTCTTTTTTTCCAACTTCTTTCTCTATCACTCTACAATTTTTTTCCTGCTTCTTCATTTGAAGTTTCTTGGTTTGAATTATTTGGTTAAAAGTTTCAACTCTTATGGAAGGATGATATATATATATATATATATATATAATATGGGTCTTGACTCAGATTTTTTCAGCTTTGATTGTGATTTTAGCAAAGAATTGGGTAATGGGTATTTTGGTTTGAGTGTTGTAATCTGGTTTTCGGTAAGGGATTTGATTTTCAGTAAGGGATCTGGTTTTCGGTAAGGGATCTGGATTTCAGTTTATAAAAATAAAAAAATAAAAAAGAATTTCAGTTATATAACCAACACAATCGAAGGTAAGAGATGGTTTTTTGTAGTGAGAGTTTGAGCTTCATTTTATTTTTACTATATAACCAACACAAGCGAAGCCCCAAGACAGGTTCCATAAGGCGATAGTCTAAAATCTTTTAACGCCGTCTAAAGTATAGTTTAATACAATAAATATTTTTTGAGTGTGACTTAAACGGCAAATAATTAATTAATTAATGGTGATTGACTATACTCTCTAGACCAATTTCTCTTAATCCAGCTAAATATTCGAAATCTAACACTTTCAAAACACGCTGTTGATCTAATCATAATTAATATCGAGTGATTTGTGTTTAAATGGAAAAATTCAGTCAGTTTTGCTAATCAGCCACTATGATCTTCTTGGTTGAAACTACAGTCACATTCTGACCGGAAAAGTTCAGGAAAGAGAAAAAAAAACATATATGGAATGGAACAAGCATTAGAATATTACAGTTAAGAAATATTTAATTATTGTTCAGTGAGACATGAAAGGTAATAGTGGAACTTCATGTGATGATGAAGCAAGACCACCCTCCAAACCTGGCTTTGTGCCTGTTGAGCTTGAAACGACATCCCAAGGCTCAATTGATTTAGTTCGAACATATTCAACTTCTTCATAATTTTGTTCACCATTTGAAGTTTTTTCTGACATTTGAATCCCCTCCAGCTCTGCCGTGACCTCTCGCATTGTAGGGCGCTTCCTTCTACTCAAATTCAAACACCTCCTTGCAAGGTTAGCAACTATGATGATATCTGCTTTAGACCCTCCTTTTGCAACTTCAACATCAAGAATTTCAAACAGGCATGCATCGAAATGGTGAAGTATGTGGCAAGACTTTTGCCTTCTTCTTGTGACCTTCTAAAAGAAATTGGTTTTTGTCCTGTCAAGAGCTCAACAAGGACAACTCCAAAGCTATACACGTCACTTTTCTCCGTAAATTGGCTTGATTGAAAGTATTCAGGGTCCAATTAACCAAATGTGCTGTGTACAAGTGTGGTAAGGTGAGTTTGGTCAATGGCAACTGATCTTGAAGTTCCAAAGTCAGCAACTTTGGCTCTGTATTTTGCATCCAAGAGTATGTTGGTAGACTTGATGTCTCTGTGATAAATGGGATAGGCAGCTGAAGCATGTAAATAGGAAAGAGCTCCTGCAATTTCCTTGGCAATTCGTAAGCGAACTTCCCATGTAAGTGGAAACTCCTCATTCTGCTCATGGATATACTGGGAAAGGTTTCCATTAGGTATAAATTCATAAACCAAAATGGGAACCTCCATCTCTAAACAGCAACCCAATAGTTGAACCACATTTCTGTGGTTGATTTGTGAAAGAATCACAACCTCATTGATAAAATTTGAAAGTTGGCTTTCATCCACTATTTTAGATTTTTTTACAGCTACAATTCTACCATCAGCCAGCATGCCTTTGTAAACAGTACCTTGGCCTCCCTGGCCGACAATTCTATCAGTATTGAAATTGTCAGTGGACTTCTCTAACTCATTTGACTTGAACAACTTAATTTTCTCTACATTAACTTCACCTGAAGATAACTGTTGTTCTAACAATAAGCCACCATTTCGTTTGAAACAAAATTCCTTGCCTTTAATTCTCTTTCTTTTCTTTAGGACTTCATGTACCCACCATGCAGCAATCAGCAGTAACAACAGTCCCAAACCCGCACCAAGACCTGCATAACTAAACTAAATGATGATCGAAGGAAGTATTGCTAATATCAAAAGTTTGTAGACTACTTTGTGACAGAGTTGCCTTAACTACTTCATTGTGCTCTGTTTTGATTTTTACAATGTCCTTTTGACATGTTGAACTAGACTCGCTAAGGGTCGTTTAACAAAGGATTTCTTGTAAACTGGTGTTGTAGATAACTTGGTTGATTATATAAACTCGAATCACGGATTTCTAGTTGCCCAATCTGTTTTAAAAAATGGGTTTGATTAACTTTTTGGCGTCCAATTCATGTTGGTATTTGCGTGAGTAAAACTTACACAACATTATCATGTGGCCTGCATATTCTTTGCCTTATGCATTATTGGCATGGCATTGTCATCTTTTCATATATGAAGTAATTGCAAGACTGAAACATACCTATAAGAATCAGTTTGATCTTTGTCTTTCCACTGACTCTGTGTCTGTAGCATGTATACGTCCCATAGTAGTTCATACAATGAGGGGCCCCAGGCCCACATCTGTTTTGATCTGTGCATTCATCAATGTCTGCAATGTAGAGACAAGAAAGCAAATGAAAATCACGGTGAAAGATTATCACGAAATACAAACCAACACAGCTGACTAAAATGCGACAATTTGGTGCATGGTAAACAGAAGTGTGAAACAGATGACAAATTGTTAATTAATTTGTGCATGTGTTTGAAGTTTTTTGAGAGATGGTAGATGTTTGTTTACCATGACAATCGTAGCCAAGATAGGGATTTCCCTCAAAACCCCGAGGACAGGAACATACAAGCCTTGGCAGAGTGGAAGTGGCATTTAGTATTTTGCAGTAGGGTTTAGGGTCATTATAAGCCCTGGAATATTGTCCCATGAATCTGTGAAATACTGTGACTGAAGTATTGTCCAAGCCTAAGCTCCCATCTAGCACCACCGGAACGCTGTCCATATCATTTAGGACACTAAAATTTGATGCAATAAAATTGTTCCTAAACCACTCTTGGTCAACCAAAAATGCATATATATCCTTGCATACCCTTGCTCTTCTATCATCTTTTATATCAGTACTGATGACACTGAGATGCGGTGGGATGTTGGTCTGGCAACAGTTAACACCAATTTCGCAACCTTCAGGGCTTATGCTAGTCCCTTCACAAATTGACCTGCATCCTCCAACAACATACTTTTCTGAGCTCACCAAGGCAAGGTAGCCACAACTCACTGCTGTGAATTTGTTGTGTTTCCCAGAGTATACAAAAGGGCTTCCACTCAAATTTGCGGGTTGCTGACCTTTGTATTCGCCGCAGAAGAAAGCAATGGGGTTGTTAACTCGAAGCGTGCCATTAGCATAAACGTTTAGCACTTCCAACTGGGCACGCCTCAAGTAAAGCTTGTGAGGGCTGTTACTAGATGACTGGTTGCACACCATTTCGAACCATTCGTCAAAGTAACAATCTTTATGAAGTCCGATACCGAAAGGGTATGGGATGCTAATATCTCCGCAATGTGTTGCACAATTATGCTTTGCCACTGGTGTTTCAGCTCCCGATGCTGCTGTTGTAGTACTTGAGCCCCATAACAGCAGAACGAATAGTACCAGATGAACTAGCAAATCATATTGCATCTTGTCATGCATTCCTCTGTTTCCTCCTCTGTTTCTTCCAAGTTATTGTTTGCTAAGAAGAATACATATGTAGCTTGCTTTCTTACTCTACGTTTGTAATGAGAAATGGAAAAGTGAAAGATTCTAAGGCAAAAAATTTATTTGCAACTTGGTGCTTGTATTATAGAAATCCCTTCACGATAGAAGAAAAGAACAAGTGGTTCGAATTGAAGTCGTCTTGTTGTAATGTGTGTGGAAACTGCATATATAGAGACGCCATGCTTGACTGGTTGTAGAAAATTGAAGTGTTTCTTTCTCTTTCTATCTACCCACGAAATAAATATTAAATGAAAAGATAATGCTGTTGACGAGCTACTTGACTTATGTCACTCAGAAAAGAAAATGCAGTTGAGTTGATGGTAATTATGCCACATAGTATGAATTACAAAAAATTGAGAGGTCACTGTCCGAAAGCAAAATAAAATTGATAAGTCTTCTTTAGTCTTTTGAGGTACATAAATGTCTCATATGTCAAAAGTATTGGAAGTTTGTGACTTGTTCTAACTCCCATTTTCGATCCATCAAACACGGTCGAGGCTTCACTTTAGTTACATTTTTTACGGGTATGTAATTAGTTCATAGTCATGGTGATTAAGCCAAAAGAAATCGAATAGTTTTCCTTCTTGTTTATTTATGTAGGATTTGAAACTTACAGTAGCAGACATTACAAAACATTATATTCCGAAAGAACATGTGATTGCCTACAACATTAACTGAAACACACATTACAACAATAGTTTGATCACCATGTTTTTACAGATAATTGTGGAAGTTCCAGTAATGACGAAGTTGGATCATCACCATCACGATCCCAAGCTGACCATCCTGTTCCTGTTGAGCTTGAAACAGCACCCCATTGCTCAATAGATTTATGTTCGACAAATTCCACACCTTCATAATTTTGTTGAGTATTAGAGGATTTTTCTGCCAGTTGAAGTGCCTCCAACTCCGCTGTGACCTCTCTCATTGTAGGTCGATTCCTTCCATTCAAATTCAAACATCTTCTTGCAAGGTTAGCAACTACCCTGATCTCTATTTCAGAGCCCTCCTTCAAAACCAGAGCATCAACAATGTCTAACAGACGATCTTCCTCCATCGATGTAATGAAATATGCAGCAAGACTTCTGTATTCTTTTTCTTTCGCTGAGCTTGTTACCAAAGAAATGTGTTTTTCTCCAGTCAAGAGCTCAACAAGGACTACTCCGAAGCTATAAACATCACTTTTCTCTGTAAATTGGCTTGACCGAAAGTATTCCGGGTCCAAATAACCAAATGTTCCATGTATAACTGTGGTCAGGTGAGTTTGGCCTATGACAATTGATCTCGAAGTTCCAAAGTCAGCAACTTTTGCTCTGTACTTTTCGTCCAAGAGTATGTTTGTAGACTTAATGTCTCTGTGATATATGGGAAAGGAAGCTGCAGAGTGTAAGTACGAAAGAGCACCTGAAATTTCCAAGGCAATGCGTAAGCGCATTTGCCATGTAAGTTGAAACTCTTCAATCTGTCCTTGGATATACTGATAAAGAGTTCCATTGGGTATGAATTCATAAACCAAAAGAGGAACTTCAGTCTCTAAGCAACAACCCAGTATTTTAACCACATTCCTGTGGTTGATTTGTGAAAGAATCACAACTTCATTGATGAATTCTGAAAGTTGCCCTTCATCAACTACTTTAGACTTTTTTACAGCAACGATTCTACCATCCGTCAACATTCCTTTGTAAACAGTACCTTGTCCTCCTTGACCTAGAATTCTATTGACGTTAAAATTGTCAGTGGATTTCTCTAACTCTGTTGATTTGAACAACTTGATTCTCTCAACATTAACTTCACCAGATGATAATTGCTGTTCTAACAACAAGCCGCCATTTCGTTTGAAAAACTTCTTCTTATTTTTAATGTCATTCCTTTTCTTTATGAGTCTGTATCCCAGCCATAGACCAATAAGTAGCAATATTAGTCCAAGACCCGCGCCAAGACCTGGACAATTCATGAAACATCAACATTGAGAAACACCAACTGATGTGGCAATTTCTTATATGCTATAAATAAATAAAGACCAAAAGCGGGCTCAAAGTAAAAACAAATGAACCACTGTCATTTCATTTGGTGTCCAAAAGCTCATGTAATAAGTCTGTGGCTCTTGCTGAACTTTCTTTTATCCTCATATACAATAATTATCCAGAGACTCTTTCATTTTAAAGTTATAGTATGTAGAATATTATTGGCCATACCTTTAAGGGCCCACTTGAGAGTACGCATTTTATTCACGGAGCAGTGGTACCCCCCATAGTCGTTCACACACTTGCTTCCGGCCAAGCATATGGTAGGGTTGTACGAGCATTCATCAATGTCTGAAATATAGCGTCAAAAGAGAAAAGGAAATGATGGTGAAAGATCATGCTTGAAATTCTTCCATAATTGTTAGATGTAAGACTATCTTTTTTCAAGGCCATAGTGATTTAACTTTTACATTGAGTTAAAATTAACATACACCAAATCTTATCTCAATTTTTTAAACCCCACATTTCATTTGTTTATATCCAGATAATTTTGAATCTCATTCATTTATAAAAAGCAAGCAACGACTCCCCGTGTTATGTGTCCTGCGTGCGTTTGTAACATAAAGAATTTGTACATGTTAGCCCTTGGGGTTAGCCCAAGTGGCGAGGAGATGGAAAAATGAGTTAGAATTGCGCATGTTATAACCATCAACAAAAGAGAGAAGATTGCGATTGCGAAGCAAAGAAATGATCTGTGCACGTCAGAGAGGGAAATTGGTGCGATCAAGTTTGATAGTCAAAAAATTGGAGATGTTAGAGGAGGACGCCATGAGGACAGAAGAGCTCGAAGCAGCAGAAGAAGACATGAAGAGATGAGAAGAAAAAAAAACAACGAAGTTGTTAGACTCTTTGTTGCTCTGATACCATGAAAGAATCTCCCCGTCTACACTACAAGAAAACAGGCCTTCTGTGAAGACGAGTCGTCGTCACTTAAACATGTAAATTCGTCACAGTTGACAATATGTGATGCATTTTCGGCGTCACAAGGTTCGTCACCTATACACCGTCAAGTGGCGAGGAGATGGAAAAATGAGTTAGAATTGCGCATGTTATAATGATTTGAAAATCTTACCGTGGCAAGATTGTCGAAGATAGGGATTTCCTTCGAAGCCTTCCGGGCAGTGACAGTAAAACGATGCGGCCATATGCCGTGGTGAAAAAGAATAAGTGGAAGTTTCATCGACCTCACAATAAGGTGTTGGATCATGCCGCCTGGAACGATTTCTTTCACCATGAATGAAGCTAGTGAACAGTAGATCGGTTACATTATTATCATACTGTAAGGCCCATTCTAGCACCACAGGGACCTTCTCCATCGCCTGGACGGCTCTTGAAGAAGTGTGGTCAAACCATTCCCTGTCAACCAGGAACGCATAGTTAATATTTTTCTCATAGATATAGTCTGTTGGAGGGTAGTCCGTACAATCTATAGCCGATGCGTTTGCATATAGAATGTGAGTGGTGACGGAAGTGAGGTTTGGTGGAATTGTAGTTTGGCAACAGTTAATACCATCGCAGCCATCATAGTTTGACCTACCCTTTTGAAAGCTATCACAAATGGACCTGCACCCACCAATGATTTTATCGGCAACAGCAACCATATCATCGTCATTTGAGCTTGTCACAACGGCAAGGAAGCCGCAACTCACTGCAGTGAATATGTTGTGCCTCTGAGAGAACACAAAGAAGCTTCCCGTCAAATTTGCCAGCAGTTGGTGACTTGTTTTTCCCTTCTTGGTGTTGCACAGAAAAGTGACGGGGCTGTTAACGCGAAGCGTGCCATTGATAGAAATGTTGAGCACCTCCAGTTGGGCACGCCGCAAGAACGGCTTGTGCCCAGTAGACTTGTTGCAGTCTATTTGAAACCACTCGTTTAAGAAACAATTGGTGCTTGGTCCAATGCCAAAAGGGTAAGGGATGCTCACACCTCCGCATAGCGTTGTGCAATTAGGCATTGCTATGGGCGGGGCTTCTGCTCTTGATGCTGCTTGTGCAATACTTATGTGCCAGAGGCAAAAGAGAAGAATGAAAATCATGTGTTGATCTAACAGTATTGTCATTGCTCTTATTGTAAGGGTTGTGCGACCTGCCTTACCACAGCAGCTCATACATTTCTTTTATAGTTGAAAACAAAATCACAGCATCCAACTACTACATTAATATATAAAACTTTTCTTATTCTCAACTACCAGCTGCCATCTCTGACTTTTTAGATGAATTTAACTCTTACCCATTAATATATGAAGGTTTTCTTATTCTCAATTAGCAGCTGCCGTCTCTGACTTTTTAGATTCTAAACATAATCACTAATGTGAATCTTATAAGTTGAAAAGAGTAGCTAGGTAGCTAGTAAAGAGTTTGCAAGGGAAATTTTGGAGATATTATAAGGTTTCCTTCTCTTTCTTCAGATTCATAGCTAGCTAAAGAAGTGTGACCTTATCGTGATCTTGTGCCAAATATTAACCCCATATAAAATAACCTACTTACTGCATACCTTTTCCCAGTGTAAATGACATTGAAAAATAATGAAGGCATGGGGAGCTTTGTGGAAGTTTTGGTCGCAAAGAAGCCATCACAGATTGTCTCACTCTAGTTGTTTTCTTCTAAATTATTACCGTATAACTTCCAAATAGATTAATACATACGAAAGGTATTTCTACGCGCCTTGGGTTGAATATAAGCGGGAACAAATGAGTAAGGTACTTTTCTTTTGTAGTTGTTGGAACACTTCGACTTTTCATTATGAGACACAATCCCTCCAAACGGGTCCTTTTAGTTAGTAGTATAAATACTGCAGCACATTGAGTAATTGATAGAGTTTTTACTTCATGTCATTTATGCCACGCACTTGCGCAAGAGAAGCATGTATGTGAGTAATGCTACACTTACCACATTTCTATACCACATGATGTGGCATGTCCATATTATATGTCACATCAATTAAATCAATGAAGTGTATTTTAATTAAGACAATTAGAAAAACAAATACTGGAATAAATCATAAAGAAAAGAAAATATTAAATAATTTTAATTGACGTGGCCGTCCACCTCAGCTGCCACATAAGATGGTATAGGGATGTGGTATACAAATGTGGTAAGAGTAGCATTATTCATATCTCAAATATAAAAGGCCATGCATCGGTTATATAAAGTTACCTACCATTATAACATGCCCTAGAACAGACACAAGTCTCTGGTTGTTCTTGTAGTTTGGAGTGCTATTATTACCACAATAAGGAGGTCATTGTATTCGGGGAGACATTTGTCATTAGAATCTTAAAGCACCTGTGAGGGGCATGTTCAAGAAATTAGAGTACATAACTCTAATATAGAATTGTATATTACAACAAGACAACTCCAAAAAAAAAAAGGACAAACTCTTACAAAGCACTCTTTCTCACAAAACACTCACAAGGCTACACGCTCATACTCAGAGGGCCACTCTTTGAAGACTACTTATTGATTCTTGTCTTCTCGACTTGCTTTCATAATGGAAGGTTCATGCCTATTTCTAGGAGAGTTCACCAACTTTGGCTTCTCCATAAATCCTAGCCACATGTGTGTGGCATGCTCTAGGCAATTGGGAATAGACGGCTTTGCCTCCAGTTCCAATGGTTTATTCAAACAATGCCCTCTTTTTGAAATTAATTCAAAAATATTCTCTATAAAAGCTCCTTTTCACCCCGTATCATCTTTTTATCACCTTTTTTTTGTCATGTGAAATTGGTCTCTACTCTCTCTCTAAATTTTGCTTTCTTCTTCACTTCTTCTTCTATGCCCTGCTCTATCTGAGATGACACCCCAAATTGCTTTCTTTTTTGCTTCTTAATTATTCTTCTCTTCTCTCATATGCTTTATTTGAGATGAAATCCCAATTTTGACACACACACACACACACATTGATTCCCAGCCTTAATTCCCAATTCTCCATGTTCTTCTTTTTCTAGGTCCAAAGACCCATCTCCTCATCCACACCATTAGCCACCGCAAGCACCACCAATGGGTTTGCAAACCTAATTTATGATATTTGTTCTTGAAATGGGTGGATTGGCATTGATGATCTTTAAATATTTGTTTGAAATGGAAGCATTTATTTGTTTGAAACCCAGCAAAAACTTTCCAAGACAAACTTGAAAAAAAGGGTGATACGACAACAATAAATAGTAATACGACGACAATAATAGGGCAACAAAAAAACTCCATACTCCCAACCATATAATTTTATTTCCAAGACAGACTTCCAAAACAAATGTGATACGACAACAATAGACATCCAATAGGGAGGCAATACGACCACAATAAAAAGGCAATACAAAAACTCTATACTCCCAACTATATAATATACAAGCAATAAACATACACCGACTTGGGCTTTTATACTTCAGCCACTACTGTTTTCTCCTAACTTGACCAGAAGAGAAGGGTAAACAGAAGCATTATAGTATCCAAAGAAAACCAAGTCATGCGCAGGAATGTGAAGAAGTTGTAGATAGTGAGCAGCCAAAATTAATGACCCCCACATAGCACAAACCAGTCTTGGTGGCTTCTACACCTTTCGAATTTAACTTATATTTTATTGCATATGTATTGATTAAATATTAAATAGGAGCAGAAATAGTATTTGTTTTGAAAATTTTAAATATTACGAGCCAAAAAGATCTGGTACCAACATCACATCCGGTCTCTATCTTTCAATATAATACAATTAATTCTACTTTTATATATAAATTATATAATAATTAATGTATATCCATCTCAATTCTCAAGTTGCTTGCTTGCATATAGACCTTCATTAATTCTACTACTTTCACGTGACATGAGGAAACCCTTGTACGATTGACAAATGTCCCATTTTGAGTTTTTCTTTTCATACATTGGAAGTAATACTTTCTGCATACATTTACATGGTGATGAATAAGTGATTACGGTAGGCATCAAACATTTGGGATCGAATCTGACTTAACCCGCCTGAGGTTTTGCTTGGATTTTCACGTAACGCCAACGTTGTGGCCTGAAAACAACCAAAAATGTATTGTTTTTATTCTTACAATGATCAAACACATCGCCAAAGCACCAACCAACAAGAGAAGAAAGCAGAAATATATTGTGTCTAGATATTTCTAGTGGTAACCGACATTATCACTTTGTTTTTAAACTTCTAGTGCTTCTAGAATATTGTAGAGATTGCTCCTCAAAATGGGCTGAGCTGGGTTGTTTATCAATGGGCTGATAAAGTGTTAATGGGCTGGGGTTGATATTTTAACGGGGCAATTTTATCTTAAGAGGATACAATCAAGTTTTAGACTCGACCATATTCTGATTTTTCTAAAACTTCTCTTATATTGTTTGAGTTATTCTATGCATTTAATTTAGTATATATTGGCATGAATTAACTTCCGATTTTCCATGAATATACCAATTAAATCCCTTATTTTCTGAGAGTAGTTTGTGTGGAAATTATGTGCAAAATTTAAATTGTAGCTGCCAAACTTGACCTATAATAGGGGATTCAAATGTACGTTTAAAGTACATATTTGAGATACACGAATCTTCTTCTTTTCAAACATGTTATTTAAATCAAAATTTATCAAAATATATAAATCCCTCAATAGAAGCTCTCTCTCTATATATATATAGAAGTATACCCGTACGACTCATATCAGTGTCACAATATATTAAGCCAACGGTCCACAAGACAGGACGATGAACTAGTCATTAATCAGGCTAGCATTTGCTCTCATCGATGATATAGTTGCAGATAAAGACCATTGCTTACCTTAAGTTCTTCTATTACGTAACATTTAGTTCCGAGTTCCTATGCTAATTTAGCCAAACGAAACCAAATTTTGGCTTCTTGTTTATTTGTGTGAGCTTCATAACTTCAAAGCTAGTAGCATTTTTTGCTAGCAACATGCATTTTAGAGAAGATTGTATTCTAAAAGAACATGGACTTGTACATAGAATGAAATATGCAACACAAGAAACATTTTGTTAAACAAGAGCTGAAGATATAGAATTGTGGAAGTTCAAGTAATGATGAAGATAGAATGTGAGCATCCAACTCAAGATATTTTTTAAGCACTAACGCAAAGTTTCCATTCTCCAATGCAACTCAAGTTTCCATACTATCAACATGTCCGAACCTGAGCGTGTTGAATTGAAACAACTTTCTTCTGCTGCTCAAGTGATTCATTTTCAATAAATTACACCCTTTCATAGTTCGGTTGAGCACCATTATAAGTTGTTTCTGACTTTTGGATGGCCTCCAACTCGGTAGTGACCTCTCTCATTGTAGGACGATTCCTCCCATTCACATTTAGGCATCTTCCTGCAAGGTTAGCAAACTCATTGATCCCTGTTTTAGAGCCCTCCTTCAAAATTCGAGCCTCAACAATATCAAATAGACGATCTTCTTGCATCGAAATAATGAAATGTGTGGCAAGACTTCTATATTCATCTTCTTCTGAACTTGTTACTGCACAAACAGCGGGTTTTCGTCCAGTTAAGAGCTCAACAAGGACTACTCCAAAGCTATACACATCACTTTTATCTGTAAATCGATTTGAATGGAAGTATTCCGGGTCCAAGTAACCAAATGTACCATTAACAAGTGTTGTCAGGTGAGTTTGGTCAATGGAAACTGATCGTGAAGTTCCAAAATCAGCAACTTTTGCTCTGTATTTTTCATCCAAAAGTATGTTTGTTGATTTGATGTCCCTGTGGAAAATGGGAAAGGAAGCTGCACCATGTAAGTAGGAAAGAGCTCCTGCAATTTCTGTGGCAATTCGTAACCGCATCTCCCATGTAAGTGGAACCTCCTCAACTTGCCCTTGGATATACTCAGCAAGGGTTCCGTTGGGTATGAATTCATAAACCAAAATAGGAACTTCAGTCTCCAAACAACATCCCAATATTTTAACCACATTCCTGTGGTTAATTTGTGAAAGGATCACAACCTCATTAATGAATTCTGAAAGTTTGCCTTCATCCACTATTTTAGACTTCTTTATGGCAACGATTCTTCCATCTGCCAACATGCCTTTGTAAACAGTACCTTGGCCTCCATGACCAAGAATTCTATTAATTTTAAAATTATGGGTGGACCTCTCTAACTCCTTGGATTTGAACAACTTGATTCTCTCTACATTACCTTTATTTGATGATAATTGTTGCTCCAACAATAAACCACCATTTCGTTTGAAAAACATTTCCTTGCGTTTAATCTTTTTCCTTTTGTGTATACGTTTGTACACATATATAAGTAGGAGCAAAAGCCCAAGAATCAAGCCAAGACCTGCATACGTATATAACTCAATCAAGTGATGTATTGGTCTTTTACCTTAGAAACCAAAATAGTGCGCTTTAAGTACAAACTTCATAAAAATCTAAGACTTTAAAAAGCGCAACATAAACTTATATCACCTGCCTACATTTTCTTTGTTGAAATTCTTAGAGGTCTTCTGCCTCATTTTTATAGAACCAGCTCTGAAAGAGAGAATTTGGTTTTGACATCTACTTTAAAAAATTGTTTTTAAAAGCTTAAATAACAAGAGTTAATGAACCATGGAGAGCATACGTACCAAGAAGAATGATTTGGATTGGAAAGTAGTAAAACGACCATCTGGGAGGGAAGAAGCATAGAGCATCAGCTGTACCATAATACTGACATGCAATACCAGTTTCAATTGAGTAGCATCTATGACCTCCAACATAATTCTCACATGTATTTGTGACACCCAAATTCGTTGCAGGATCATCAATCTCACAATTATTAGGGCCTTTGCATTCATCTATATCTGAAATGAAAACAACAGAAAGACAAATATTGGCCGGCCATGATGGTGACTGCTGATGCTTACTCGTTCATAAATGAAAAATATTTCTTCTTTTTTTTTTCTTTTGGCTACTGATAAGGATCATGTAATCCATTTTCACTTTTCTTAAGAAATATAGTAAGAAAAAAATTAGTGAAAAAGAAAATAGGAAAAAAAAACTATCAGAATAAGCTGCAAGTCCTAGGATGAAACGAAATGGAATCCATTATTGGGTGCATTCCACTCCAAAAGAGAAACATCCACGTGTGCCTGTCACTTGGAAGTGCAGATTGACAGAATGGCATGCACTTTTTAATTTGCCCATCGGCTGCACAACCACGCGGCATGAAAAGTCACACTGAAATCTTTCTGGCTCCAAAGGGCTGGGGAACTTCGATCCAGAAAAGCTAATAAATTTGTGCAAACATGTTTAATTTGAACTTTGGATATATAGTGGAACATGTTTATAATCAATGAATTACCTTGACAAGGTTGGAGAAGATATGGACTTCCTTCAAAGCCGAACGGGCAAAAACATTGAAGCCTTGATTGATTATCATAAGTTGATTGCATAAAATATTTGGGCTCATATGTTGTGCAATAGGGTGTGGGGTCGCTTCCTTCAAATGACTTGAGAGGATTGCGTAAATTTTTTTCTGTTGTGTTTCCAATGAATTCTTCATATAGTTTGGCTGACGAACTATTCATATTGTCTAAGCTTAAGCTCCATTCTAGCACCACAGGAACGCTGCCCTTGTCCTTGACGTCTGAGTTATTCTCAAACCATTCTTGGTCAACAATGAAGGCATAGTTGTAGTCATCCATTCTCGTTCCTGTTCGTGTTTGCATTCGCATTCCCATTTCAGATTCTGGCTGCAACTCAATGGTGATGACACTGAGGTTTGAGGGAAGGGTAGTCTGGCAACAGTTAATACCAATACATCCGTAATTCTCTCTACGAAAATGATCCTTATCACAAGTTGACATGCATCCACCAACTACAGTCTCATCTGACATTACCGCCAAAAAGATGCCACAACTGACTGCAGTGAGTCTATTGTACTTTGAGTACACGAAAGGACTTCCCGTCAAATTTAGCAATACTTTGCGAATTCCTCTTCCTCCGTAGAGGAAAGTAACAGGGTTGTTAACCCGAAGCATGCCATCAATAGAAATATTGAGCACCTCTAGCTTGGCAAGCCTCAAGAAAGGCTTGGGAGGGCTGGTGGAGTTGTCACACTCAATTTCAAACCAATCGTACAAGTAACAATTGCTGCTGGGACCAATCCCAAAAGGGTATGGGATGCTAACATCTCCGCAATGCGATTCGCAGTTAGGCTTTGCTATTGGTGCTAATTGATCTGATGATGATGCCGCTGCTCGACTTGTGCGCCATAACAACAAGATGATCATATGAAGGAGAGGTTGCATATTGCAATCATCAATTAGACTTCTATCTTCCTCCTCTTTTCTCTTACTTATCTGCTAAGTAAGAAGTATATGTGGTTCCGATGGAGCCCTTTTGTTGAGAAGGTCTGCTGCCTCCTGGTGTGTGTTTTGTTTTTTAGTTTCTTGTTGTTCTGGTCATTGGGTTGTTTTGAGTGTGTCTGTTTTTAGCTTCTTGTTGTTCTTTTGTCGCTTTGTTTTGAGCATGCTTTGTATTTGCAATAAGTCCTAACAAACGGTCCAAATTTGAAAAAAGGGTAAATTACTCAAATGGTCCTCAAACTTATACTCGATTTATATTTTGGTCCCTCAATTAAATTATTCGTTCAAATGATTCATCAACTCTATATTATTTGCTCAATTGGTCCTACCGTTATATTATGTCAATATTTCCGTTAAATATGAGGGTAAATTTGTCATTATTTACCTTAAAATTTGGTTAAATCTAAAAGAAAATTAGACAGTAGGACCACTGGAGCGAATAATATAGAGTTGATGGACTATTTGAATGAATAATTTAATTGAGGGACTAAAATATAAATCAGGTATAAATTTAAAGACCATTTGAGTAATTTACCCTTTGAAAAAATTAAAGTTTCTTCAGTTTCTTTGAACTAACCGTAACTAGGAAAAAAAATGCTTTTAGTACCAGTGCAAAAAGATGCCTCCTCAAGGTTTGGCCAAAAAACAGAAGTGGAGGAAAGTTCAAGAATTATAAAGCAAGATTGGAGTTCTTCCTAATTTTGAGTATTCAATTGGTCTACACGTGTTTACTTCTGAATTCTTGCTGATAAACCCAAGAAGAAACCAGTTTTTGGTTTCCCTTCTTTATTTATGTGAGCTCTTTTGATATATACATTACGTACATAATATTACAGTCCGAAATAGCAATACGAGAAATATTTGGGACACCAACACCTGAAGATGATTGTGGAAGTTCATGCTACACTCCTTAGGAGATCATATATACGTCATTTTCAACACTCCTTTTGATGCAAGAGCATAGGGGTGGATCAAGATAGATATATTTACCATTTAATTAGTTATTTCATGATATATTGTTATTTTCTTATTTAGGTAGTTTTAAGATATCTTTTATTATTTATATTTGATTTTATAATTAATTAGTTTACTTTTGGACCAAGTAGCCTTGGTGCCCAAGTCTTGTAAAGCCTATAAATAAGGCTAATTTAATAGTTGTAGGGGAGTTGATGTTGATGATTAATGAAATAGTTTATTTGTGACATGGATTTGTTACGATATATGTGAGTTTGCACTAGCCCTAAATTTCGGTACTCGTGTATGTGGTTGGTGACCTGTGTCCTGACGTCGATCCCCATCACCTTTCTGGAACAATTTGTTGAAGAAATGATGAAATTGGACCACCATCCGAAGCTGGCCCTGTTGTTTTGGAAAAGCTAATTCACAAATGATTCAATTTTGACCTACTAAACGTATTCATGATATTATTAGAAGTTTTTTTTGGATACTCTCAACACATCCGAGCCTGACCATGTTGACCATGTTGAGTTTAAAACAACATTCTTCTTCTGCTCAAGTGATTCATTTTCAACAAATTACACCCCTTCATAATTCGGTTGAGCCCCATTATAAGTTGTTTCTGACTTTTGGATGGCCTCCAACTCAGTTGTGACCTCTCTCATTGTAGGACAATTCCTCCCATTCGCATTTAGGCATCTTCCTGCAAGGCTAGCAAATACTTTGATCCCTCTTTTAGAGCCCTCCTTCAAAATTCTAGGATCAACAATGTCAAATAGACGATCTTCTTGCATCGAAATAATGAAATGTGTGGCAAGACTTCTATATTTGTCCTCTTGGGACCTTAGTACTGCACAAACTGGTTTTTGTCCAGTCAAGACTCAAGAGCTCAACAAGGACTACTCCAAAGCTATACGCATCACTTTTCTCAGTAAATCGATTTGAATGGAAGTATTCCGGGTCCAAGTAACCAAATGCACCATTAACAAGTTGCCATGTGAGTTTGGTCAATGGAAACTGATCGTGAAGTTCCAAAATCAGCAACTTTTGCTCTGTATTTTTCGTCCAACAGTATGTTTGTTGATTTGATGTCTCTGTGAAAAATGGGAAAGGAAGCTGCACCATGCAAGTAGGAAAGTGCACCCGCGATTTCTTTGGCAATTCGTAACCGCATCTCCCACGTAAGTGGAAACTCCTCAACTTGCCCTTGGATATACTTAGCAAGGGTTCCGTTGGGTATGAATTCATAAACCAAAATAGGAACTTCAGTCTCCAAACAACATCCCAATATTTTAACCACATTCCTGTGGTTAATTTGTGAAAGGATCACAACCTCATTAATGAATTCTGAAAGTTTGCCTTCATCCACTATTTTAGACTTCTTTATAGCAACGATTCTTCCATCTGCCAACATGCCTTTGTAAACAGTACCTTGGCCTCCATGGCCAAGAATTCTGTTAATTTAAAGTTATCAGTGGACCTCTCTAACTCTTTGGATTTGAACAACTTGATTTTCTGTAGAAACTTTTTGATGATAATTGTTGCTCTAACAAAAAACCACCATTTCGTTTGAAAAACATTTCCCTGCGTTTGATTTTTTTCCTTTTCTTTTTGCATTTGTATACATATATAAGGAGTAACAACAGCCCAAGACTCATGCCAGGACCTGCATACATACATATAACTCAATGAAGTAATATATTGGAATGTTTTCTTCAAAGCCTTCTTTAAGCACAAACTTCATAAAAAGCTAAACTTGAAGAAAAGTGGATACATTTTATTTGTTCAAATTCTAATTATGAAGTAAACAATATTTGTTTAACGCATTGACAAGATGATAGTGATGATTTCCTCATACACTAATGATGCATGCATTACTTTTGCCACATTTGTATAGAACTAGCTCTGAGAGAGAGATATACTGTTTTTGACATCTACTTTAAAAAGTTGTTTAGAAAAACTTACATAGAAAAAGTTAAACGAGCCATGGAGAGAATATATAGGAGAGCATACGTACCAAACAGAATGGTTTGGATTGGAAAGGGCCGATCGATCCGAAGCGGTCATCTGGTTTTGGGAGGGGAGTAGCATAGAGCATCAGTGATACTACTATAATACTGGCATGTAAAGCCTGTTCTATTTGAGTAGCATGTATAACCTCCAACCAAATTCTCACACGTAGTACCGAAACCAAATTTCCATGTGGTGGGATTAGCAAGCTCGCTCATACACGGATTAGGGCCCTTGCATTCATCTATATCTGAAATGTGAAAATGGCAGAAAGACAAATTAGTCTGGTGATGCTTACTCAGTCTCATTCGTTTATAAATGAAAGATAAGGAAGGATCATATGTTCATCTTTCTTTTTCTTTTTTGCTAATGATAAGGATCATATATACGATTTTCACTTTTCTTAAGAAATATAGTACACAATAATAATAAAAATATATAGTAAAAAAGCATCCAAATAAGTCTGCAAGTCCAGAGCTTATGAAATGAATTTGACTATTTGGTGCATGCTGCTCCAAAGGACCAGAGCTTATGTATCTGCTATGTGAATTGGAGCAGTCCAGTTAAAAAATGGCATGCCTTCAAAGGATAAAAATTGTTCATTAAATTTGAACGCATGCACTTTTTTGATTAGCCTCTGATCACCAACTCTGCACAACCACGTAGCAAGAAGAGCCTCGCCGAAGTTTTTCTGGCTCCAAAGGGTTGGGAAATTCAATCTGAAAAAGCTAATAAATTTGTGCAAGCAACATTTACGTTGAAGCTTTGGATATGAAAGAGGTTTAGTACCTTGACAAGGTTGGAGAAGATACGGACTTCCTTCAAAGCCAGGCAGACAGAAACATTTAAGCTTTGAATGATTGAATTTCATAGAATAATTGGCATCATATGTTCTGCAATAGGGTGTGGGGTCCCTTACTAGAAACTTCATCAGGTGTGGTGCTAGAATGGAGCTTAAGCTTAGACATTGACATATGTAAAATTCGAAAATGTATTCTCAAACCATTCTTGCTCGATAATGAAGGCATAGTTGTAGTCATCCATTCCCATTCCCGTTCACGTCCCTGTTCCCATTCCCATGTGGTCATTTCCACCAGTAGCTGCTCCGTATTCAGCCTGCAACTCAATGGTGATGGCAGTGAGATATGCCAGAAAGGTAGTCTGGCAACAGTTAATACCAATACATCCATAATTGCGTCTAGAATGATAATTCTTATCACAAGTTGACATGCACCCACCAACAACATTCTCATCTGACCTTACCACCAAAAAGAATCCACAACTCACTGCAGTGAGTCTATTGTATCTCTCTGAGTACACGAAAGGGCTTCCCGTCAAATTTGGCGCTACTTTGCGAATTCCTTTTCCTCCATAGAAGAAAGTAACAGGGTTGTTAACCCAAAGCGTGCCATCAATAGAAATACTGAGCACCTCTAGCTTGGCAAGCCTCAAGAAAGGCCTGGGTGGGATGGTGGTGTAGTCACACTCAATTTCAAACCAATCGTACAAGTAACAATTGCTGCTAGGGCCAATCCCAAAAGGGTATGGGATGGTAACATCTCCACAATGCTTTTCGCAGCTAGGCTTTGCTATTGGTGCTAATTGATCTGATGATGATGCTGCTGCTGGACTTATGAGTGTTGAAATGTAAATTATTTTCCTAAGTTCTTAGCTAGACGGGTGTAAGGCTTAGATTTAATCCTAGAGTGTAGGTATCATATGTCCTAGCTTATGCCAAGTGTACAGCTTATATTGCTGACACAAATTGTATGGCTGAGATCACATTCTCTGCCTTCTAAAGGGATTGCTTCTGTTAGAATGAAATCAGCATGAGAGTGTGTGCATTCTTATGATTGGAGCTGAGTAACAAACTCTCTCTCTCTCTCTCTCTCTCTCTCTCTCTCTCTCTCTCTCTCTTACAAACTCTCTCTCTCTCTCTCTTACAACGTCTCTCTCTTTTCTCTGCAATATTTTTCATATTCTTCTTCTTCTCCAAGTAAACCTCCATTCCAAAAACTTCAACAATGAGCCATAACAACAAGATGATCATATGAAGAAGAAATTGCATATTGCAATCATCAATTCGACTTCTATCTTTTTCTCTTTTCTCTTACTTATTTGCTGAGTAAGAAGTATATGTGGTCCGATGGAGCCTTTTTGTTGAGAAGGTTTGCAGCCTTCCAAGTGTGTGTTCTGTTTTTTACCTTCTTGGTCTTCTGGTCATTGGCTTGTTTTGAGTGTCTTTGTTTTTAGCTTCTTGTTGTTCTTTTGTCTGTTTGTTTTGAGCCTAGGCTGTATGTCCAATAAGTCCTGACCAAATTTGAAGAAATTTAAGGTTTTGTTTAACTTCTTTGAACTTACCGTAATGAGGAAAAAGATATGCCAACAGACGCAAAAAGATGGGCTAAAATAGAACCCTCCTCAAGGTTTGGCCAAAAAACAAAAGTGGAGGGAAGTTCAAGAATTCTAAAGCCCCAACTCATGGTATATTTGGAGATAAAGATGTACTATTCCATTGGAGTTCTTCCTAATTTTCATTCTCTGAATTGTTGCTGATTAAGCCAAAAAGAAACCAATTTTGTTTTTCCTTCTTGTTTATTTCTTTGAGATTCATTACTTAATAGAAGTACATTACAGAATATAGGGTCCAAAATATGATGTAATTGTCTACAATATTGAATCAAATTTCCAATACAAGAAATATTTTGTACACCAACACCTGAAGACACTTGTGGAAGCCCAGGTGCAGTTCTTAGGCGATCATACCACATTCTCACCGGCTCTGGATTCTTGCTTGTTGGAAATCTGTTGATGAAATTATGAAATTGGACCGCCATCCGAAGCTGACCATGTTGATTTCAAAACGCATCCTAATACTCAAACTATATGTATTTATAATTTGGTTCATGAATATTAGAAGTTTTTTTGGGAGATTTGGAGGGCCTCCAACTCGGCTGTAACCTCTCTCATTGTAGGACGATTCCTCCCATTCAAATTTAGGCACATTCTTGCAAGGTTAGCAAATGATCTGATCTCTGTTTCTGATCCTTCCTTCAAAACTCGAGCATCAACAACGTCAAATAGACGATGTTCTTGCATTGATGTGATGAAGTATGTAGCAAGACTTGTGTAGTCTTCTTCTTGTGACCCTGCTATTGCAAAAATTGGGTTTTGTCCTGTTAAGAGCTCAACAAGGACAACTCCAAAGCTATACACATCACTTTTCTCCGTAAATCGGTTTGATTGGAAATATTCCGGGTCCAAGTAACCAAACGTGCCATTTACAAGTGTTGTTAAGTGAGTTTGGTCGGTGGCAATTGATCGTGAAGTTCCAAAATCAGCAACTTTCGCTCTGTATTTCTCATCTAAGAGTATATTGGAAGATTTGATGTCTCTATGAAAAATTGGAAAGGAGGCTGCACCATGTAAGTAGAAAAGAGCTCCAGCAATTTCTGTCGCAATTCGTATGCGCATTTTCCATGTAAGTGAACATTCCTCAATTTTCCCTTGGATATACTGAGAAAGCGTTCCATTAGGTATGAATTCATAGACCAAAATAGGAACTTCAGTCTCCAAACAACATCCCAATATTTTAACCACATTCCTGTGGTTGATTTGTGAAAGAATCACAACCTCATTGATAAATTCCGAAAGTTTGCCTTCATCCACTATTTTAGACTTTTTCACAGCAACGATTCTTCCATCTGTCAACATGCCTTTGTAAACAGTTCCTTGGGCTCCCTGGCCGAGAATTCTATTAATGTTAAAATTGTCAGTGGACTTCTCCAACTCCTTCGACTTGAACAACTTGACTTTCTCAACGTTGTGTTCACCTGACAATAATTGTTTTTCTAGCAGCAAACCACCATTTCGTTTGAAAAATATTTCCTTGCGCTTGATGTCTTTCCTTTTCTTTATGACTTTATATACATGCCATGCACCATACCATGCACCAAGAAATAGTAACAACAATCCAAGACCCATGCCAAGACCTGCATATACAAATACACTTTGAAATTATAAATGGATAAAACTATTCAACATATAATGCAGTTGAAAAACTCACCTACAAATGGTTTCCACCTCTTCAACGAGCCCTTGAAACAGATAAAGTGTTTTAACATCTATTTTAAAAATTGCTGAGAAATGAAGGGAAATATATGACCATACCTAGAAGGATGGTTTTGATTCGAGAGGTCAGAAGCAGCCGTCTCCTTTTGCCATATAAGTAGCACAAAAAAAACCGTGTACCATAATATTTACATGCAACACCAGTTGTATTTGAGTAGCATGTATGACCCCCAGCAAAATTCTCACATGTAGTAGGTCCACCAAAATTCAACTTTTCGATATTAGAACGACCATGAGCCAGACACATATTAGGGGTCTTGCATTCATCTATATCTGAAATAAAATAACAGAAACAGAAAGAATGGACATGATGCATGGTGAGTTTCGATTGATGCTGCTAATTCCAACATGAAAGATAAGGATATACATGTTCATAGCTTGCTTTGGACAATGGAAGAGGTGTAGTTACCTTGACAGGGTTGGAGAAGATAGGGACTACCTTGAAAGCCGAGGGGACAAAAACATTGAAGCCTTGACTGATTGTATGTGGAAGAAGTGACATTATGTATGCTGCAATAGGGCATCGAGTTTTGGGAAAATCCTAGGTGACTGAAATATCCCTCTGATGTGTTTGTAATGAACCTTTCAAATAATTTGATTAACGAACTATTCATGTTCGCCAAGCTCAAGCTCCATTCAAGCACAACCGGAACGCTGTCCATGTCCTTGACGTCTCTAAAATTTGATAAATTGTTCTGAAACCAATCGTGCTCCACAAGGAATGCATAGTTGTAAAGAGCCAACATTCGGTCATTTCCACTAGTAGAACTTTCTTCAGATTCAGATTTTATCTCAGTCTCAATCACGCTGAGATTTTGGGGAAGGGTAGTCTGGCAGCAGTTAATGCCTCTGCATCCATGGTTGTGTGCAGTTTCAGCACTCTTATCACAAGTTGACATGCAGCCGCCAACAACACGCTGGTCATGGTATGACCTTACCAAGGCAAAGAAGCCACAACTCACTGCTGTGAACCGGTTGTATTTCTGAGAGTATAAGAAAGGGCTTCCCATCAAATTCGGTGCTTGGGGGGTCTTTCTTCTGTTGAAAAAGAAAGTAACAGGGTTCTTAACCAGAAGTGTGCCTTCAATAGAGATGTTCAGCACCTCAAGCTTCGCAGCCCTCAAGAAAGGCTTGTGAGGGCTGGTAGAGTTGTCGCAGTGTATTTCAAACCAATCATACATGTAACAGCTGCTGCTAGGTCCAATCCCAAAAGGGTACGGGATGCTAACATCTCCGCAATGCGTTTCACAACCAGGCTTTGCTATTGGCGCTAATTGATCTGGTTCTGCTTCTGGTGTGCTTATGCGCCATAACAAGAAAATGGTCATATGAAGGAGCAATTGCATACTGCACTAATGAATTGGTCTTCTACCTTCTTCCTTCCTCTTTCACTTAGTTATTTACTAAGTATTAAAGTATATATGGATCTCTTTTCTGACAGATAAAGTTGTCCTTAACCTCTGATGTTGAGGTTGTTAATTACCTCCTGACGCGTGTGTTTGTTCTTTAGCTTCTTGTTGTTCTGGTCATTGGGTTGTTTTGTATGTGTTTGTTTTTAAGATCCTTGTTCTGCATTTGTCTTTTGTTGGGGGATCTCTCCTCATTCCGAACCCTGTGCCGTATTTGTGTCGTTTCTTGATGGACAGAGGTCCCAGTGTGTAGTTACGACTGATGAAACTTGCCGATTATAATTAATATTAACTTCACAACTCTGCACAATTGGTTTCATATAAAAATAAATAAATGAATACAGATGTTATAAAAATATTGGATATTGACATTAACGATTGAGTAACAGTTTTTTATGTAAATTATGGCTGGTGATCACAAAGAAAATACAGGGCTAGAACAGGGGATTGCAACCCATTGAATTTGAACTCATTAATTCAAATCTTTGTATAATTTGAAGAGTAATGCTACACTTACCACATTTTTTATCTACAAAATTAGTGAAAAACCCATTCCTAGACATGAAACTATAAATATACCCTACACTATTTAATACATAGAAACACACCCAAAATAAACCCAAAACTCGACAGCTGTCGATTTTTGGATTTATTTTCTATGTTAGATTACAGTTTTGACCTTTCTGTTATTTCCCTATGTTATGAAATTTTCACTTTCTTCCGGTTTCTGCTTCCACGGATGACTTAGGCCTAGTTTGGGATTGCTGTCACTTTTAAAAAAAGTTGCTTCTGCTGTGCTTTAAAAATAATTAGCTGTAAAGTAAAGCAGCTCCATGTTTGGTAAACACTATTTTTAAAGTGCTGTTAGTACAAAAAGCAGTGTTAAAACCGTTTGGTAAATTTTAATATAAATTGTTGTAACTGTGAATAATGACTAAAATAGACATGATGTTAAAAGTGTTATGCACTAATCATGTGGTGGTAGTGGTAGTGATAGTGATGGAGTGGAGTTGGTGGTGGAGATGAAGGCGAAGTTGATGGTTGTGGTGGTGGGGATGGCAGTTGTGGAGGTGGTAGTGGTGGTGGTGGTGGTGGTGGCGGAGGATGAGGAGGAGGAGGATGTGGTGGTTGTGGTAGTGGTGGTGGCGGTGGTTGTGGAGGTAGTAAATGTGGTGGTGCAAGTGGTGGAATTAGATGTAAAAGTGGAGGTGGTGTCATTTTTTAAAAATGAATGATGATATTTTGAGAATTAAAAAAATTCATTAAATGTTCATCTCTGCTTGTTTTGAAAGCAGTTTTGAAAAGCAACCCAGAGTCAGCTTTTAAAAACTGCTGTCAAAAGGCCACTGCTTTTAAAATAATCGAGATATTTTAATTTTACCAAACACCTTAAACTGCTTCACTTTAAAGTTAAGCAGATTTTTGGCCAAAAAAAGCAATCCCAAACGGGGCCTTACAAATCTCGAGGCCCTTTCCTCTAGCTCTCATTCTAACCTAGTTTGCTCTCTCTCTCTCTCTCTCTCTCTCTCTCTCTCTCTCTCCTCTCTCTCTCTCTCTCTCTCTCTCTCTCTCTCATCGTCTTTAATTTCGTGTATCTATATTTGTTAGAATTCTTAGTTTCAGCATTTCATATTTTGGATATTTTGGGAGCAAAGAAGAAATGACGGAAAGATTGAGAGAACGTTGCTCTGGAGAATGAAAAATGCTTCGATATATTCATATCTGCTCCACTATTTTGGTTATAATCGTTAGACAGAGAGAGAGAAGAGAGATTCTTCCCTGTACCAGATTTACAATAAGCCCAAGTTCTAGCATCCTATTAGATGCTTACACATGTCACTTAATCCTATACTAGAGATTAAACACTTGGACTGTGATCCAAGGGTGCACAATAAAACTGGAAAAAAAAAGACAAACAACTAAAAGAAATGAAAAACAGAATAGACGCAATTCCTTTAGCTCCAAAACTCGGCTGAAGGATTACACACCAACATTCCCTTCTAATCCTTTAGCCGACTTAACACCAAGTAATTCCCTTAAGTATGCAAACCTGTCCTTAGGCAAAGCTTTAGTCAGAATATCTGCAATTTGCTTCTCAGTTCTGCAGTAGACAAGTTCTATCTCCTTGGCTTGAATTGCTTCTCAATGAAATGAAACTTTTTGTTAATGTGCCTTGACTTCTGGTGGAAAACAGGGTTCTTTGCCATAGCAATTGCTGATGTGTTATCACACATTATCTGTGTTCCTTCAATCTGTTCTTCTCCAAAATCTTCAAGTACAAATCTCAGCCACTTTGCTTGAGAAGTAGCTTCTGCAGCACTGACATATTCTGCTTCTGCAATGGACAGTGCCACTGTGTTTTGCTTAATCGATGCCCATGAAAACACACCAGATCCTAGAGTAAATGCATACCCTGAAGTGCTCCTCATATCATCTTCACTTCCTGCCCAGTCACTATCACAATAGCCAATAAGAGTAGTTTCTTTTCCTTTCTCAAATACAATTCCAAAGTCTATTGTTCCTTGAATGTATCTCAATACCCTTTTAGCAGTTCCCATGTGTTTCTTGGTGGGATTGTGCATGAATCTTGCCAAGAGGCTAGCTGCAAACATTATGTCAGGCCTAGTTGCAGTCAAGTAGAGCAAACTGCCCACAATCTGTCTATATTCTCCTTCATCTGCAGCCTCACTTCCATCATTCTTACTTAACCTCTCATTCATTGCAAGTGGTGTAGCCACTATTTTGCAATCTTTCAAACCAAATTTTTCAACCAGCTTCTGTCCATACTTCCTCTGATGCAAGAAAATGTTTTGTTTAGACTGTATCACCCCCATTCCAAGAAAATGGTGTAATACTCCCAAATCTGTCATCTCATAGTGTTCCATCATATCTCTCCTAAACTCTTCAATCATTTGAGAGCTGCTACCTGTGTACACTATGTCATCAACATATAGAGAAACAATAAGAACATCTGAACCTTCTGCCTTAACATATAAAGTTGCCTCACTTGGACTTTTCTTGAAACCAGCCTTGTTGAAATAGGCATCAATCTCGTCATACCAAGCTCTTGGTGCTTGCTTCAAACCATACAAAGCTTTGTGTAACTTGTATACCTTTGTTTCCTCATCCTTCTTTACAAATCCTTGTGGCTGATCCACATATACTTCCTCCTTTAAAACTCCATTAAGAAATGCAGATTTCACATCTAGTTGATACAAGCTCCATTCCTTCTGTGCAGCAAGAGCAATCAAGGTCCTAATGGTGTCTAGCCTTGCCACAGGGGCAAAAGTCTCATTGTAATCAATACCGGGCTTTTGTGAGTAGCCTTTAGCCACTAAACGAGCCTTGTTTTTCTGCACAGTACCATCTAGATTCAGTTTAGTCTTGTAGACCCACTTAACACCAATCACAGGTTTAGCAAATGGTCTCTCGACAAGTTTCCAAGTGTCATTTTTTTCTATCATTTCCAGTTCAGCTTCCATTGCCTTTCTCCATGACTCATCTTGAGCTGCATCTTCATAATTTTCAGGTTCGACAATACACACATTACACTTAGCCATGATTTCATTTACACTTCTCCATTTCTTTGGTGTGTGATCAAAGAAATGAGAACTTTCACCTATGCCTTCATCTTGCAGAGTAGTATCTTCATCTATTTGAGTTTGTGTATCCAAGCTTTGACTTGGTTCAGCTTGTAATGTGACTTCTTCATCCATTTGCAGTGGTGTATCCAAGCTTTGACTTGGTTCACAGCTTTGATTTTCAGTAGGCATAGGTACTGTCATCTCTCCTTCAGTTGTATTCACCCACTGCCATGTGGCATTTTCATCAAATGTAACATCTCTAGACAGAATTACCTTCCTAGTACTTGGATCAAACAGCCTATATCCCTTTTCACAGAGACCATAGCCTACAAAAATACACTTGTGACTGTTTTCTTCAAGCTTATGCCTCAATGCTGAAGGAATAAGCACATGACAAAGGAGATCCGAATATTTTTAAATGTGCAATTCCTGGTTTTTTGCCAGTATAAGCTTCAAATGGTGTTACCTTGTTGAGAGCCTTGGTAGGACATCTATTCAGCAAATAGACTGCTGTATTTATAGCTTCTGCCCAAAACTCATAGGGGACACCTTTCTCATGCAACATTGATTTAGCCATTTCAACCACAGTTCGATTCTTCCTCTCAGCTACTCCATTCTGCTGAGGGGAGTATGCCACTGTTAATTGCCTTTGAATGCCAGATTCTTCACAAAACCTGTTAAATTCTCCTGACAAGAATTCTCCACCCCTGTCACTTCTTAAACTCTTTATCTTGAACCCACTTTGCAGCTCAGTCATAGCCTTGAATTTTCATAAAACATTCCAATGCACTTGATTTGTTTCTAATGAAATATACCCAAGACATTCTAGTATAGTCATCTGTAAACAATAGAAAATACCTGTTTCCAGATAGCGATTCTGTTTTCATTGGTCCACAGATGTCTGTGTGAACCAATTCCAAAGGGTTTGAAGCTCTCCAAGTGGATTCCAAAGGGAAAGAATCCCTATGCTGTTTTCCTTGCATACAACCATCACACACCACTGACATCTGCTCCAAGTGAGGTAAGCCATGAACCATCCCTTGATTCTCAAGCAGTTTCATACTTCTTTCATTTAAATGTCCCCAGCCTCTTATGCCATGTCTGCAAGCAATGTGTGACACTTGCTTTTAGGACCAACTCACTCGCAGGCATCATTGTCAATGGAAAGCATCTGTTGTTTGTCATTTGCACCTTCACAATCAGATTTTCTAGTGACTGATTATCATAAACACTCACCACATTTCCTCCAAACACAAGGTGATAGCCATGTTCCATCATTTGCCCAACACTAAGCAAATTTTCTTCAAGACCAGGTACAAGCATTACTTCATGAATGTGCTTCTTACCTAACTTGGTTTTTATCACCAAAGTCCCTTTTCCAGCAACTGGAACCACTTCTCCAGTTCCCATCTTCACCTTAGAGGTCAAATCCCTTTGAATATTTACTAAAAGTCCTTCATCTCCTGTCATGTGGTTACTACACCCACTGTCAATGTACCAAGAGTGATTTACTTTTACATCTGTTGCAGCATTACAAACATAGAACAAAGTACCAAAATCTTCCACCTGATTTGCATAATTCACTCTCTGCACATTCTTGTGTCCATTGCAATCTCTGATCATGTGTCCAAGCTTCCCACAACCATGGCATTTAGGCTTCCCTTCATACCAACATTTGCCATAATGAAATTTGTCACAATGTTTGCAGGCCATTTTGTTTCCATCATTGGATTTCCAATTTTTCTGAGATATTTGATCTGCAGAAGCAATTCCATTTTCAAGGTTTTTTCCTACCAACATTCAGACTAATGAAGGCCTTTTCTGTAGAATTCTCAGTGTGTCTATCCAATCTGAGCTCAAAGCTCTTCAGTGAAGCAACAACCTCTTGAACCTCAAGAGTTTCAAGGTCCTTAGAGTGTTCAATTACAGAGCAGATAGAATCATAAGATTTAGGCAAACTAAACAATAGTTTCTGGACAATTCTCTCTCTAGATAGTTCCTCACCATAACTCTTCATATGATTTATTATATCAAACAACCTAACCAGATATACAGATAAAGATTCACTATCCTTCATGCGGGTATATTCAAATTCCCTACGCAGCCCTTGCAATTTTACATTTCTTACCTGTTTATCTCCTCTGAATTCCAACTTCAGAATATCCCAAGCACCCTTTGAGGTCTCCTCGTTCACTATTCTGGGAAAGAGCTGATCGGAGACAGCACTTTGGATTAACCGAGTGCACGAGCATCCTTCATCAATATTCCAGCCATCGTAGACTTCTCAGTAGCCTTCGTACCTTCTATCTCCTTCTCCTCCTTCTCAGTAACCTTCGTCTCTTCAATCTCCTTCTCCTTCTTTAGATCTGAAACATTGAGACCATTTTCAACTAGATCCCATAAACCATGAGATTTCAGAATAGTTTTCATTCTGATACTCCAGAACTCATAATTTTCTCCATTGAAAATTGGAGTTCGCAGCTCAGAGGTACTCGATCCTGCCATATTAGACATTGGATTTGAGAAATCGCGATCTTCAGATGAGCTCAAGTTTAGCTCAAACAAAACCCAATTTCTCCGATTCACTCACAGATTCACGCCCAGCTCAAGCAATCGAACCTGGCTCTGATACCATGTTAGAATTCTTAGTTTCAGCATTTCATATTTTGGATATTTTGGGAGCAAAGAAGAAATCACGGAAAGATTGAGAGAACGTTGCTCTGGAGAATGAAAAATGCTTCGATATATTCATATCTGCTCCACTATTTTGGTTATAATCGTTAGACAGAGAGAGAGAAGAGAGATTCTTCCCTGTACCAGATTTACAATAAGCCCAAGTTCTAGCATCCTATTAGATGCTTACACATGTCACTTAATCCTATACTAGAGATTAAACACTTGGACTGTGATCCAAGGGTGCACAATAAAACTGGAAAAAAAAAGATAAACAACTAAAAGAAATGAAAAACAGAATAGACGCAATTCCTTTAGCTCCAAAACTCGGCTGAAGGATTACACACCAACAATATTTGCATTTAATTGTTGATATTTGGTTTCGATTATGTTTCTAGATTAATGGGTTTTTGGATTTGATTTTTATGGAAATGGTTAATACTGTTAGAATTTGATGTTTCTGTATCGGAACTGATATATAGATCACACGATTGTACGTATGGATTTGTGATGAATTGTTGTAACTATGTTGTTTTTTTGTGCGGATCTATTTGGTGAAGTGCGGATTTGAACAAATTAGATACCACCATCTGTTTGAATGAAGAGAAAATTGAGTGAAAGTTCAATTGATGGTCTGAAATTTGGCCTCTGTTTTGTGATTTTGTTCTTTAGCTCCCCAGTTATTGAATTGAGTGTTAAATTATTCATCGGTTTGGTCTTATTCCATCATCTCACCAATATAATGGAAGATTGGATTGGTTTAGATTTGCTCAAGACCTTGGTAATTCATAATTGAAGCTGTGTTTCGAGTTGACTCACTGGGTATCTCTTGTTTTTGCGAACCCTTTGCCTACTCTGGGTTCAGAGCTTTGTCACTAGCAAGGATTAGATGGATATCGTACACGTCTTTTAAAGGATTGTTAATTCAATAATTTTTGAAGATTTTTTTTATCTAGCTTGATTGTGAGGTCTCAAGTGATGTTATTTAGATCTAATTTTAGGTTAGATAGGTCTCTTTCCTGGGAAGTTTGACTTCACTTTAAATTATGACAACTATATTAAGGGAGTTCTCCATGATATATGTTGCCTGCGTTTTACAGCATGTGTGTGTACCTGTTTCTCATAGGTCATATATCTATACTTTTGTGTGCATCTAAACATGTGTACTAGGGTAGAAGTTTTGGTTTCAATCATGACTCTTTACTTTCTCTGCAGTAGTGAAGGCCATGTGAGCTGTTTGGGACAGATTTGATTATTGCTTCGACAATTGGTATTTGATGATCAGTTCTTTTAGTATGCTTCAGATGGGTAAATGCAAAGGTTGTGGGAAATTAGGAAGAATGATGCCAAGGGGTGGATCTGTGAGTGCATATCAATTTTCCCTTCTATTGTCGCCTGTGGTTTCTGTTTGGGATTGCATCGTTCGCAAAATGAGGTACTCCTACATACCTGAGTGGGAGTAGTTGTCAGGATTACAATAATATATTAGTTTTCAACAAGAAAATTAATTAAATTTATTTAGTAATATAGAAAAGTAAGGGAACACAGTTATAGGGAAATGTATACACTTTAGAGGAATTCTGAAAGAAAAGTTAAACAAAGGCATCTGTTTAGAGGTCGTTAATCTAAATGGATAACATGGAGTGTAATAAACTGCAACCTGTTGTGAGAAAAGTTAAGAAGAAGCAAGTGAAGGACGAGTTGGATCGTCAAAAACAGGCTGAGAAAAAGAAGAGGCGCTTAGAGATAGCCCTTGCTACTTCAGCTGCCATCATTTCTGAACTAGAAAAGAAAAAACAAAAGCAAAAAGAAGAGCAACAGAGGCTTGATGAAGAAGGTGTTGCAATTGCCGAGGCTGTTGCACTGCATGTTGTACTTGGTGAAGACTCAAATGAGACATGTGAAATTGTTCTGAACAAAGACGAAGTGCTTACTTTCAAAAGCTATGAAGCTGTGCTATAGTGAGGTAGCTGGTTTACGAACATGGGGTTTTTGCAGTTGTACACTTTTATCGTACATATTATGCAAAGGAAATGATGTAGTTGTTAACTTCCAGTAAGTGGTATGAACTGTTCATATCTTGCAACTAAGTTGATTTCTATGACATAGTATTAACAATGTACTTCTATGACATAATATTGGTATTTTACTAATTTTCTATAATATTAACAGATTTTTCAATAACAAAGCATGCTCCATATTTTGCTTTATATATAGTGTGCACTTGAAGTTTATGATATGTAGAATGTAATTTTTATTAGGAAAATAGTTCTATGACATAGTATTAACAGTGTACTTCTATGACATAGTATTAACAGTGTCTTTTTTTTTCTGTCTTGTAGAGGTATTTCCTTTTGCCTTTGCGATTGTTTCTGGTGAAACTATGGACAATTGGAGGTGGTTTCAGCATAGGATATCGAATGTCTTGCTGGGTTTTTTTTTAGTTTTTTTTGTATGAAATGGTATTACAATATTTCTATGAAATGGTATTAACAATGTACTTCTATGACATGATATTAACAATGTACTTTTATAACATAGTATTAACAATGTTTTCTATGAAATGGTATTAACAATGTTTTCTATAAAATTGTATTAACAATGTACTTCTGTAACATAGTATTAACAATGTACTTCTATGAAATGGTATTAACATGTTTTCTATAAAATTGTATTAACAATGTACTTCTGTGACATGGTATTAACAATGTACTTCTATGAAATGGTATTAACAATGTGCTGAAATCTTCCAAAAAACAAAAAAAATTGGGTTGGGCTTGCTGGGCTTGTTTTGGGTTTTTTTGTGTCTTTGTATTGGGCTTGTTTTAAGTTAATCAATGGCAGAGATGTAATATATATGAAGTTCAAACTTATTTGTTATGTAGCAAATGTTTTTGGGTATGTTTATAAATGAATTTCCATATTTTGGGCTTTTTTATACAATTGAGTTGGGGTTATTTTGGGTGTTTTTTGAGTTTTTTTTCTGTTGGCTTGATAGTAGCAATGCTGTAATTTATTGGAACTTCAATACTAATTTGTTATTTAATAAATGGGGTTGGATGTGTTTATAAAGTGTTTTTCATGTGGGTTTTTTTTATAATTTCAGCCCCTATTTTGGGTATATTAGAGACGCTCCCTTTTTTATCCCACATTTCTAACACATGATGTGGCATGTGCATATTATATGTCACATCAATTAAATCAATGAAGTGTATTTTAATTAGACAATCAGAAAAACAATAATTGGAATAATCATAAATAAAATAAAATATTAAATTATTTAATTGATGTAGCTGTCCAACTCAACTGCCACATAAGATGGTATAAGGATGTGGTATACAAATGTGGTAAGAGTAGCATTATTCATATTTGAACTCCTGTTCAAACCCTTATCACTGTTGTGGGAGCGATTTTCGTCCCACGGGAATATTCGTCTAGATTCCGTCTTCCTATTCATTGTCTCTTTCTCCCTGCCAAAATAAATCGGAATAAGAGGACCACACCTTGGAGAGTGTTGGCCAAAGGCCCTCCGATGCCTAAATAGTTCAAGTGTTTGTAGGAAAACAATAGCTAACTAAAAGGGTATGAGATGTATGTATGGTGTGATTGGGTGGTCGAAACTGTGTGTGGTAGCCGGAGCTTTGTGTGAGAGGGAGAAAGAGTTATGGCGGCTGAGGTTTGAGATAGAATTTCTGCAGTATTTGAGGCAGAAGTTTAGACGTAGGTTTAGAATTACCTCAAGCTTTGGTGTAGACATGTATTTATATGAGTCTCGGAGGCTATGATTTCAGAAGAATAACTCCATATATGAAATGATTCTTTCCCAATTTGGAGAGATTGACGTAATTTGAGATTTGATTTAAGTCAAATCCCTAATTAAGGTAATGCCAATTAAATCAATAACCCCCAATTAGACTCAAATAATCCCTAAATGAAAGGAAATATTTGACTTAGGATTTGGCTAAATTCGGTTCCCACAACTGTGGACAAAGAAGATTTTACTACTTATAGTAGTAGTAGCATACATTACAGAAGACATTATATTCCAAAAGAAAATATAATTGAAACATAAGTGCTTTACAATGTAATATAATATATATATATATATATATATATATGTATTGTATATGTTTATTCCTCACCATGTCTTGATAGATAATAGTGGAAGTTAAAGTAATGACGAAGTTGGACCATCATCTGAAGCTGACCATGTTCCTGTTGGACCTATAATAACATCCCAATGCTCGATTGAATCTTTTTTCGAAAATTCACTCCGTTCAAACTTTTGTGGAGAATATTCAGTCTTTTCTGAAATTTCAAGGGCCTCCAACTCCGCTGTGACCTCTCTCATTGTAGGGCGGTTCCTTCCATTCAAACTCAAGCATCTTTTGGCAAGGTTAGCAATTAACTTGATCTCTGTTTCAGAACCCTCCATCAAAACTCGAGCATCGAGTATGTCAAATAGACGATGTTCCTGCATTGAATATTAAAATATGTGGCAAGACTTCTATTTCTTGATCTTCTACTTCTGTCGACCTTGTTATTGCAGAAATTGATTTTTGTCCCGTCAAAAAGCTCAACAAGGACAACACCAAAGCTACGTCACTTTTTTCTGTGAATTGGCTAGATTGGAAATATTCCGGGTCCAAGTAACCAAATTTCCCATGCACATGTGTGGTGAGGTGAGTTTGGTCAATGGCAACTGATCTTGAAGTTCCAAACTCAGCAACTTTGCTCTATATTTTCATCTAAGAGTATGTTGGTCGACTTGATGTCGCGGTGATAAATGGGAACTGAAGCTGCAGAGTGCAGGTACTAAACTGCTCCTGCAATTTCTGTGGCAATTCGTAAACGCATTTCCATGTAAGTGGAAAGTCCTCATTCTGCTGATGGATATAATGGGAAGGGTTCCGTTTGATATGAATTCGTAAACCAAAAGTGAAACTTCGGTCTCCAAACACAACCCAACAGTTGAACCACATTTCTGTGGTTGATTTGTGAAAGAATGACAACCTCATTGATGAATTCTGAAAGTTCGCCTTTGTCCACTATTTTAGACTTTTTCACAGCAACAATTCTTCCATCAGCCAGCATACCTTTGTAAACAGTACCTTGACCTCCCTGGCCAAGATTCCTATCCTCGCTAAAATTGTCGGTGGACTTCTCTACCTCTTTCTATTTGAACAACTTGATTTTCTCAACATTACTTCACCTCATGATAATTGTTTTTCTAACAACAAACCACCATTTCGTTTGAAAAACATTTTCTTGCGCCTGATGTCTCTCTGTTTCCTTATGACTTTGTATGCCCCAGCATGCACAAATAAGTAGTAACAATAGTCCAATGCTAGTTCCAAGACCTACATAATTATGCAACACATTTGTATACCTGTGAAATGAATTTCCATAATCAACCAAATGAAGGAGAGTAAGTATATATAGGAAAGCATATATTTACCTAAAGAATAGGCCTAAGTTTGATGACCGAGAGGTTGGAGGCCTGTTTCTGAAGTAGCATGATGCTCACCCCTAGCATAAAACTCACAGGTAGCGCCAGTTATATTGAGTAGGGCATATGTTACCCCCAACAATATTCTCACATAAAGCGTTACGAATGTTCCATGGCCAAAAAAGGGTATTTTGGAGAGTCAGCATTATAACACTCCTTAAGGACCTTGCATTCATCAATATCTGAAATGGAATATATTAGCCAACGCTAAAGGAAACAAAAAACATAAGAATTATATTTCTATATGGAATTACTTGCCTCCTTCCTTGAAAGGAGATTCTCCTCCTTCGTGCAAATCATATTTTGACACATTTATGAAATAATTAATCAAAAACACAAAAAGAAAAACTTCTAGACACATGTCATATCGCTATTGACAAAATGTAGGAGTTCCTACTTACAAAGGAAGAGAAGTATTTTCCTTTATGTATTAATTACTATTTATAAATAAAGTGCAATTATCAAACGAAAACTGAAAGATAAAAATTAGTTCAGATCAAGCAATGGTGGTGGAACTAATCTGGGCATTGAAGGTAAATGAACCCACCCAACATTTTGTACACCATTAAAATTCCCTAGTAGCTCAATTGTGGATCTGATATTTTTCTTAATAACGAGGACAAGTTGTTCGATGAAATGCCTCAAGAAACTAAGGACAAGCAATGTTTGACGGCTTCATTCTCTTCCATGTAATATTAATTAAGAAAAAGTGTTTTGCAGTGATCTGGTCAATATTGATGCATGTTTTGAAGCTTGCATGTTAGTAGAATTAGAAGATTTATTACCTTGACAAGCTTGGAGAAGATAGGGACTTCCTTCCAAGCCGTATGGACAATAACATTTGACCGTTGAACGATTAGTGTATGTCATAGTGGCATTAGACATAAAGCAATAGGGTTGAGTCATTATAAACCCTTAGACACCTAAACTCTTAGAATTCTCAAGAACCCTCTCTCACCCTAAACAAACCAATGCTTATTCACTGAATCTTTACTTCTCAGATTATTACTGATAGTACGTAGCATACATTACCTTACACGAACATCATATCTAAAACAACATATAATAGTGTACAGCATCAATCAAACATATTTTACAAGACCCAAGTGTTTTAATTCTCAGAAGATGATCGTCAAAATTCATCAGAAGTTGAATTTGTGCCCGCATCCGAGGCTGACTCTGTTGAACTTGAAACAACATCCAAATACTCATTTGTGTCGTTTATAGCAAGTTCAACCCCATTGTAATCATGTTGAGCATTAGAAGATTTTTCAATCAACATTTGAATGGCCTCCAACTCTGCCGTGACCTCTCTCATCGTGGGGCGGTTCCTTCCATTCAATCCAAGCACCTCATTGCAAGGTTAGCAAAAGTTGTGATATCTGTTTGGAGCCCTCCATCACAACCCTAGCATCAAGAATGTCAAATAGTCGGTCTTCCTCCATCGAAATAATGAAACAAGTGGCAAGACTTCTGTGTTCTTTTTCCTGTGACCCGATTACGCAAAAACTGGTTGTAGTCCGGTCAAGAGCTCAACTAGGACAACTCCGAAACTATAGACATCACTTTTCTCCGTAAATTGGCTTGATTGGAAGTATTCAGGGTCCAGGTAACCAAATGTGCCCTGTACAACAGTGGTCAAGTGTGTCTGGCAATCACAATTGATCTTGAAGTTCCAAAGTCAGCAACTTTTCCTGTGTATTTCTCATCTAAGAGTATGTTGGTAGATTTGATGTCTCTGTGATATATTGGAAACGAAGCTGCACCATGTAAGTACGATAGAGCTCCTGCAATTTCTGTTGCAATTCGTAACCCGCATTTTCCATGTAAGTGGAAAGTCTTCATTCTGCTCATGAATATAATGGGAAAGGGTTCCATTCGGTATGAATTCGTAAACTAAGAGTGGAACTTCTGTCTCTAAACAACAACCCAAAAGTTGAACCACATTTCTGTGATTTATTTGTGAAAGAATCACAACCTCATTGATGAATTCTGAAAGTTGACCTTCATCTATTATCTTAGACTTCTTTATCGCAACCACTCTTCCATCTGCAAACATTCCTTTGTAGACGGTACCTTGGCCTCCTTGGCCAAGAATTCTATCAATGTTGAATTTGTCAGTGGACTTCTCCAACTCCTCTGATTTGAACAACTTGATTTCTCAACATTGATTTCACCTGATGATAATTGTTGTTGTAACAATAAACCACCATTTCGTTTGAAAAACTTTTCCTTGCGTTTAATGTTTTTTCCTTTTTTTATGACTTTGTACGCATACCATGCACCAACGAGTAGCAACAATAGTCCGGGACCCATGAAAACACCTGCATATAATATATACTTGGAATTATAATTGGATAAAACTATGCATACCGTATTTGTACCACTATGGGTTTTGATTAGTGAAATAAAATATGGAGTGGGCCCTACAAGAGTGTCCCTCAAATAAGCTTATTTACGGATCCCTCAACAAAAGCTCTATGTTATATATGTACACAAAATCACAAATTTTGACGCACCTTTTAGCCTTTAGGTATTTCATGATATAAAGGTTGAAAATGCTTATGGAACCAAAAAAAAATTTATTTATTATTTTTTTGGGAGCATTAAATTATCCTTTTTACCATTTTCTATCCCTTCAGGTTCAAATTATCCTCTCTTCACCTTCCTCTCCATTAAAAATCCAGGCATCTTCTTTGTCTGCAATAGATGTCTTTCATATGTTCCTGAAATTGCTTCATCATTTTTTCTTTGCTGGAAAAGCGGAACAACTGCAATGTCATCACATTCCACAGGCCCTCATATGTCTATTTCAGCAAACCTTACTAACAACAACGGATTGCTAAAAGAACTCTAACTATTATGATATCGGCAAAACGTAAACCTCTTGGGTACGAATTTTAGAAACTCATTCTATAATTCATATTGTTTAGCTAAAGTGAAAGTTTTTCCATTTAAATATTTTTTTCTAGTTCCAATGTGTGTATATAGAAGTTTGCATAGGAGAATTTCTGTGTATATATATATATAGGGTGAGGATCCAGAGACACACAATAATCTCAACTATATGATTTATTTGCCTTGGGAGTATATATATGGTTTTTTGCTAAGATTATTTGAGGTTTGCTAAGATATATGTGAGGTTAAAACTTGTGTCAATGGGTTTTTTTGGTGCCACGAATCCACCCCACATATATATGAGGTAAGTATGATTTTTTATTCTAGCCATAAGTGTTTAAAAGTCAAATTCAAATTTAAAGTAACAATGTTAATGATTTTTTACTCTAGCCTTAAGTGTTTAAAAGTAAGTACTTTAATTTGTTTTCATTATTTATCTTCAAGGCCAAAATAGCCATAGAACATAAATAATAAATGCAAATTGAGCCTAGATTCAATAAGTATATACTACAAGGGTTTTTCCCAACAATTTTAGCATGGAATTGGTCCGTATTAATAATAATGAACTCTAAACAGTATAAGAGCATACCTAAAAGAACAGTTCTGATTCGATAGGCCGAGAGGGCCGAGGCGGCTTTGGCTTGTAGTAGCAACGCCAACTATATTCACCAAAATAGTCACATGTAGGAAAACCTAAAAGAACAGTTACATTTGAGTAGCATGTAAAACCACCAACGAAATTCTTACACATAGGACTGCCACTGAAATTCAATGAAGATAGCATTCCAGGATCCATACACCGATTAAGCTTGCATTCATCAATATCTGTAATATAATAACAGAAAGACAAATGAACATGATGATGAATGGTGAAGTTGGCTCATTCCAGAACAAAGCTTGGATAACGGAATGGAAGGGTTTTAATTAATTACGTACGTACCTTGACAAGGATGGAGAAGATAAGGATTTCCTTGAAAGCCCCCCGGACAGAAGCAATGAACGCTTGACTGATTGTATGTCGAAGTAGTGGCATTATATATTTCGCAATAGGGTGTTGAGTCGTTATTAAAGTTATTTCCATCATACTGACGTACTTTTCTTCCAATAAATCCTTCAAATGCTTTGTGTGAAGTGTTGTCTAAGCTGATGTTCCATTCCAGCACCACGGGAACGCTGTCCATTCCTTGGATAGCTCTGTAGCTTGATAAATTCTTCAAAAACCAATCTTGGTCAACAAGAAATGCATAGTTGCAACCATCAATTTGATCTCTTGGCTGTATCTCAGCAGTGAAAACGCTGATATTTGGAGGAATGGTAGTCTGGCAACAGTTAGTTCCACTGGTACCGCAGCGATAAGCAGCACTATCTGTACTCTGATCGTCACAAGTTGAATTGCATCCTAGAACAACATTCTCATCTGATCTCATGGTAGCAAGACGGCCGCAGCTGACTGCAGTGAACATGTTTTTTCTGTCCAAGTACACAAAAGGGCTTCCCGTCAAATTTGGGGCTTGGTGAGTTTCCTTTCCCTTGCAACCGCCGAAGAAAGTAACAGGGCTTTTAACCTGAAGGGTGCCATCAATAGAAATGTTGAGCACCTCCATTTGGACGCGCCTCAAGAAAGGCTTGTGCCCAGTAGACTCGTTGCAGTCTATCTGAAACCATTCATTAAAGTAACAATCTTTGTTTGGTCCAACGCCGAAAGGGTAAGGGATGCTGACATTAATTCCGCAGTGCGTCGTGCAATTTAGCTTTGCTATAGGCGGAGCTAATTCTGATGACGACGCTGGTTTGGTTTCGGTAGCTATGCTGCACCAAAACAACAAAACGAACATGATCATACGATGATGACCTAGCAATTGCATTGACATTATTAATTCCATTGCCTCCTCTTTCTCTCTATATATGATATCTGACCTTAGTTGGTTACATGGAGCGTTTCTGTAGAGAAGGTACCTTTTATATAGGGCTCGGAAGTTTCCAAAGAAAAAAAATTAGGCTATGACAACTTATATGGTAGAAATTTAATAGCGCAAAAGTAAAAGGGTAACAAATCAAAGTTTGAATAAATAGGGGACTGACAGGACATTGCTTTGAAATTTCTCGTTCATTTCTCAGAATTCGTTAGTAATCTCCTAGCTTAGACTTTTTTATTAGTTTGACCGGGACGTTGCCAATATCCTCATTGCTTGAAATTGCTCCTTCATTCCTCAAAATAATTTAGTAACCTCTAGCTTGGACTTCCTAAATATTTTACTGATCAGGGCCTGTTTGATAAGAGAAGCTTTACTTCAGCTAGCAGAAAGTGACGGTGACTCCAAAATAACAAGTGAAGCTAATTTTTTGGCAACATATAAACTTGGAAATTTTGAGTTCTTATTGGGGATGGTTATTTGGTATGATATATTAGATGTTGTCAATGTAGTTAGCAAAAACTTACAATCTGAAGACATGCTTATTGATGTTGCTATTGATAAAGTGAAAGGGTTGATTACTTTTTTGAAAAGTATAGAGAAAATGGGTTTACATAAGCTATGTGTAATGCTAAAGAAATTGCTACTGACGTGGGAATTGATCCGGTGTTTCCTGAGAAGCGAAAAATTCATAGAAAAAAACATTTTGATGAGAATACTTGTGAGCCATCCCAATCAGTTCCTGAATCAGCTGAAGAAAAGTTTAGAATTGATTATTTCTTGTATTTTGTGGATCAAGCTATTGGTTCTTTACGAAGAAGGTTTCAACAATATCAAGAGTATGAGAATATTTTTGGGTTTTTGTTTACTTCAGAGATGTTAAATTCATTGGATGATTACTATTTGAAGAATAGTTACAGTCATCTAGAAAGCATTTTGAAAAATGACAAGTTTTCTGATGTCGATGGGAAGGATTTATTTGTTGAGTTGAAAGTTTTACGGGAGCCTTTACCAAAAGAAAATACCACAGCTACTGCAATATTAAATTTCTTGAAAAGATTAAATTGTTTTCCCAATGCATTTATTGCATATAGAATCCTATTGACTATTCATGTTACTGTTACATCTGTGGAAAGAAGTTTTTCAAAATTAAAATTGTTAAAATCATACTTGCAATCAACTATGTCGCAAGAAAGATTAAACGGACTAGCTTTGATTTCAATTGAAAGTGAACTTCTTGAAAAACTTGATTATGAACATTTGATTGATGATTTCTCTTCTAAAAATTCAAGAAGATCAATTTTCAGACATTAGTATTGTACTGGCTATGTTTTTTTTTCTTCCTGGGTGTAAAGTTTTATTTAATTATTATTAATTATTAAAGCCGAACGCTGACCTTGGCATCAACTGCCAAAGTATTAAACAGGCTCTCGTAATAGTTTTAATTCTTCAAATAAGACAGCAAATACAATGTGAATGATTTTTGGATAATCATGTATGTTTTTACTGTTGCCTTTGTGTTTAATGCAATATAATCTAATTTGTTAATGACATTTGTGTGCAACTACTCTTTAATTTGTGATTGTCAATTTTTTTTCCTATTAAACACAGATTGCTTATTGAAGGCAGTAAGGGACCTTATAGGGGCACAAGGAGCTTATTTTTGTACCAAAAATTTAACTTTATCAAATGGAAACATTTAAATTTTTATGAATTTAATTTCTAATTGTCATTACATATTTATTGATGGTGAATTTTAGTTATAAAAAAATTGTTTATGTAATGACAATTAGAAATTAAAATACATAAAAATGCGATATCATCAGTTATAAATTCCGCAGTGCGTCGTGCAATACTGATGATGACGCTGGTTTGGTTTCGGTAACTATTCTGCACCAAAACAACAATACGAACATGATCACATGATGATGACCTAGCAATTGCATTGACATTATTAATTCCTCTGCCCCCTCTTTCTCTCTATATATGATATCTGACCTTAGTTGGTTACATGGAGCGTTTTTGTACAGAAAGTACCTTTTATATAGGGCTCGGGAGTTTCCAAAGAAAACAAAATTAGGCAATAACAACTTGACAAATCATCTGTCTGTCTATAATATAATGTATTTATTAATATTAAATCATGTGTCTTTCTGTAATATAATGTATTAATTAATACTTTACTTAACATATATATGGACTAGGAACAACATATCAACTTGGTATTACATTGGACTTAGTCTCCAAATGCGAATTATGATGTTACATGTCTTTCAAATTAATCAAAAAGTCACGTTGATTCGTTTGATTGTATTTTTCTTTGTGTGTCAGCCCCAAATCTCAATTACACCCGAATCGGCTAGCATAAAGAAACTCTCATGCATCCTCGGCTAATAACGCAATGACATGTATAATAAATTTTCCACTTATCATTGTGTTATTGACTAGGAATAGCAAAACAGTAATATTTCCGTTATATATAAGTAACAAAAAATACACGGGGGACATAATGAGCCTTACTCATCAAAAAACCCCGTATCTGATACCGCTATTAAAATAACATATATTTAAAATAATATATATTCAAAATAGTCATTTTCCAAATTAGCATAATTGTTACTAGAATTCCCCAAAAAACAATAGCCCAATACAAAAGTGGAGGAAGAAGACCTCCATGGACTTGAGAAGAAGCAGCCTTGGAACTGGTGCAGCCGATCAATAAGAGTGTTGGGTTTTTTTTCGCTTGGTTAGCCAGCCTAGTGGGGATTAGTTAATAAGATTGGTTTAGGCTAGGGTACTATTTTAGTCTTTAAAAAAAAAGTCTCCTGGGCTATAGCCCAGGTTAGCTTGTTAGTAGTACTGTCCTTGCTTAAAACCAATAGTTCATTATCTAATGAATTTTTCAGTTCTAATACTCGATCGAGAATTATCAGTATTTAATATTTATCAAAGCTGTTCCTATTAGTAATCTCCTAGCTTAGACTTTCTGATTAGTTTGACAGGGATGTTGTCAATATCCTTATTGCCTTCAAATTGCTCCATTCCTGACTTCCCTTGCGTTTACTTGCAATCAGGAATGAAAAAAATAAGTAGGCCCCACTTCAAAATTCGTAATCACATTCCCTCAAAACTATGTATCAAATCAACTAGGGAGAGTAGTCGATACGATTCTCATTCCTGTTTTCTCTTAATAACTTCCAAAAATACCTTTATCACTTTATCATAATTCTAAAATTAATTTGGATTCTAATTCATGCAAATTAGTAAACAATAACAATGGGAATCAATCCCATTCTTTTGCTAATTTCATATGTTTAGTAAACAACTTAATGGGAATTATTCTTCCCATACTGATTCAGTAGTTCCCCGATTCCTAAATTCTCTGATTCCTTACTTTCTTTATTACTGATACGTAAACATGCCCTATAATATCATTCCTGAAAGAAATATGACAGGGACGTCACTGCCGCTCCTAGGACTAGGTCCGCAACGTCACCATCGTCACCCTAAATAGTCACAATATTAATTAATATTGTAGCTGCCATATTTGACTGATAACATATAAAATGGACTAGGAACAACATATCAACTTGGTATTACCTTGGAATTAGTCCCAATGCGAACTATGATGTTACATGCCTTTCAAATCAATCAGAAAGTCACGTTAATTCGTTTAAATGTGGGTCAGCCCCAAATCCCAGTTACACTAGAATTTGTTAATAGAGAGAAACTTGGGACATTTTAGAAAAAGCAAAAGGAGAGAGAATTTTTAAAAGAAGCAAAAATGGACAAAAATGCTCTTATTTATTTTTAGATTTCCTAAGGAATCCAATACATTTGCATGTCTTTGATTTGAAAGTTGAGTGGTTTTTTTGTCTTTTTTGAAAAAGCTTTGGCTTTTTTCAAAAGTGAAAATTTTTTTATGTCTAAAACCTAAAAAACCAGAGAAACTTTTATATAACGGGAATAACACTTTTTGTTGTCCCAGTCAATAACGCAATGACATTCCACATGTTATTATGTTATTAGTTGGGGATAAGAAAACAGTGTTATCGCCGTTACATATAAGTTTTGTTGCTGCTAGCAAGGTGGCTTGGACTCTAATGCACACTGACATGCCATAGCCCCATGCCTCATCCAAACCCAAAAAAAAACAAGACAAAAAAAAACAAACAAACAAACAAACAACAACTCCTTCTCTAACCATATAATTAACTGTAGAAGATACTTGTGGAGGAAAGAAGTGCTTATTCTCTAATTTTATTGTGTGGAAAATCAGTCATCTAATCAATTTATAGTAAAATTTAATAGCGCAAAAGAAAGTGGGTAACAAATAAAATTCTGAATAAATGGGGGACTGACAGGTATGACTTGTAGGACATTGCTTTGTCATTTCTCGATCATTTCTTATCAAGAATACGCAAGAAGGTACTTTGAATTGTTGATTCATCGCCAAAGATGACTTAGAACCAGGGACGGATTCAGGATTTGAAAATGACATGGGCTAACCTTACGTACAAACTTATTGAAAACTCGACGATACATTGCTTTGAATAAATGGGGGACTAACAGGAACGGCTTCTAGGACATTCTTCTGAAATTTCTCGTTCATTTCTCATAATTCATTAGTAATCTCCGAGCTTTGATTTTTTGATTAGTTTGATCGGGACGTTGCCAATATCCTCATTGCTTGAAATTGCTCCTTCATTCCTCAAAATAATTTAGTAACCTTCTAGCTTGGACTTCCTAATTATTTTACTGAGGACCTGTTTGATAACCATTTCAATTTTCATTTTAGTTTTTATTTTTTATTTTTTATTTTTTATTTTTTATTTTTTGTGCTAGAGTATAGAGGAAAATGAGAGTGAGAATGGGAGTTAGGATGAGATTGAGAGAGAATGAAGATAACACCATTTCAATCTCTCATTCTCTCTAAAATAGATTTAGGAAGTGAAAACAATTTCAAATATATTTCATATTTTTGTTTGTGTTTTCACTTTTGCTAATGTAGACTAAGGGCCAATTTGTCACTTTTGTTAAGATGAATGATGAGAAGTAGAAGAACGAGGAGAAAGAGAAGCGAGCGTGAAAACATATGGGGTTATTTTTGGAATTATGACATTTTCATTAAACTCTAGTTCCTCTCCAAACTGATTGCCGCATAATCAGAAAATGAAAGCAGCTCTATACCAGCTTTCCTTTATTACTTTCTCTCACAACAATTTTTAACAATAAGAGATTTTCTCATGGTTTATCAAACGAGCGTCCGTTTAGTATTGATTATTTAGGGTGATAAGTGATTTCCCATTCACCCAAGTATATACTCACCAAAGTAACCTTAATCATTGTCACCGCATCAGTCTCACATGCACAACCTGGGTAATATCGATTCAATAATATTCTTTTAAATGCAGATAATATGACAGCCACAGATATTCATGGGACATGCATCACTACCTGTGTAATGTCGATTCAATAATATTTCTTTTAATGTTATTTATATTATTATTATATTATATTTTTTGTTTTAAATATTTTAACAGATTAAAAAAATATATAGTTAATTATGATTTTATCAATATGAACATGCATTAAGTCTTAAGAAGAATGATGAGACTACACATTGAGTTAAAGGTGGTGAGCAAAATTGCTCCCAATGAATTACAAGGAATCCTTCATGATTCAATTATTATGCTGGTAGTTAGTCAATGACACAATAATTATGCTTGGTGGTTCGTCTACTTTGTGGGTAGATTCGGTGTAGTTGTGATGCTTTCATTTCACCAAGCCTTCTAAGAGCATCTCCAACCGATATGTCAAACGTGCCACATAGACATTTAACAGTTATAAATAACATCTCATATCACTCCAACCGATGTGTCAAAACTGATGTGGAATGAAGGCTGGAGGTTGAGATGTTATTTTTGACATCCCAAAAACAAAATGTCAAATGAATATTTTATTTTATTTTTTTTCTTTTCTTTTTAACTAAAAATAAATCAACACTAAAATGTAATAAAATAATAATTTAATTTGACATATCGAGTGGAGTGTAAAGTTGTATAAGATGTCAAATTGCCACATCAGTCATCAAATTTAAATTTGATGTTTAGTATTTGACATCTCCCTTGGAGATGCTCTAAAACCATCAATTAATGTTTGTCTTCGTAACTCTTCCTCGATGATGTTTACTCGACAAGAATAGGACTTTCCACATAGGGATAGGTATTTATAATAAAATTTTGTATTTATAATAAATGTTGTAGTTATAATAAAGAATATTATATAGAATTTAGGTCTTTGTATAGAATTTTAGTGTGAGAAGTAAGAAATATGGTTAGGTATTTATAATATAAAAAAATTCTGAAATTTTTTTTTATTATTTAAATTGGTTGTTGACGTCATTATAGCGTCACTTTGCCCAGACAAAAGCATGGGCTGGACTTGCCTGTGGGTTTGCCTGGGTTGGTGGGTCCCACGCCTTGCATAGGCATGCCCTTACGCACTGGAGCTGTTCGCGGGCCTAGGCCCTGTCCTGCCCGGGCAAAAGGGGTTGCGGTGGACTTGCCCTAAGAAACACAACAGAGGGTCTCTTCATACAAATTCCTCTGGCATACGAACGGTCTCCCTCTCTGCATAGGATAGGACTGAAATTTCATAAATTACTCAGAAACCATTTTGCCCAACAAGGAATACATGGTTGTAATCAACTAATACTCTGTCCCTTCCACTAATTTACTCTGATAGTCGTATGCTTAATTATTACTCACAGTAGCATGCATACCTTACAGAACATATCATAATCCCAAACAACATATAATGTTGTACAGCATCAAATTAAAAATGGATTACAAGAAGTGTTTTTAATTCACCACGCCTCGGAAGGTGATTGTGGAAACTCATCTAATGGTGAACTGGGCCCAACAATCGAGGCTTACTCTGTTGAACTTGAAACAGCATCCCAGTGCTCATTTATGTCACTTACAGCAGATTCAACCCCGTTGTAACTCTCTGGAACAGTACCAGTGTTTTCAATCAACATTTGAATGGCCTCCAACTCCGTCACGACCTCTCTCATTGTGGGGCGATTCCTTCCATTCAAATTCAAGCATCTCATTGCAAGGTTAGCAAAAGTTATGATATCTGTTTGGGAGCCCTCCATCACAACCCCAGCATCAAGAATGCCAAATAGACGATCTTCCTGCATCGAAGTAATGAAATAAGTGGCAAGACTTTTGTATTCATTTCCTTGTGACCCTGTTACTGCAGAAACTGGTTGTAGACCAGTCAAGAGCTCAACAAGGACAACTCCGAAACTATAGACGGCACTTTTCTCTGTAAATTGGCTTGATTGGAAGTATTCCGGGTCCAAGTAACCAAATGTGCCATGTACAACTGTGGTCAAGTGAGTCTGGCCAATCACAATTGATCTTGAAGTGCCAAAGTCAGCAACTTTTGCTCTGTATTTCTCATCTAAGAGTATGTTGGTAGACTTGATGTCTCTGTGATAAACAGGAAAGGAAGCTGCACCATGCAAGTAAGATAGAGCTCCTGCAATTTCTGTGGCAATTCGTAACCGCAGTTTCCATGTAAGTGGAAAGTCTTCATTCTGCTCATGAATATAGTGGGAAAGGGTTCCATTTGGTATGAATTCGTAAACCAAGAGTGGAACTTCAGTCTCTAAACAACAACCTAATAATTGGACCACATTTCTGTGATTGATTTGTGAAAGAATTACAACCTCATTAATGAATTCTGAAAGTTGGCCTTCATTCAATATCTTAGACTTCTTTACCGCAATGATTCTTCCATCTGCAAACATGCCTTTGTAGACGGTACCTTGGCCTCCCTGACCAAGAATTCTATCAATGTTGTATTTGTCAGTGGACTTCTCCAACTCCTCTGATTTGAACAACTTGATTTTCTCAACATTGATTTCACCTGATGATAATTGTTGTTGTAACAATAAACCACCGTTTCGTTTGAAAAACCTTTCCTTGAGTTTGATGTTTTTCCTTTTCTTTATGACTTTGTATGCATGCCATGCCCCAACGAGTAGTAACAATAGTCCAGGACCCATGAAAAGACCTGCATATAATATATATATATATATATATATATAAATATACTTCAACTTATTCATACTGTACCACGTCTGTAATAGAGTTGTGACTCACTTACAACTACGTCCCACCTCTTGTATAGATATGTGGTATTAAAAAAAAATTATATATCAAGCAATTCGCAGGATTGGGAGCCACAAGATTCTCCAACACAATGAAATCTAAATACCATTAGACTAAAGGTCAATTATTGGCAACGACTTTTTTCTTTAGAAATTCGAAAATTGATCATCTCTGTATGAAGAAAGGCTGATTGTGGGTTTTGTCATCTCCCTGGCTATAAGTTTGTTTTGATCAAAGTTTGCTTCACGACAACAAAAGTATGATGAACTGTGAATAGGAGTATACCTAAAAGAATGGTTCTGATTCGATGGGACCGAGATGTCATAGGATCCAAGTAGCATTCCCAATTAGCTACACCATAATACACACATGTACTTCTAGTTACATTTGAGTAGCATTTATAGCCACCAACGAAATTCTCACATATAGAACTGCCTCCGAATTCCCTTAAAGCTAGCAGATCGGTACACTGATTAAGGTCCTTGCATTCATCAATATCTGAAATGTAATAACAGAAAGGCAAATGAACAACATGGTGAATGGTGAAGTTTGGTAATTCCAGAATGAAAGGTTAGCTATATATTCAATTTGTATTTTTTTTTAAAGAGGGTTTAAATTTAATTAATTACATACCTTGACAAGGGTGGAGAAGATAAGGATTTCCTTCAAAGCCCGCCGGACAGGAACAGTGAAGGCTTGACTTATTGTATGTGGAAGAAGTAGTGGCATTGTATATTTCACAATAGGGTGTTGAGTCAATAATATAGTTCCGTTCAAAATCATAATAATCTGGCTCTGTTCCAATAAATCCTTTAAAGGATCTGAGTGAAGTATTGTCTAAGCTGATCTTCCAGTCTAGCACCACAGGTACGCTGTCCATGCCCTGGATAGCTCTATAACTTGATAAATTGTTCACAAACCAATCTTGGTCAACAACAAATGCATAGCCGCAACCGCCATTTTGATATTTTCCTTGTATTTCAGTAGTGAAAACACTGAGATTTGGAGGAATGTTAGTCTGGCAACAGTTTATTTCGATATCACAGAGATTAGTGTTGTTTGTACTCCAATCACAAGTTGATTCGCATCCGTGAAAAACATGCTTTTCTGATCTCACAGTGGCAAGGTGACCGCAAGTCACAGCTGTGAAAATATTGTGCGTCACCGAGTATAGGAAGGGGCTTCCAGTCAAATTTGGAGCTTGGCGAGTTTCCTTTCCCTTGCAGCTGAAGAAAGTAACAGGGTACTTAAACTGAAGCATGCCTTCGATAGAAATGCTCAGCACCTCCAGCTGGGCCAGCCTCAGGAATGGCTTGTCCCCAGTAGATTTGTTGCATTCTAGTTGAAACCATTCATCATAGTAACAATCTTTATTTGGTCCAATCCCAAAAGGGTATGGGATGCTAACATTTCCACAGTGCGTTCTGCAATTAGGCTTTGCTATCGGCGGTGCTGCAAATTTTGATGAGGTCGGTGAAGTACTAGTAGTTGTTATGTGCCATAACAATAGAAGAATGAATATCATATGTTGAACTTGCAATTGTATTCTTGCCATAATTATTCCTCTTCTTCTTTCTCTGATATCTCATCTTAGTTTTGTGAGAAGTACATACTACATATAGGGAGTCTGCAAATAAAAACCGAAGTTAGGCAACAATGTGAAAATCGTTTCTGTGTAATTGTGCCATAAAAGATAAAGATTTCGTTCTATATAATATATAGCTAATACAACAAATTCAAAAAAGTAAATGAAAATACAATGAAGTAGACTTAGTCATCTTTACACGCTCGGTATTTTTTTCTTTCCTGTTCCTTTAACTATTGCAGAAAGTTCAAAGTCTTCTTTGATTCTTTAAGGTGATTAACATTTATATTTATTAACTTTACCTTCAACTTTTGCAGAGTGTTCAAAGTCTTCTTTGATTCTTTAAAGTCATCAATATTTATATTAATCAACTTTACCCGACTCTCTGCTTTTTTTCTTCTTCTTTTTTTGTCATTCACTACGGAGGGGGTGGAGCAGAATTATATTGAGTTCCCTCAAGATTGTCTTCTATGAGAATCAAACCCAGGTGCACTTGGGGGAAGGAGGAGTGTTTGACCCACTTTTCCACAGTGATACCACCCCATATGCGACTCTCTATTTTTCAATGACATAATTATCACAAGTTTGTTCTACTATTATAAAGTTATGCAATAGTTTGTGGTGTCACGTAGACTATCAAAAATTATTATGACAAACTTAAAATAACATTATGTAACACTACAATTTCTCTAAACTTAAAATCTTTATTATCTATGATTAAGAGAAAAGCTCTAGCGCATGTAAGAGCGATCACTCAAATCTAGAGGGAAAGGGATTCCAACTCTAATCTAGAGCGATCACACTACTATTACTCTAAACTTAGCAATCTTTATTATCTATCATAGACTTCATAACCAATTGACCTATCACACACACTATTAAGGTGTCATGAGAATTTGAACTTGAGACCAGTGGTCTGCAAGTGGCCCTTTACCACTGGACTTTACCCATTGGTTTTAATATAATATTTAAATGAACATTGCTCCACCATCCATAATCAGGTTAACCCTAGGGCCAAACATGTTTGCAGTGCCTTGCAAAATCAACAAAACTAATTTCTGTTACTACACACATTATTTGTTGTAGAGAATTGCATGCTGAGTTGGAGTGTACTTGGTAATTGCTTCACTTTTCAAACAACACTTTACATGAAGAATACTACCATAAATATACCCATAAATATTTGTGTGAAATTGTTGTTCAAGTTAGCAAAGAGATTGCAAAATCACCATCTTGCATTTTTGTTACAACAAGTAAAAAGTAATCTTTGCCTCTCACATTCTCTCATAGTTAGTAAAATACAGAACAGAAAAAGTACGTATTTTATTCATAATTTTTTTGTGAAATTACAACTGAAAAGTTAGGCTAATATAATTTATTTAAAGTTTTTAACATATATTATTTTTATTCAATAATGTGTATAATACGTGAATTTTGTGTGTATTCCTGAAAATTTTGTAAAAAACATATGTTTTATAGAGTCTTTAAGGCGTGTACAGAAAAAATCTGTATTATTGAAAATATATATGTACGTATGTGTATAATATAAGTATTAAACGTGAAAATACTAAATTCTTTATATGGTAATAACTCTGGCAAAGTAAAAAAAATCAAAGAAAAAAATAGAAACTCGGGTACTGGCCTAATAGTAATGGATAATGCTCTAAACTACTATTACCGATAAAAGAAACTTGGGGAATTCTTTTTTTTTATATAAAAAAAAAAAAAAAAAAAAAAAAAAAACCCAATCCCATATATATAGGTAAAGCTGCTAGGCTATTACTATTTATTTTATTATTATTATAAATAAAAAATAAATAAAAACCCAATACAGCCGCCAGGCTATACCTTTTTTTTTTTTAACAAATACTCAGGTATAGCCGCTGAGCTATACTATTTGCGGGAAGGAAAAAAAAAGGGACTGCCTAGCAATTAGGTGCCCACTTGTATAGCCGCGCTGTTCTTTTTTCAAAAAAAAAAGCAAAAAAAAAAAAAAAAAAAAAAAAAAAAGAACGAAAAAAAAGGGGGACTGCACGCCCCGAGCGGTATAATGTTTTAATATATATCTTTTAATCGTATAGCCGCAAGGCTATAGTATTTTAATAAATAAATAAATAAATACCCGAGTATAGCCATGCGGCTATACTATTTAGTATAAAAAAGGGACCCACTTAACAAAAACTGTCTAGCCGCGCGGCTATACGATTTTTTACAAAAAAAAACATCATCATATTGCCGCGTAGCTATACTTTTTAAAAATAATATATATATATATATATATATATATATATAAAAGGGCGACCCAAACCCACCTATCCCACGTGTGAAAACAAAAATAGCCGCTCGGCTATACTACTTTTTTAAAATAAAAAATAGGGAGTTTCACTAAAACACCCAAAATGGGGGCTGAAATTATAAAAAAAACCCAACACCCAAAACACTTTATAAACACACCCAAAACCCATAATTACACATTTAAAACCTATTTATAAATACACCCAAAAAATATACAATTGTTGATTTTGGGTGTGTTTCTATGTTTAAATAGTGCTTGGGTTTTTTTATAAATACATGTCTAGGATTAGGTTTATTTATAAATTTGTATAAAAAATACCATAGTCAAGACGTTCGGCTATACTATTTTATTTAAAAAAAAATATTACCTGAGCATAGTCACACAGCTATACTATTTTGAAAAATACCCGAGAGTATAGCCACGCGGCCATACGATTTAATATTAAAAAAAGGGACCCACAATTATAATATATTTAAATAGTAAAGCTGCATGGCTATACCTTTTATTCTATAATATATATATAAAAGACCCTCCTAGTTGCGTTACGTTAGTTTATACAAGAAGTAGAATAACCTTCCGTTCTTTCTCTGTATTTGATCTTAGTTGGTTAGTACTAACTATAGTTTGCATTAAGCGTTTTGTTGAGAAGGTACGCGTATATATGGACCCAGCCCCTCTATTTGTAAAGCATTGCATTCACACATGTGCCACAACACAAGCCAGAGTCAAACAAAAGTAACAACTCAACTCGGTATTACCTCAAGCTAAGTGACAATGTGAACTATGATGTTTCATGTCGATCAAATCAATTAGAAGTCACTTTAATTCGTCTCCTCTTTTTTTTTCTATTAGTGAGACATTGTGAAATGAAACCGTCCCAGTTACACACCAGAATCTGCTAGCAAGGTCATTGGCACACTGGTATGCCCCACGCGGTACATGCAGCAAAAAACCAACTGGAAGTCACATTAATTACAGAACATTAATGTGACAAAAGATGAGTATCATTGTATCAAATACCATCATGCATCAAAACTGTTCCTCTTTTGATTATATATCAAATAAATAGAATCTTTAATTTATCCTAATCCTATTTCATTTCTCGTCCGTCTCTCGCATCTAAAGCGTCTGTGAGTGGTGGCTGGCAAGGAAGCATTATCCCCTTTAAATCTATTAAAAGTAGCAACCTTGAGAACACATTCACAATCAAGCATTTGTTTGGCAACACAAGTCTCACAAGAAAGCGTTCTCTACATACGCACACATACTACACAGCATGCAGCCCGTAAAAATGCACAAATGCAATGACTAGAGTTAAACCAAGAAACTACTTTCGGCCATGGAAGTGTACAGAATTTAATCGAAACTTAAGATTGTCAATATAGTAATTGAACAGGATGGCACTTGAACAGTCTGATTAATGATACAAGTGCTTAATTTCATTTAATAATAAATTACAAGACAAGATAGCATAGAAAGTGCTATCGGACTCGGACATCAAGCAATCTCTCTTTAGGGTGCGTGTTGTTCTACGTGCTGTAGTGGTAGTTTCAGAAACAAGGTTCCTTCCTACTATAATTTACAGTATATAATTATAAGCTGACATGCAAGCTTCAAATAGACTTAGCCCAAAGCAGTACATCTCCACCGACCACAGAAAAGGGTAAAAGAATGCTAACAATTCCTTTTTACGAACAACACTACTATCGTAGTTAAAACACTCATCATTCGCAGCCAATTTTTAATTTTCCATTTTTAGCAAAGCATTGGCCTTTAGTAGTCCAGTGAGCCCAACGATGCAATCCCATTGGTTGAGTTTCTCAAGTCTTGTCGACTCCCGTAGTCATCGCAGGTATTGTTGCCAACATTGGAAAGCTTATTGCTTGGGACAGAAGCCGCACGATTGTGGCCTTCCTTTCCCATCTGTTGCACTTCAAGTGGCGAGAGTATTTTGATATACCACACATTGTTCACAAACTCCCTGAATATAAGAGAAGAATCATTTACTTCAGCTGAATCATGAAAAAGAACAGTTCAAAACTTCAGAAGACTATATTGTTTAAGGCTCAGAGATGTACACATGCAAAATAGTAACTTAAAACTCTTGAAAAAGTGACAAAACAGTCAACGATTTAAAATGGCTTAAGCTACTCCCACTTTAAACCTCAAGGCGTTTTCTAAACGTTACCGCTGTTTCTGTCCACAAATTTGGGATACCAGCTCCTACACTTTTAACAATTTGACATACAGAATAAAGTCATTACAGTAGCTACTTCGAAAACAATAAAATTGCGCCCAGTAATCCAGGATGAAACATTTTACAAAAGAACAGTAATAACTGAAACGCATGGGAAGCTCGAATTTCAGAATTGCCAATGCAAACAGAGTGTATAATAATTGACTAGTAAGTGAAATGATGAAATACAATTTGGGACTTACTGCCAAGGGTCGTCGCCAAGGAGAAGAACATCATTCTCCCGGTCAACAAATACAAGCTGCCAGCCTGATCTCTGAGGGTCCTCTAATTGGCCTTCAAGGCCAAACATACGCGCGAGCTCACTGCGCAGCTCATCATAGCTGCTGAATTTTGAAATATCCAGTGACCTCCCAAAGGACCCTGACTTGTGAACCTACCAAATTGCAACATTTAATAAAAAGAATATGAGTAACCACTCAGAAAAAGTACTAATTCTTTTGAACAAGTACTCACATGGAAGAAGACTTCCCATGCATCTGACCATTCTGTTAAGAACAAAATGCTTGTAATACACAATCAGAACTATCTTATCTTACCTTCACAAAGTTTCGAGTTGGATTTACTTGGTCCACATTTTCTGAAGACTGCAAGAAACCTGATTCATCTACACAACTTGAAGTAGTCATGTCTGAATTAAGTGGAAAATCATTGCCCGTGGCACTGGTGTAACTGGAAGCACCAAACGGCAAATCATTTCCATTGCCAATATTTCTCAAGGTTGGAATCCCATTGTGCAGCATAAGAGATGAGGAATCAATGTTCACTCCAAACAAAAGATTGCTTTGGGGATCAGTACCGCCTTGGAATGCAGAGTACTCTCTACCAGGAAACGGAGGCAAGGCCGTGAGCTCAGAGATATTTGACTGTGGTGTTCCCAACTGTTCTACCTGGGGTAGTACACATTGAGCAGCTCCAGATGATAGCTGCTGTTCGCCTGCGATCTGCTTGGGTAACAAGGAAGACGAAATTACAGAGTTGGATCCACTTAAGTTAAGTAAGTGGGATGCTCCATCTTGTGATAGGGAACCTAATATACTATGTATAGGGGGAACATCAGATGAAGATATAGGATTTCCAACAGAGTCAGGAAAGCTCTGCTGCTGAGGTTGTGAAGGGATAGCTTGCAGAGATGCAGACTGGGATTGAGTGGCTGAGGCAAAATTGGACAGAGCAGACATGACATTTGGGATCTGCTGCTGAACAGACAATTGGTGCAGATGATGAGATTGTTGAAGCTGCTGCTGCAGCTGCTGTTGTTGCTGGTGCTGCTGCAGCTGCTGTTGTTGCCTCTGATCACTATAGGGATGGTAACGCTGCAACTGTTGTTGCAAAACCTGAGCCTGAGCAGGAGCTTGGTTTTCTTGAAAGCTCTGAAGATAAGTATTTTGAGATTGAGACTGCGGTAAAACCTGTCTCTGAAGCACAGCAGCCGACCCATTAGAAACATTTGAAGATTGCTGGAAGGGCAGAAGAGACTGTGAAGCACATTTAGAAGAATCCACTGTCCTCATTTCTTGAAGTGCGGCAGCTGCCATTGCTTGGTATACCTCAGGTTGTAGACCTGCCATAGAAGCATCAAGCCTCGGCTGCATCCAGGGAGTAACCCCAAATCCCTGAAAGTTCAAAGATTGAATCCCCTGATCTCCAACCCCTCCTTGGAGCCACATCAGTGGAGCATTAATGCCCATATCACCATCTTTGAGCCCTGAAATGAACATACCACTGAGTATTAGAGGGGGCAAAGAAAACATTTTTTGACACATAAGACAACATGTGTTCCTCAGGCATAAAACCAAAGATACCGTGGAAAGAGGGAATGCCCGATGGCCATGGTCGCTTCAGTCTGAGGGGGAATGGGGATGGATACATTGGGAATGTTGTTAGTGGTTCAATCTCCCACAATGAAACTCTAGGCTGCCTCTCCCCTGCAGTGGATTCATCCCAGCCAACCTGCATTAGCAGAGAACCCGTTTACAAACCTTATGTCACCTGAAAAAGTTAAAAAAGCTGGCCACATCTCTTTCAAAAACTTGTGAAACTTAGGCAAAATATTTGAATTTTAATGAGCATGAAAATCACAAAATGCTCCCAACAAACCTTCACAGAGCGCCAATGTGAATTTGTCCAACGCACAGAATCTAAATCACTGATACCAGTTATTGTACCCATGTATCTGAAGGAAAAGAAAAACAAAACAAAAATTACCACTTAAATAAATGCTAAGCATAAACTATATATATATATATATATATATATATAACTATTGAAGATAATTAACCTACCGACGGACACTTGACTCTTCTGTTTCAAACAGCATCCTAAATCGCATGCCCACAGAAACCCGTGTATGATAGACAGCTTTAACATACTTGGCCAGGGGTATCACAAACTCAGATGGACTAGCCCTGCATTATAAGCAAATTGATTAATAAGATGTAACAAGTAGGATCTAAAATCTAGAAAAGTAGTAGATACTCACCTTGGATTATAAAATATTGTAAAGCGACTATTTGTTGCAGCTGCATGAGCTGCGGCAGCAAGAAGACCAATGTGCATGCTATCACTTGACAAAACCGATGAGGGCATAACAGTCTGTGGACGATTTGCTCGCCGAATACCCAAGAGTAACTGATTCTTTTCATTCCTGATTGAAGACAACATATTTGAAGAAAAATTAATAATTACCACAATTCTTGCCCTAATAACTCCAACCACCCCCTTCTCCCCAGCACATTCCCCGAAAAAAGAAAAAAGAAGAGAAACATATTCAATCATGTAAAGAACAGAATAACTGTTTTAAATTACCAAATAAAAAGGACTGAATCACCAGCAACAAGTCGTTTGGCACTAACAAACACGCTCCATCCTGTCGTGAGAAGATGCCTCTTGGGCTGGCCTGCACAATAGCATGGAAAAAAGAGATTAGAAACCAGAATTGCATGTTGCAGACAGTATAATAAAAAATAAAACCTAGGTAAAGAAAGTACACAAGAGTCTATAAAATCATTGAACTGTAAACCAAGTGTCCCACAAGGCTCATTCATGCGTAAGCCCAATGTGATCAAGATCCATGACAGGCAGTCTTTCAACCACAATGAGGGCAAGAACAACTACAGAAGAAACAAAAAATTCAAAAACATTTGTTGGGTCAATCAGACCTACAACTATTTCTTCTTAATTTGTGAGAGACTGAGAGGGTTGAATGGTTGTTGATCATCGATGTAGTGTAACACTCTTGGTTACCCATTCCCTTTAATCTAATTTCTTGCTACAGTTCAATTATTTTCTCTTGACAGCTGCAACTTTTTGAATAGCTCACTGAAGCAGAAGAAGAAACAAAAAAAGCTCCAAAAGGAGAGTGCATGCTATTGCTATCCTAACCCCAGAATAATGGTTAAGTTACTCAGGAGAACAGATATCAAACTTGCCATAAAATATATGACCCAAGGGCAGCCAAATTTAATAACTGGCAACATTTACATAATCCAGAACATAAAAAAGTTGCTACATTGTCTGGTTGCTTGGGCCGCTCTACCTTTTAATTATTATATGTTTAGGCAGATTCAAAGACAGGGCTACTTTATTTCGTTATTTGTTTGCCACATCCTCACTGGGGTCTTTAGGCAATTACTATAGCAGGTAGGTTTAGGAATTACAGATATTTAAGTTCAAGTAAACAATAAATTTATTAATTTTTAATGAGATATTGCTCATGCCATTAAATATACAATTTCTCCAAATCTTTCACTTTTGACATTTAGAACAGCAAGTGTGCAAACTGTCTAGTATACTTGTACTCAGTGGTCTTAATTTTGCATCTAAGCTGGAGGTGCAGACTTGAAGAATAATAAAGAGTAATGAGAGCAAATATAAAACAGAATTCTGAACAAATTCACACTCACCTCGAAATATATGTCTGAATTTCCATTCATTATCATGAAGATCCCTTGCAATTAGTTCCTGAGCTGGGGGCTGCTGTGAGTAATCCTGAAGGTACAATAAAAAATTAAATTATTGAAACCAATTCAATGAGACGAAAACAAAGAAAATCAAATGTGATGCTCAGGCTACTCAAAAAAGAGGAAACCTACAAGAGGAGGAAAGACTTTTTCAGCTGCACGGCGGGGAACAGAGAATCCTCCATGCGTGCTAGTATCACTTGCAGTCAAAGTTTTACAAAAATAGTTGGTTGGCTGTTTGCTGGCAGCACCCAACTCCGCAGGCAGTAGGTATACATCTTTTTGCTCTTGCTACAAAACAGTTTATGTTAATACATGATCAAAATTACTTGACTCACAAAGTCACATGTCAAAAACAGAAAAGTACAGTACCGGACTTAATGGTTGTAGGGTCATTTGAGCATATACTTCATCAGTCTCCACATCTGCCTGTACGATACAAAATTTAAAAAAAATTAAGGAGCATCCCGTTAAATGGCACAGAGAAGATGCAAGCCGGCTGACACTTACATGCATTGTCACATTATGCAGCTGACATATTAGTTGTGGAGGCAAGTTGGGGTAATTTGGAATATGGGCATCCACTTCCTTATTGGTTGATGCAGCAACCTGTACAAGAAATACCAAGAATTAAAAACAATCACTGAATACCCTCTCAAAAATTAGTGTTCAGGACGTTGTGGTTATATAGATATTAGAAGCTTCAGCTGTTTAAGCACACAACAATTGTACTCATAAGTTTTGGATTATATTAAAGTAATTGAGGTAATGATATGTACAAAATGAATAAGAGAAAAGTTATAACTAGACACTATGTAAATACCAAAGAAGTAAAAAAGAAAACCTTCAACCCATCCTTTATTTTATTTTTTTCTATAGGAGTAAATGAACATACATCTATAATTACACAGCCTACATTTCAAACTTATTAGACAAAAATAAGACAATCGTAACAAGAGACTTCCTTGAATCAATAAAACAACCAAAGTTCCTATTCTACATACTGCAAACCAACCAAATGTTTTCTCCTGATACCATTCAGAAGGAAAAATCTGAATTCAACAATAAATGAGATAGCAATCCAGTTGCTGACCTGCTCACTGTGACCCTGTGGAAAGTAGACTACACGACTTCCAAGAAGAGGCAAAGACACCAGGGGCCCCGCACATGCATGCCAAAGCTCAGAATTCAAACATTTCTTCTCCCCTGCACATAGTTTCTATGCTTGCATGAGTATGCATGACATGAAATTCATAGCATCAAAATCCTAACCCTTAAATTAATTGAAGATAGAAATGCAAGACTAGTTTTAGTGATAATGGCATGTTGTTAATTCGTTTACAGGTGCAACCACTTCAAATCATGAAACCAAATTTCCACCCAGAACCCCATCAAGCAGTGAATGGGCAGTTGAGATAATTGTAAAATAGTAAGATGGGTGTTTAGTCACCTTAAACTCAATTCTCGAACAGACAAGCAACATATGCAAAGAATGACTATTTTTACAACGAAATAACTCCGGAAAGACACACAAACACTGGTGAAATGAATATTCACTAGGTCTGTTCAATGACCGCTTATTTAAGACATGCACATATAACGGTCACCTAAAACGTGGCTCAATCGTTTAGACTAAATCCAAAACAAAAGAAGCATAAATGTATGCAAGATAATGCCTCAGAGTCGATTAACTAATGCTTTTAAGGACGTATTAAATTTCAGACGAGAAAAATGGAACGAGCCAAATAAAGCACAAAAAAGTGCATACCTTCCTGAGGCTGGTGATTAAAACCCGAAGACGAGGATGAAGACGAAAGTCTCATTTCTTCGAAAGCCCGAAATGCAACCTCCTTTCACCACCTACTGAAACCCCCTTTAGCCCCAGTAAAACCAAACCCAACTTAAACAAAGATTCAAATATCAGTCCCCTCCTTATTCCTTGCACATATTAGCACCCATTTCTGAACCCCTGCACCTCTAAATCATCAAATGCAGTGAAAGTAAGCCCACCCCCCACCCCCCCCAAGCAAAAACCAGAAAATATCAACTACACCTCTGGGAAAATATCATCCAAAACCAGTGCCAATACAGAAGACAAGACCTCTCACCCTCATACGCCCCAGATCTTCTTCACCCTACCAAAACCCACCACATTTACCCTAATAAGAACCCTAAACCCCCAACTGACACCTCCAAGCTCGGAAATTTATGAACACTTGCAAGCTCCACAGAAACCCTAGACTACCCAGATCTCAGAAATTGAACAGTAACTGAGCAAGTAAGCTTGAACAGAGAATGAGAGAACTCTTACTGAGCTGAGAGTGACATTTTCAGAAGCACCGATTTGACAGGCAAAAGAGCTGAGCTTTAGCTTGGTCTGCTGCTTGTGAAGCTTGAGAGAGAAAGATAGAGAGAGAGTTCGGTTGAGAGAAAGCTTTATTGGTCTTCGTTGAGGGCTTGTTTGGTCTACGATCAATTAATACAGTGGTAATTATTGCTGGTGGGGTAATGTAATGTTCATAGGGATGGCTGTCAGAAGCAAATAGAAATAGGAGGACTAAAAATCTAACTTCTCTCCCTATTTTACCCTAGCCTTTTTCCCCTTTTTGCAATCTTGGCCATTACCCTCTCTCTAGGCCCTTTTTTTCCTTCTATTTTTCTCCCCTACCATTCAATTTTCCCTTTATTCCTCTTTTGGAAATTGCCAATCTTTTCCATGTTGGCTTTTGGAAATTTTTCATTTTTATTTCATAAAAGGGAAAGATGATTTGGTTATCATTGGTTTCTCCATATGAATTAAATAGTTTTGAAATTGAAGTAAGTTCAATTACATTTGTACTGGACTCTCTTATTGTTTTCTCCATAAAGCTTTTGATCTAACTTCCTTAAATGTCAGTTTGGGAGACTTAATCTGTGCATGGTTTGACTTGAAATGTCTTTAAATTTAATAGAACGTCCCCATGTATGCCCGCATTTGGCAACTTCCTTGGAAGGTTTGCTGCATTCATTATTAGTAGGTTCTTGTGGTTTCTGGTTATAGTTCCATGTGTCATCTATCAGGCACTTACAACCTCAATTGTCACTTCAATCCTAGCTGCCACAAATTAATGTTAAAAGACTTTTGTATTTTTCTTGTAAATTATATGCAGGAGGTTTTGGTTCATATTGCTTCAAAATTGTAAAGTTTAAGTCCTGCTTGAGCTCATTCTTGTGTGGATTTGTGGAGAAAGACTTTCAGTGGCATTATTTTGTTATTCCAATCAATAATGCTATGACATGCGTGATAACATTTCTACGTAACATAGTATTATTGGCTAGATATAACCAAATAGTATTATCTTATTGCAACTCAGTTTTTCACCATCCGTGAGAGAAAGATCTGCAACAGATATTTAAAATTTCTTATTTTATTAAAAGACAATATTATCTCACATAACAGGTAGCTTGAATAAACTAAGTATAGCATGGCTCTCTAGTGAGAACCATATCTTGACCACATTCAACCAAAAGCTAGGTGTAGCCGTTGAGAAGATAGCAGCATCCCCCATGCTTCTCTCTTTATTTTAACTTCCATCTGCAGTTGCCTTGATTTTTACTGCACACTGCATAGAGAAACAAAAGAATATTAGTAATGTTCTCGCATTTCATCTCTCACGTGCTAATCACATGACTAAACGTACATGTTGATGAGGTGATCATAGATGTTGTATACGGCAGTTGTATATCGATGGAGTGCATACAAAAATTACTTACTCGTTGCAATTGACACTCCTAGAAATGGGAACGTTGATTTGGACTTTACACGCAGTGGGGAGACCAGCTGCGACGTCTTCCTTGATGTTTTGGTAGTGATCTGCGGTGTCCTTGAGGCATTGGCAGGCTGCACGCCTGTCTTTGGTGGTTGAAGCGAGCTGTTTCAGACCCGAAACCCCATTGCAACACGCCGTGGGTGGGCTACCAGTGCCACTGGTGAGATATGGAACGCAGGGAGCGACAGATGACGCCACTTGTTGGCAAGTGACTGTGGCCTGCCCCGGTTTAACCAAGACCAACATGGCCACCACCACCATCACTAAAGCTATAACAACACCCTTCATTTTCTTTTCTGTTTTTTGTACGTTTGAGTTTGAGATCGATGGAGTGCTACAATGTTTGCTAATTGACTTAAAGTTGAGCTTAATTGTTCATGTACGGAAGTTTAAGTTGTGGTTTTGATGGGTAAGGAGGTTTGAAGGGTATTTATAGTTGCCACTAGAAGATATATCCAAAATCATGAGGGGGATTATTGGTGTAGCAGAAGCCGTTATGAAACTTAAGCAGCCTTTGCATGGTCCCTATCTCTTCGCTGGGTTAGGCCTTTGCTGCATGCCAAGAGCGTTACATTACAACTTTCTTCCAAAAGAAAGCGGAATTGGTGTTCCTGCCATGTGTATAACTCTTGCTTATCTCTTCGCTGGGTTAGGCCTTTGCTGCATGCCAAGAGCGTTGCAACTTTCTTCCAAAAGAAAGCGGAATTGGTGTTCCAAAGATGAACTCGATATTGTGCTTTAAGTTTAAAAAGCACGTATGAAACACTAAGTATGTCATTTTTGTCAATCAGAATGTATATAAAATGCTAATCATGTCAGTTTTACACCCAAAAAAGTTTAATAAGGAATTTTAAGATGAAAGATCAGAAAATATGGTTCTTCTGACATTGCTCAATTTGTTCCAAATGAGGCTGAGGCAATATGGTGTACACAGGTTTAGGACTTTACACTGGGTTTCAGTTGGGGAAAACAGAAGGGCATGGACGCTAGAAAAATGGAGCAGGCAACGAAAGCACACAAGGCGCTTTTGGCACACTTGAAATCATTCTTTACTTCACTATTGATAGGGATACTTTCACATGCAAAGCTAAGACAGTATCAGAAATTGACAAAGTAGTATATTCATAGAATTAGCCTACCAACACTTCAGAATGATTTCTTAACCAAAAGAATTTATATATTGATGATGATTTCATTTTCAATTTCGAGCAGCTTGTTTTCCTTTCACTTCATCATTGATCCTTCCCACTATACAAATCATAAACTATAAAATCAACAACAGCCAGAGTCAGCTTTTGAAGGCATTCTCAAGAGATTCTTTCATGCAAAAATTCCATGCTACCAATGCTGCTCCAACTGCAGGCTCTACCTGATGGTGATTCAAGAAAACAAATACAGCAGCATTGTAAAAGAGCATACCAGAAATTCCACGATATAACATCTGTGTACACAAGCATATGGGTTGCTAACTTGGTCGTTAGTAGGACTTCTGATAAATTATAGAAACAATTAGTATCTTCTAATTGATTATTGTTCCTTCCTTAGTCTATTTGTGTTGTCCACTTTTCATCTACTCTATAATTATCGTTTGACACGAAGACACTTTTCCTTTTTATCCAAGATAGGGAAGCCCGCCAATAGTAACTGTACTCAAGAAGCCATCTACGGAAAGTAGCAGGCTCACCCTTTAAATCTCATTTGCTTCAAATATCAAAAGTTTATTGAAGTGAGGCATAAAATATGCTTACCTTCGGCCTAATGGGAACTGCCCCCGGGTAGTCCTTGGAGATGCATTTAATGACTTCCTCTCCTATATCCCACCTCTTATTTTCATCAAGAACACCACCAACCATGACAAGAGGAAAAGAATCTTTTCCCTCTGCAATTATTTTAAACAAAAAATGAAATTAGTATGCAGAGTAGGGACTCCCTACCTTTCAATTATTGCAAGGCAGTATATAAACTCGAATCTGATACACATAGAATATCCATCATGAGCACAGCAATAATACAACACCATAAGTAGAAGGAATGGGTATAGCACAAAGGCAAAACACTTGAAAATAAAATAAGCCAGTAAGGAATGGCAATAACTTTTCTGCTCCCTGTATGCAGTTTATTAAGCATTTTCTTTTTTGCAAATGCATATTTAAATAGTATCACTACCCTACCACTAAATGATTAATATTTTATGAAGTCATGCATAACCTCATGACCTATTATACATCACACAAATCCAAAAAAGAATTCCTTTAATTTTTTTCAGTTTTTTGTTCAGTATGTCACACCTGGACCACTCAAGCCAAGTCTTTGAACAACAGCGTTCACACTCAACCTCAACTCCTCGACTGAATCAAACAAGATCTTATTTGCAACCTCATCACCAGCAATTGCACAACATACAACAACTGGAACAAGTGCTGCAATGCGAGCCCAAGATGGATCAGCATAGGTCCACCTGAAATCCAATAGAAAATTACAGTGGTTATCTGATACCCCATACAATTACATCCCGGATACTCATTTCTATCAAGGTTCTCAATTCATTTTCCTCAAGAAGGTTCGCAGATACATACAAAATACCACATACCCTTTAAATGAAACATATTCCAATCGAGAATGCATGACAAATTCAATGGAAAAGATACATATAATTGCCATTTCAAGATCAATGGGGTTATTTCCACACCCCTATGTGAGATGCGACTGACTTTTGACTCCTCTCACGTAGAGGTGCAGATAAAACCACGTAATCTAAGAAGAATAATCTCAAGATATAACATGTTTGCATGCCAATGGAACCAGAGAACTTAGATCATACACATCTATACCAGATTTTAGCTACTACAATAAGTGGAACTTCCCACATATTTGCATCACCTAACCAACACCATTTGAGGGATTGCAGACAAACGAATTTACAGATTGATGGAACAAACCTTGTCATTTATTTTCGCCAAAACTGCCTTAAAGATTGGCTGCAGACGTAAGATCCCAAAATGACAACTAGTAACTTCACCAATATATGTGATGATGACAATTATAAGTTTCAGATAGATACCCGATGAGTTCATCTGGAGAAGAAAGACCAAGCTTCCCTAAAATACTAGACATAAGCATTGTATGTGGACCACGACCATCATGGGCCCTTATTACAGCGGTTAATGCCTGTGCAGCTATTCCGTATCCACTGCAAGTAAAAAGAACATTACCTTCAGTAAAAACTTCTGGGAAAGGAAAAAGACGGATATCGTTAAAAAGAAGCCCACATCTTGAATTCCAGAAACTACCAGAATACTACTCAAAAAGTGATATTAAGTTTATTTGACACATTGATTGATTTATACATGGCCATGAAATCTTACAATTAAAGCACAACATTATCAGGCAGGAAGCAACTGTAGAACATAGATGGATCACAATCATACTGCTGGGGAGTTCAAATCGTCAATTTATAAAGTTTAATGCAAAATGACGAGCAGGAAAAGGAAAATCAACAATGAAAATAGAAAGAATTTTACGGGATTTCAACAGTAAGATTAATTCAAAACATATAATCAAGAAGTGAGTAAAGGTGGAAGTCTTTTTCCCAGTGACTGTTTCTTCTTACAACCCTTATATCATTTCATGTACTTGATGGTTAAGGTGACCTAGATACAAAAGATGTAGGAAACCTCCAATGACAACAAGGAACCACCTTCATTAAAGTAGGAGCATCTCGGGGACAGAGCTAGAAATAGGAAATTCAAGAACCGAGCAACAAGGCTATACCTTCCCCAATCACCTAAGGTAGGCCCTGCGCCAGCTGCCCGAGCTTCTCTACCGTCTTCTGTGAACCCATATGCAATGGTCCCCGTGCCAGCAATTAGAACACACCCATGAAGTTTTCCCAAAGTCCCACAAGCTAGAGCTGCCACAGCATCATTCTGAACATACAACCTTGCATTGCTGGGGAATACATCCCTGTTCACATCAAGACAAGATTAAAGCTTGTAGTACTAAAAATCAGAGATTGATATGTGCCAAAACCCACAAGGGCCTGATGAAAGCAATAAAAAATAAGCACCCAACAAGTAAATAACTTCAAAAGTAAAATAAATATTTTTAAAAACCACATACGGGAACAATGTGCAATCATAGAGACTTGAAAGTAATACCTAAGCCAATCTAATATCCTCTGCTGATCTGAGGGATGGTTGACACCAGAAACCGCCAAACAAACAGCTCGAACCGCCGACCGGTTCGAACCGGACTTGGCCAGCGCTTCAGCCATCACCTGCTCCAATGTTTCCCTTGCAGCAGCCTCTAAGGTTTAACAACAAGTTATTCAATTAGATCAGATACAAAAATCAAAACAGTTGCGATCAACTGATAAACCATGAACAGAAGAACAATTACCGCCAACGCTGTTGTGGTTGGTGCAACCGGCGACTGCTCGAGCAAGAACAGGAACTGGGTCGGGGAGAGGATCGGAGAAGGGCAAAATCGGCATGCAAATGCAGACGGTGGAGGTGGTGCCACCGTCTAAACCCAAGATGACGTCTCCGGCGCCGGCGACCACCGGCATTTGGTTCTCAAAGTCCCAGACTTCGCCATTCCTGTACCGCTTCATCTGGGTTTTTGGTGGTGATTGGATTGAATTGGATTTGAGTGTTTGTTTTGACGAATCAGAGCTTTAAAAGGCTCCAATGGAGGCTTGCTCTCTCTGTCAAAGACACATAGGGATAATAGGAAGAGAACAAGGAAGAGGGTTGGGGGAGTCAGATGTTTTTGGGACCGTGTTCAAAAGAAAATAATATTCATTTCAAATGGTGGGGTTTTTTTTGTTTTGGTTCTCGGACGGCAGAATGGGGGGCCATAAATAAATTTATAACTCGTATGCTAATGGTTATTATTTCTAAATTGAACATTTGTTTTCTTCTTTTTCAGCCTTCGTTCTTAGATTTTTTTAAATTTATTCTCATAATTCTGTTCTTTGATGATTTGGAATTTATTCTCGTAGATTATTTTTTTTACTTCTGTCAAATTCTTTCAAATATTTTGTTAAATTATTTGGTTTGGGACAGTTTAGTCGTATCATGGGTTGATTAAATTATGGTTGTAATTCTTTGCTTCCATGATCATTTTGAGGTTTTCAATTTTTTATTCTAATGGCAATCCAAACATAATTCACAATATCTATTTAGAACTATTTCCATGGAAACAATTTGAATTTGCCGTCTATCTTTCTGTTTAAATTCCAAATCAGTCCATGAGGAAAGCTAAAAACAACCCTTGCAGCTAAAGCAAGATGGTGCACAAAAACACCCCCAATTATACTTGAATTCACATTTGCAATCAACTAAACAATTCATGTACATCTTGAACAGAATTATGTATTGTTAAAGGTGTGGTATGGATTAAGAAAGACTATGCAATCCTCCCAAACCAAAGTCCCAAGCTAAAATACTGATGACAGTTGCTCTGCTTCCATTCTAGAATGCAAGGTGTTGGCAAGTTGGGGAAATGAGGGTTTTCCAACAAACGATCAAGGTTCAAGCAGGAGGGCATCGATATTCCGTTTTCCTTCTGGGCCCTTTGTGTACCACGATGACACATAATCTCCATAAACAACTTCCCGGTAGAGGGGAGGAGTCGACGCACTGGTAAGCTCAGAAGCAGGGGATACTTTCACTGTCTTGGCTGGATCATGAAATGTAGCAACTGAGAGACGTGCCTGATTGGAATTGGTTAGAGCCCTGTGTTGAGCACTCCTGTACTTCCCATTGGTCATTATCTGCAGGCAAGATAATCCACTGTTAGAGAATAAACATAATTCATATTATTGCTCCACTTGTTCAATTAATTTCATTCTACAAAACAAATCCTATGAAAGAAATGCACTTAGATCCAAAGAATGACAAGAATCCTGTAAAGCACACATTGGCGTTCGATTATCAGCTTAGAGAGAAGACATTGATAGGTATAAGCCTTAAGCACTGCATTTTTTAGTTTCAGATCGTCTCAGCTTAAGTCCACTTTGTACAATCCCAAAACTGAACCGCTTAAATCAGTACCTTTGAGTATTGATCCAAAGCCAAACCCAACAGTGAAAGTCAGTTTCGTAGTGGTTGGATTAATTAGAGGTTCCTCTACATGTCACAGTTATTTGTGATCTAAGTTAAGGCCAATTATTACGACAAATCAGAAAGGACAATGACCAAGCCTCAATGTGTTCCATGGGACCCAAACTCAATATCCCGAACCAAATCATATAAGAACAATGAAAAGAGATAGAAAATTAAGTACCACTGAGGGTTGATGTCATGCCAATGTCTAGAAGAAATAGTGGTTGTCAATGACATCAAACAATTAGCAGCTTCATTGAAGACAAAATAAAGTGCTTAAGAAAATTATGGCTTAACCCTTGCACGAAGTGTAAAAGCAGGCCTATGATATACAGTGTGACTCCTTATAGACTGACAGAGTTAGCAACATGTGAATTTTTTTAGTATGTTATGACCAACAGCAACTAAGACCACATATACAAAGCAGTAGGTCTTAACTTGGTTGGCTACACATACAGTCAACGTAGAGCCATATTAACCTATGTTTATTCTCAAACCATTTGTCCTAAATGACCAACAGCAACTAAGAGCAAATATACAAAGCAGTAGGTCTTAACTTGGTTGGCTACACGTACAGTCAACATAGAGCCATATTAATCTATGTTTATTCTCAAACCATTTGTCCTAATTGACCAAGAATGAACAAAAACCAAACCAAAGAAAACAAAAATGAGGTTACTTGGTCAGCTTGTCCTCAGGTCCCCACAAACGAATACTATAATAACAGGCTGAAAATCAATACGTCAAGCAAATATAAAACAAAAACGATCAGAAGCCTGGCCAAGACCGACAGATAAGCACAACTACCCAGACAAAAACGTTGATGTCTCTAGACATAATAGAACATATTGCTACCAGTACCACTTGATTCAATTCAATATCATCGAGATGCCTAAAAGCTCAAAGAATACCATGAAATACACTCATCACGATTCATCCACTGAGAGTTTCCTGGGATTCAAGCATATTTTTATCTGGACAAAATGTGATTCAGCAAATGATAATTCCAAAGCATCATGGTAATGGACTGAATATATTTAAGAAGGCATAAGCATCAACTGACAACGACTCAACTTCTTTTATTAATAATAAAATTAAAGAAGGCACAGTACAAGACACTTCTCCATGCCTATTTTATTTCAGAAAATCCTTCGAATCTTCAAATAGACTAATACAAAGTCATAACAAACAAAGTTGATCATAGCAATTTGACACTGTTCAAGATAAGTTAAACTCACTGCATTCTAATTTCTACTGCCCTCTTTTCTTTCTCACCAATTTAGCTCATTTCTTTAAATATTCAACAAAAGTTTTCAACTTTATTACAAAAGAACTTGTTTAACCAATTTAGCTCATTTCTTTATAAAAATGAAAACTGCAAATTTTTCATAGTTTGGTCAGCTAAAAGAAGAATAAGACGGTGTTTGATGTTTGATAGATGATAAGGTACCTCGGTTTGGTCAGCTAGAAGAACAACAATGGCATCACCACCCAAAGGCTTCACAGGAACCCACTCTCCGTCTTTAAGCACCTCAAGCCCACCCACCTCGTCCTGGACCAACAGCGTAATCGCACCAAAATCCGAATGGGCCTGCAGGCCCAAAGTCAGCTCAGGCTGAGGACACGGCGGGTAATAGCTGATCGTAATGTTCTGCCAAAACTCCCCTACCGCCTCCTCTAAACGCCGCGTTTCAAGCCCCAGGCTCTCGGACGCCAGCCCCAGCAACTCTCGCGCCAGCGAAGCAATTCGATCGCTGTACTTGGAAACCACCTGGCGGTAATCTGCGGGGAAATGGGGCCATCGGGTGGGGTTCCGGCGACGGAGGGGGAGGGTGTGGTGGTCGAAATAGTCCCTCCAGTCCAAAACGGTGTCGTCCTTCTCCAGCATCCGGCTGCCGTAGCCCTCCGACGCCGACGAGCTCGGATCGCACGCATAATTGAGTTTGTCTTCGACTGAGCTGTCGTTGAAGAAGGTGAGGCCCGCGCGCTTGATGGCGTCGACTATGCTGGCAGGAATGCCGTGGTTGGTGACGTGGAAGGCGCCCCAGTCCCGGCAGGCTTGCCCGATTGAGGCCCGAACCGAATCACGTCGGGTCGGGTCGAGGCCGAAAAGGTTGACGAGCGGAATGTTGGTTGAAGAAGAAGGTCGATTGGGTCGGTGCTGGGGAGGTTGAATGTATTGGGGCGGGACTTGGTTGAGGCCGGCTTGGGATAAGCTTTGAACTCTGATGGGCTCCGCCGATATTTCCATTTCTATCGAATTGGAATGAATTTACAGAGAGAGATACAGAGCGATGTGATGATGAAGACGATGATACCGATTTTATAGTCCGGAAGTTATTCAAGCATATAAAAAACTGTGCCTTTTGTTATTTCTTTCCCGGCAGAAAATAAATACGTTCAGTAAAAAAGCGCTGTATTTACTGAATTAATTAAAGTAATTGGCAAAATTTATTTGGGTTACAAAATTGAGCAACATACGCTCTGTGAGCAGAAAACTTACATGTAACAGATGCTAAGTTATTTCAAGCCTATCATGTATTATCACGTCGAAAAATTGTATTGTTAGTGTCGGCCTGGACAGGGCAGTCAGTGCAACTGTCCCGGAGAGGGCCTAATTCTTTTTAAATAAAGAGCTATATTATATTAATGATATATTATTTTAATATTAAAAAAAAGTAAAATGGGTGTTTCAACTCTTTTAAGCTCTAATTGATTTCTCAAATTCCAAGTTATGTTGTTCTTTGTTTATTATTTGAAGTATTAAAATTTCATTGAATTTCCTTGTAATGTTTCTATTTTCAAGTAGCAATGATTCTTACAAAACAACAATTTGGAAGTCAAAAAAGAAAAAGAAATGATTGAATTATTACAAGTATTTTCTTGTTTATGTATTATATTTGAATATATAAAGCGTAGTCTCTTATTTTAGATTTTTATATATTGAAATTTGAATTTATATAATTTATTTGTCTTGAATGTTAAACTTTTAGTTAATTCAAATAAGTTAAATCTTGATTGAAAATGAGAGTGAGTCTAGCACTTAAGTGAAATATATATATATATATATATATATAGCTTAGGGATCTAATTTTTTACATTTGGCTTGGGCCCTGAAAAATTTAAGACTGGCTCTGTATATTATCATGTCGGAAAGTTAAAACACATAACAATGGATGATTGGCTCAAGATAATGCCAAGTGCTATCTTCGATATTGATAAAATTTTCTCATATATGAGAACTCATAATAACATAAAGAAAAAAAGAAAAAAAAACTATGCTTTTTGTACAAGAATTGTAGTTGGTTTTCTTTGGTTTATCATTTGGACTTGGACACTCAGTCTTGAGTCAAAAAAAGGAAAAAAAATCTGAGTGAATGAAGTAATATTATGCGAGTATGGAATGTAGGGCTCAACTTTGGAGCCAAAATTGGCCAACAGTAAAAGACCAAGCCCCCACAGTAAAATTTGATGATAATACAGTGGGCTTGAACAATCTGTGTATCTGGGTTTGGTTTGACCGAGCACCTTATCCCAAATTCATATCCCCCTCTCTTTCAATTCCTCTGTGAGAAAGACACACAGCCTTTGAATTGTACTTGAAATTTTTTTCCTCACAAAACCCACAATGCCACCACCAGCCACTCTCTCAGCTTCATCTTCCTTCACTCTCCTCTCCCCATCTCCCTCTCCAAAACCAAAGTTCCCTCCTTTCTCCCCCAAAAGACACTCCTTCGCAATCAACCCACGTCACCATTCCCTCCACTCAGTTCCCTCCTCCACCGTCCGATGCGCCGTCATCGAGAAAGAGACCCCGGAGGCCCAGCGGCCCGATACCTTCCTCCGCGCCAACTCCTCGTCGTCCTCCGTGCGGGCCCGCTTCGAGAAGATGATAAGAGAAGCCCAAGACACCGTCTGCGCCGCCATTGAGGCCGCGGACGGCGGTGCCACATTTAAAGAGGACGTGTGGTCGAGGCCCGGTGGCGGTGGAGGCATCAGCAGGGTCCTCCAAGACGGCGCCGTTTGGGAGAAGGCCGGTGTCAATGTCTCTGTTGTCTACGGCGTTATGCCTCCCGAGGCATACCGAGCTGCCAAGGGCGCCGCCGCAGCTGATCACAAGCCGGGCCCGGTTCCTTTCTTTGCCTCCGGAATTAGCTCGGTAATTTCGTGAGTTCTGCTCGTTTTGTGAAAAAAGAAAGAAGAAGAAAATGTTGGGTTTTTATTTTGTTTGTATAATACATAGGGCTGCGGTTTGGTTGTGATTGTTTTCAGGTTTTGCATCCAAAGAACCCTTTTGCACCTACTTTGCATTTCAATTATCGGTATTTCGAAACGGATGCTCCGCAAGGTATGAATGTGATCATTTCTCATTTCTTTGCTGTGGATTGCACATTGCTTAGTTAGGTTGCGTTTGTGGGTAGGTAGGTAGGCAGGCTTGAACCCAGCTTTGGTGGTATTACTAATGAAGTAGATGATCTCTAAATGAGTTCACCATTTTATGTCATGCTTGTGTTGAATAATGCAAAACCAAGGATATCAAAGATTGGGAAAGGTAAAGGTTAAATTTGGATATAAATGTGTACGTGTTATTATGATGAAAACTGTTAAACCCAGAAAACATAATTTGACGGGCACTAGGTTATGCTCACATGCTAGAAATGATATGTTGAGATTCTGATTACTTCCCTTTATGGGTTGATTAACAATCAGTAATAATGATAGTTGCAATGCTGATAATAATACAAGCAGTAGTGATAGTAGAAACAATAATAAGATTAACTATAGGGATAAGATATTTCTTCTCGTCAGTATCTGGAAAGTGTTCAGTCAGTGATGTGGTAGAGAAGATGAGGCAGATATCATATCACTAATAAGTTTCTTTTTCCCTTGTTCCATACTTGAAAGTTTGCATTTCCTTATATCACTCGTGTATAAATAATTTATGAATAAGAAAGCTCTTTGGACTCTATCCTGATTCATCACATTTATGCAGATGCTCCTGGAGCACCTAGGCAATGGTGGTTCGGTGGCGGAACTGACTTGACACCTGCTTATATTTTTGAGGAGGATGTTAAGCATTTTCATTCAGTATGTAAAACAAAACAGACAACATCCCTTATGGTGTTTTGTGATTAAAGTCCCACTTCTTTTGAAAAATTCTGTGGCTTTAACTAACTGTATAGTGGTGTTGGCCTTCTTCTGTAGGTCCAGAAAAGTGCTTGCGACAAATTTGATCCTACCTTCTATCCTCGGTTCAAGAAATGGTGTGATGATTATTTCTATATCAAGGTATATTTCTTACTAAACCTTTTTAATTGTTATGTGTTATAAATTTGTAACATGGTGTTGATGGTACATAGTTCATTTCTGTATACAGCATCGAGATGAGAGGCGAGGGCTGGGAGGAATATTTTTTGATGATCTAAATGACTATGATCAGGAGATGCTTCTTTCCTTTGCCACTGGTATTGCTTGGAAATATAGAATCTTTTTTATTTTTTTCAGTTGTATTTTCCAGTAATTATTTCCTACTAGTTGAGTGACTGCATCCACTTCCTGCATGCACTTCCGTTGACTTGAAGAATGTGCAAATTCTGTGGTCCCTGCTTACGTACCAATTATAGAGAAAAGGAAGGATCTACCATTTACGGAACAGCAAAAGGCATGGCAGCAATTGCGAAGAGGGCGCTATGTTGAATTCAATTTGGTATGAAAATGAGCCCTGAAGATGTTAGTGATTCATATCAGCAATTAATATGTAAATGAGGCCTAATATCTGTTTTCTTTTAAACAAAAGGTTTATGATCGTGGAACAACTTTTGGACTAAAGACGGGAGGTCGAATTGAGAGTATTCTTGTCTCTCTTCCACTGACTGCTCGGTGGGAATATGACCATGTAAGCTTACTGGTTTTCTCTGTACGATACTTTATTTCTGGTACTACTTAAAAATGGAACACCTTGAAGTTTTGAACTCATAATTGAGAGCAATCTTATTGTTTGCTGTGCAGAAACCAGAAGAGGGAAGTGAAGAATGGAAACTGTTAGATGCTTGCATCAACCCAAAGGAGTGGGTATAATGTTCTGAAATGTATGTTTATATCATTTTGAGATTTTTACTTGTTTTTCCCCATTCCTCGTCTTTCTTCTATCATCTTTCCTTCAATTTTTTTCTTCATTAGTTGAGGCTTAGAAGTTAGCAGTCGATATCTTGTTGAAAAGTAATCCAATACATGTTGAAGGTGATGTGAGTTGTGAATCATGTTAGAATTGTCATCTTTTGTAAGACTGGAAACTCTTCTTGCCCAATAAATCTGTGGTCGATTAAGATTTCCCAACTTCTTCATATCCTGTAATATAATCTAATACATGCACCGGGTGATTTCGTTTTTTCCCCTGCACTTAAACAAGCTTGGAAATGAGTACGAGATTCTTCTCCTCATGTTTGGTTAAAGCACAATGTATCCTACAGGGGAAAACGCACATGAACATGAGAAGGGTGGGTTTTTCGTTTTCATGGGTTTTAAAACCCATATACATTTCTTTGATCAAAGAAACAAAACCCGTATACATTTCCAAAAGGAGATGGGTTTTCATTCTCATTTCTAGCAGCCTTGTAATAAAATGGTAATGGCAATAAAACCTTTATATTTCTACTTAATTTGAATTGAATCATCCAAGGGAGGGTTTAATTTCCAATTGTCTCGTGAAGCATCGCATGGTTAATCAAAATGTTGCTTAATGAAAGATCTTGCAAATCAAGTAATGTGAAAAATGAGAAAGATCTTGCACAGATACTTATAATATAGCCTAAACTAGAAAACTTCAAATATGTATCATATGGACAGATAATTTTTCTTGGAGCGTAGGCTCCCATAGTTAGATAATGGTGTGGTATGATGAATGATATGCAAACTCTAAGTCGCATGAGACTTGTAACTCAAGTAGTTAAAGCGAACATATACAAAGCGAAGAAATTGACTCCATAATGGTGGTATAACTCAGATATGTTTGTACCACTTCCACTTACGGGTGAAACTAAACTCTCTACGTACAAAATGATTAATCATGTCGATACTCATGTACAGAAAAGTCATCATACAGCAAACAACCGTCCTTGTAGTGAAGAAGGTAATAGCAGTTGTCACAGAAGTAGCAGGGGTTCTCCTGAGCCCACTTGTCATCTATAGTCACCTGTGTTGCTCTAAATATTTTACAAACATAACATTTTCGTATATGTGGCTTCAGTTGAAATAAGACTATCGGATAGGCTGCCCTGTTTTGTACATCCTGTGGATGAATCAATCTCATGTCTCTAACTACAATTGTATGTCTGCAGTCTCCCTGTTTCAAATCATTTCCCCAAATCAACATCAACAACCATCAACAGAGATGCATATCAAGATTCTCACATACAGAAAAAAATACGTTGTAAAGCACAAAATAATGTTTCCCTTATAGAAAGGCATGAAAAGATGGCAATAGAGATCTGTACCTGGTGACAATATAGATATCCAGCACCAAGTCGAAATTTCAAGTCACAAAACTGCGTCTTGTGCATGTCAACGGCTCTGAAATGAGGCAATTGTGAGCCCGTAACATCGCCCACAACTGCTTTTTGCTTCGTTTGCAATCCTCCAGCTGCAATCCATTCCCATTTTTTAAGAGCTTCATCTTTAGAATTTCTAAGCCAATCAAATATAGGTTCACTATAATCTACAGCAGAGGGATCCCTCAAATCGTTGCACAATGTATCCTACATTGGATCAGCAATATGCTAGATTTCAGTGCAAATTCCGTCCTCATCATGAAAATAAACAATAAATGGATAGATTTCTTACTTCTATAAGGAAATATCCTGAAGGGTCATGCTGCTTAGCCTTTTGCATCACATGGTCCGTTAAGCAGTAGATCTTATCCCTCAGTTCAGTCAAGGTTTGTTGTCCAAGGACCAAGAACTCTTGGTTCTGCAAACAATCTTACTTTGTCAATAACAGCAGGAACTTGAGGAAAGAATTATGTGAGTAATGAAAAAGAGTGCTACATAAATAAGACATGAATGACTCGGAATTGCTTTTAATTCATCTTTTCCCTAGACTCATAGAGGCAAAAGAAATCCTGTAACAGAAGGAAGGAAACCTAACTACTTTTTTCTGGTCTATCATTTTCCTAAACAATACTAAAAAAGAAGATGAACATTCTCAGAGAACACAAGTCTGATGAAGAAAATAAAAATCACAAGTCTATTGGATGAAATTTTTGGTCTTGCTCCACTCGCAATGGACTACCAATTTATTGGAGGTGACTCAGCCACAAGGGACCTAAAACCCTACCTGTAAGAACCTAGCTAACTCAAACCAACTCCAGATTAAAAGGGAGGGACACATCCAGTTGTTCTTTGGGCTTAATTCTGAGAACTTGCCAGCATAGAGTTACACAGACCATGACTTTCTTTCATACTTGTACAAAGATTAATATCCCAATCCACAGAGAAGCTCCCACTCAGGAATGAAAGCATCCTCAGCCAGCTAGGTTCGAGCATCAATATCTTTGTTTTTGGAGTTTCTGGTCAATGTTTGTATCCTATGAAGCGTGTGCTTTTTAAAATGAAGAATTGCACTTGCACACATCTCAGTTATAGAGACATATCAGATATTTTAACCCTACAAATCAGAAGCCCAAGAAAAATGCTAGCATGATACCTTGACTAGTAGGAACCATATAATTGGCAAACAAGCACCAAAACCAAAAGCTACTCTATTTGACATAAGCAAGAAAACACATTAGAAGATGCTAAACCTTCACCCATTTTCGTGCATTATGGTAAACCTCAATGGAAAGAGCAACTTCTGGATAGTGCACAGGTACGTAGCCCTGAATGCTGGATGACTTTACCTGTTTGCATAAGAGGGGGGAAAAAGCATAGATATTATCAACCATCTGAGAAGTCAGAGCCAGCAAATTGAACATGACTGCATGAAAACATTCACAATAGGCAACTCTTAAGCAAACCTTCACTGCTGAACTTGCAGATCTGAGGGGTTTCATCCTATCAATTGTCCTTGAGGATGTAATGGCACAATCATTGACCTTTGAACTAGGGCTGAATCGCCATAAGAAAAGCAATAAGTTGAAGATGTGAGAAAATTCATTGAGTGAGTTACATAGTCATTCTACTAACTTGAACGAATGCAGTGTCACAGCAGCTTTGTCTTCATCTTGCTTCTCTTTGATTCTTTTAACATGCTCCACCTTTGCAATATAAGTTTCCTGGAATGTGGCAGCAATTAAGTTGTGAACATGATAATAAAGATATAACTTGAACATAAGCAAGGACAATGAAAAATGTAATGCAACGACAAGAATCCTAGATTGCAGGACCCTTACTAGGTATGCAATTGGGAAACTTTTTGGGAGCTTCAAAAAGTCTCTGCTCAGCACACCTGGGGTCCTTGAAAAATTTCCTAACTTTCTCAGTTTACCCTCATTCTCTTAAAAAATTCCCTTAGATGGTACATTAGCCTTTAAACTAGATAGGTCTTCTCATTCAAATTTTACTATTTCTTGCACCCACCCAATTTTCAACAGTGTGATGCCTAGGCTTTCAAAATGAAGGAAGATACAGACTTAATATAACGAGGTACTATACCAAGTACCAACAATTCAGATAAATACATTAGCAGCACACACGAAGAAGGCAATATCTCACCTCTAGATCATGATTCTTTGCCTTCGTTCGTTTTCTCTTCCTTGATTTCTTTTTACAAGCTTCGTCATTTGATGCCTCGTGATCCTTTGATCTACTGAATTTGGTGTATAAAAATCAAATAATGGATAAAAAAAAACAATTGGAAATACATAGCAGATAGAGAATACTCGTCAAAGTAGAAAAGAAGACTATATTAAGACATATGAAAGATTCAGTTAAATTTGTTCGCTTATGTATAAATATGACTCACCCTTCATCGGAAGGCTCTCCTGGAATAGGTGAAAGATTGGGGGAATCTTCATTGTCCTACAATCAAACCCATGATAAAGCCATAACTTGTTAGCACAAGCACAGCTGTATTATTTATCAGAGCTTCTTCAAATCACAAAAAAACCCTATGTATAAGTATGAGTGTACCTTAAATGCTTCCTTGATAGCCATATCCACCAACTCTTCCTCAGTCAAGATTTTGAGCTCATCCACCCTGCACAACAAATAATACCACTGTGAACCAAAACCCACCAGCTAAAATTCAAAATGCAAAACCCAAGACAAAGGAAAGTAAAAATGCTTACGAAATATCTTCGTCTAAGACTTGGGATGAACTTGAAGATACTTCAAATTCTAAATCCTGCAAAATAAGCCCGACACAACTTTAAACTAATGAATCAATCAAAAATTAGCAAAGCAATAACAGAACTATCAAGAACTCATCAACCAAGAGTACCTGAAGTTCTTGGACAATAGAAGACTGGAACAAAGGGACACTGGTGAGGGAGCCCACCAGATTGGGAACGAAGATGGGCCCACCTCTGGGAACTGAGAGTTCTTCCTCTTCCTTATCACAACCATTGTTGTTGTTATTGGTGTGTTCTTCGTCTTCAACACTGCAACTGTCACCGTCATTCTCTGCCATAATCTATCTTCTTGTGTAAAGTTTTGAACTTTAATTACACCAACAAAATGCATAAAGTATATATCTTCTCAATCTTCAACGAAATTAAAGAAACCCAATTGGGAAAGCAGCATTCGAAGTGAAGGGAACAGTTGGTTTCATTTACAACAAAATTGGAAAAAAGAAAATAGTATAAATACCTGTGAGGTGAAGGAAGTCTAGGGTTTCTGAGAGAGAGAGAGAGAGAGAGAGAGAGAGAGAGAAAGTGTCCCTCTTTGCGCCTCCCGGTTAACCCCCTCAAACAAACAGTTCGTTTTTACAGTAGATATGTTGCAGAACGCGGCAAATATATGCCCTGGTACTGCCTAGGGAGTTTAAGCAGTTCGCAATGTGGGCCCCACTCTCAAACAGAAGAAGGAGAAAGGGAAAGAAGGTTTTTTTCAAAAGTAAGGCTAAATTACTCAAACCAAAAAATTTATTTTTTTTAAAAAAAAAAAAAAGAAAAAGCGCATGACGCATACTTTATTTTTATGTTTTTGTTTGGCGAGGTAAGGAGCGGATGAGTATTATATGAGGTTGTCTCAAAATTGTCTCCGTGTGAATTAAAGAGGAACTTTGAAATTAATTTTTCAAATAAACTTCTTAAAAAATATATATAAGATGTTTCATATTCTTGCCATCTGAAAACTCAAGGCATTCCATAGATTACAACTTGAATAGTACATATCATCTGCTGTTTTTTAATTTTCTAATTGGATCTCACAAATTTCTTGAGATGTAGCATCCTCCAATGGGTTCTTCTCTTTCTCTTTGTTCTTTCCCCAGAGAGTTGCAGACAAACCAACAATAATCAAGGAAGCTCCTAAAATACTGAAAATGTTCACAAATAATAAAATATATTTTAAATTGATAGCAACCCAGAATTCCAAATAAGTGAATAAAAAAAATAAAAAAAAATTCATACCTTCCCAAGTATATAGCTTCTCTTAAAACGAATAGCCCCATTATAGCTGCAACAATTGTGGATAGTGGTCTAAATGCTGTCATGAAAACTGGGCCTCTTGTTTTTACAACTAATGTTTGCACATAAATGGTGATTCCAAAAATCAAAACTCCCTGCAAAAATTTCACCTCATCAAACTTCCATGAGCAGAGAAGCTTTACCATTTGACAGTTGAAGACCTCTTCAGATTCTTACACTGTACAAAGGAGCAAGAAGTGTACTGTCCCATGACAGCTTCCAAGAGGATGCTTCATGATCTAGAATTGCTGCCATGATCGCCGTGAGTAGAGTCCCCGATAAGCACGTTATCGATGTAAGAGTAATAGGTGCAGGATACATTTCGATTGTTGTTGTCTGCATCAATCAAATGTATGAGTATTGTAAGTAACTGCCATGCAAACGGTAAGTTGTTCCTGTGACACTTTGTTTTTGGTTGTAGTGGTAGAATATGTGTCAAGCACCTGTAAGATGTAGAATGCTGATGAGGAAAAATATGAAACAAGAAGAATAAGGGAGCCCTTTATCCAGTCTCTGTCTACTGATGATTTGGAAGTAGCAGATTGATGGGAGGCTTGAGTGTGCATTGAAATCACAGCAATTCCCTTGTATAGCGTCATCAGTGCTGCACCGGCAAAGGCGATAAGAGTTCCCCCAATCTTGGCTTGGGTACCAAGCTTTGTAATATCAAATTTTTCCATCCTGAGTACATATCATAGTGTAAATCCTTAATCAGAATGCAATAATGCTGTGAGTTCCTTTTTATTTTCAGTGCAAAGGTATGCTCAAATGCAATGGTGAATGGACATATTGATCAAATATATTTCGTACCTGCACAAAACTGCTATGATAAAGGTAAAACATGGAATAAGGTTGCCCATAGCAGATGCAATAGCTGGTGAAGTGTATTCCAGTCCCATGTAATTCAATGTTCTTCCCAACACTCCTCTGAATTACACGGTAAGATGCAGAAAATTAACATCAATTTTCATTTGTCTGATAATTGTCCAACATTAGTTGGGGATGACTTGTTAAGAGGTTAACAATTTACTCACCCCAGCAGGCCCAAGAAGAAGACATTTCGAATGATTGGAACACTGATTTTGCTCTCATTTTTCCTGTCACGAGATAGGTTATGGTTAATCAGACGCCATAGGATACTGTTCATATTGGAGGAGGGTGCCATATTTTTATGCAGGCTATGGAGGAAATCAAATGGAAATAATTAGAAGAGTTATGTTGCAAACTTCTAACAAAGAAACAAATAAAGAAAGAGCTTTAGACTTTAGAATCCTAGGACCATGAGTTATATGAAGAATGAAAACTAATAGACCTCTCAAAAAGAAGTGCAAGAAGAGCAGTTGCTAGCGTTCCAAAAGCATGGCCATAAACCACAAGCACATAACAGCTCATGCCTTTGTCTAGAGAGACCTTAATGACAACAGGGAACCCTGCAAAGCAGATGTTAGCAAATATACAAAGAACGTATGGTTTTGACACCTCCCTCTTACTGCTTCCTCCTTTCGCCCTCTTGTCCTGCTCTTCCGTTTGCATTTCCATTTCATTTAGCATGTTGTTTTCACCATGACCCCCTTTTATATCAATTTGGGGGAATTTAAGGAAGAAAATGATCTGCTACAGATAATTCAGTGTTTCTGATATATCACCACTTCTTTTTTTTTCTTTTTTTCTTTTAAGTAAGAAGGAAAGTTCTTTGTGACACCTCCAAGAACTATTATGACTGACTCAATGCATTTTACATTTTAATGTGCCCAAGCAGAACTCCTAAGAAGTTTTATCAAGTTACAACTTTCTAGCAATTAATCTACCTACTTTATTTTGTGGTCAGCATCGGCATCAGTCTTAATCTCACTTACATACTCAACATCATACATGACTTTCTCCTTGTCCTTCTGATTGATTTCAACACTCACCAAACTTTCATTTCCACATACAACATAATTTGATTATTGTAACTTTTCCAAACATCTTGTAGAAGAAACGAAAACCCGCGATTGGAGGATGGTTCTAGTATTCTTTACTTAGATGAAGGGACACTTGAAAATTTGTACAGATTAACCATTCAAGATCAAACATTGCTCCAATAATTTTCCATTACCAGAAATAAAATGATTTTGATAATTGGGATCACGTTTCTTATAGAAGAAAAGAACATCAATTATTGAAGATTGGTTCAGATGTATCACAACATAAAGGAACAGTATCCATTTGGGGGATATTTCTGTGTTCCTGATATATCACTGCTTACTTTCTTCTTCTTTGTTTTTTTTTTTCTTTTAAGAAAGAGGAAAGTGCTTTGTGACACCTCAAGAACTATTATAAGAAGTGACTCAATTATGAGTTGGGTCTTACCATAAGTTCCTCCTTATGCGTTGTAGTTTTTAATGTGCCCAAGCAGAAGTCCTGAGCAGTTTTATCAAGTTACAACTTTCTACTAATCCACCTTTTATTTGATCTAAGCAGCTTGCTCAGATATGGCAATGCTCAAAATAGCTTCTTCTCCCTTTCTGGTTTGCCATTCGCCCACGAAATGTGTACGAGCAGTTATCTATGTAGCTCACACGATACTGAAAATGTTCAAGAGTTGAAAGTGTAGGATACCACAATTCAAGAATATGCTCCTTCGCTAGGCAACAGATACATGACTTAGAATGCATGCCCAACCAAATATGAAAAAGCTTGTAGGCTTAAAAGACTCTATGTCTGTCTGTCATTCAGGTTGAATGAATATGAATTACAGAGCATGCTCTTTTTCATTTGTTAGTTGGTTCCCCAATTAAAAACAATCCAATAGTGCCAACGGGGTCTAGCCCAGTAGAAAAGAGCCTTAACTTGCAGGCTAAAAATCTCATGTTTGAACCCCCTATGACATCTTGATTGAGCGTATGAAAAATCTTCTCCCCTATAGTTTACACTGGTGCACTTAAAATAAAAAAAAAAAAAAAAAAAAAAAAAAAAAAAAAAAAAAAAAAAATCATCCCCCATCAATCCATCCATAGAAAAAATATATATTTTTTATGATAGAGAATTTGTTTTTTTTAAGAACATATATAGTGGGATAAAATTTCATAGTTCAATCAACTCACCAACAAGCTATTCTCTTTCCAATAATAAGTACCCAAATGAGTGTTGTTAAACCCTTTTTCTAAAACCCTCCAAATTAAAATAAATAAATAAATAACTTCAAATAAAAATAAAAAAACTCCAAATCAAAAGCAGCCTCCTTCACTCCCCCTCTCTCTATTTCTCTGATTCCTGATCGAAGCAAAGCAGTGAACATGAGTGCCCATCTCTCTCTTCGCCACCGCTCTTTCACTTACCTCAATCGCCACCTCACATCCTCACCCTTCTCCACCACCACCTCCAAACTCCCCACCCTTTACGAACCAGCTGCCGCCGCCACCCAAAACGACGACGTCCCCACCACAACCCTCCAACTCCTCTCATGGGGCAGAGGCGCCTCGGGCCAACTCGGCGGAGGAATCGAAGAACTTCGTCTCTACCCAACCCCTGTGGCCAACCTCGTCGTTCCCGCCTCATCCTTCACCCTTTCACCAACCCAAGGCCGAATTCAAATACCCAATTGCTCAGAAACAAAGAACAATGCCCATGGCAGTGTTGTAGAGGTGGGTATTTCTTGTGGGCTTTTCCACTCGTCACTGTTGGTGGATGAAAAGCTCTGGATTTGGGGTAAAGGCGATGGCGGTCGACTTGGGTTTGGACATGAGAATTCTCTGTTTCTGCCCACTTTGAACCCGCATTTGGATTCGGTTCGCTTCGTAGCGCTTGGCGGATTGCATTCTGTTGCGCTCACCTCCCTCGGCCAGGTCTATACTTGGTCAGTACAATAGTAAAGACTAGACATTTCTTGCATTTCATCACATGTTGAGTCGCATTACATTTTGTTGATTGCAATAGTTGGGTTCTCTTTTGTTTTTTTTATCTGTACAAACATTTATGCTTTTTTCTTCTTGGAAGAAGAAGTTAGCAAATATGGTTGCAATGAGCAGATTCCGTCCATAGCTTGTAAAGTTTGTATCAAGGGTAATAGTTTCTAGTCTCAACTTTGTGCAATTAAAGGTGGTGTTTGATGAAGAACTGGCCCAATTACATTTGCTTGTCATGTGTTGAAAGACCGATTTGCTATTTTAACTCTCCAACCCACATCAATGTTACCACAGTCCACTTCTTCTATCCATTTGATATAATTATTGTTTTCGTGTCCACTGCAAATCTTTTATGTTCATTGACCATATTGCTCTATTGATTCATGCTTTTGGTTGGATAACTTCATGGTTGTCATTAAACATGAAGCTTGCAGGGGTTATGGTGGTTTTGGTGCACTTGGACATTCTGTTTATACTAGAGAATTGTTCCCTAGATTGGTGGAAGGCTCATGGAGTGGGAAAATACATCATATTTCAACTAGTGGGACACATACTGCTGCGATCACGGAATCAGGTTTGTTACTGGGACCTTTCATTGGAGTAAAGTGGTACTGCCTGGGTTCAACAAATTAATGGACTCTAACCAAGAGGGTAGGAATAACTTAAACTAGTAGTGGAAGTATGTTGCAGATGACATGCTTTTTTGTCGTACTCCTTTCTGGCTTTAAGCATTTATTGTTGTTTCCGGTATGAAGATTTATGTTTACGTGTTTGATTTGTCATTAGATATCTGGGTATTACTCATTGGATGTAGCATGTAGGAGAACTTTATACTTGGGGTCGAGATGAAGGGGATGGTAGATTGGGACTTGGTCCTAATCGGGGCCCAAATGAGGGTGGTGGACTAAGCATACCCTCCAAAGTAAAAGCATTACCTGTGCCTGCGGCTGCTGTTTCTTGTGGAGGGTTTTTCACAATGGTACTGACAGAAGAGGGGGAACTTTGGAATTGGGGAGGTAAGGTTGTCACTTCTCATGTGGAAAACTTTGGCTTACCACCACCACCACCACCACCCCACAAACAAAAAACAAAAAAAAGCATGGATTGACCAAATATACTGTAACTTAACAACATAATTCCAATGCCAAATAAGTGTTATTAAATTATTGTAAGAAATGGTGTTATAGTTTTCAAATGTTCTCCCAGATATTTGCTTCATTAGTCAATGAGCTTGTGCAAATGAATTTCAATTTGCAGATTGACAAATGGAGATTGCCATAAGGGGGTGGTATTTAGTTTATTTTAGAGATCATAAAGTCATTGGTACTTCTATAATGAGTAGCATTCTTGTTACTCTTCAGTAAGGGGTTATCTAATTGGCTCTTGATGTTATTGTCATCTTTGACTTTGACTGACTTCTAATTGCTCCACTTTTGTGAAGCTAATTATCGTGTTTTCTTGGTGTTTACTTAGCAAACTCTAACTATGAGCTTGGAAGAGGCAATAAGGTTGGTGGTTGGCAACCAAAACCACTTCCTAGTCTTGTAGGTGTCCGTATCATTCAGATAGAAAGTGGTGGATATCATTCTCTTGCATTAACTGGTAATGTGACAGCTGTGTCTCATGATTGCAGCAACAACACTTGCTGTCTTTATTTCTTGAAAGGTTAAGTCTTATGTATGGCCTTTCTTTCTTGATGTTTAATTTTTTTAGGTGAAGGTAAAGTGCTTTCCTGGGGACATGGTGGGCATGGTCAGTTGGGCAACTCTTCTATCCAAAGTCAGAAAACACCTACAGTTGTTGAGGCTTTAACTGACGAGCGTGTCATCTATATTGCTTGTGGAGGTTCATCTTCAGCAGCTATAACAGGTAAGATGATTCTTGTGTTCTCAGATACTGTAATCTATTAGGTCTTAAAAATATTTTGTTATGTCACTCAAATGTGTAAATGCTGTGCAGCCTCTAATTACATTCCACCAGGGTGTTTCTCTTTACAGTGAGTAATGTGCTCCTGTAGTTGACACACATGTTGATTTTTTCTTTAATGATTTTTCATCCAATAGAAGATTTGTATTCGGCCATGCCTTTTCATTTGGTTTGCTATGCGTTGGTAGTGTTGGGGATTGAAACTGAGACCAAAAGAAAGGACTAATTTAGAATATTCTGGAAACAACTGAAGACTTAAAGGACATCGGATTAAGAGCATCGATAATTCTTGGTTGCATAATTCAAGAACATGGTTAGGCTGATGTTTGGACCTGGTTCAAACTAGTTTACTTCATATTTTCATGCATTTCCGATTTGAAATTGAATGCCCCCGCCTTTTGTTCCATAACAGATAAAGGAAAGTTGTATATGTGGGGAAACACCAAAGATTCTCAATTAGGAGTTCCTGGGCTTCCAGAGATACAACCATCCCCTGTTGAAGTCAAGTTCTTAATGGAGGATGATGGATTGGGACCCCACAATGTGCTGTCTGTTGCAGTTGGTGCTTCTCATGCCATGTGCTTGGTTTCAAGGTCTGAGTGTTTCAGTGTGATAATTATTATGATTTTCTTTTTTCTTTTTTCTAACATATAAATTCTGTAACAGGGATGGAATGTCCAACTGAGCTGAAATGTAGGAGAAAATGGATGGATAGCTATGATTCAGAGGTTAAACTGATTCAAGATGATAAATATTATTTCAAGTGAGAAAGACAGTAGACTTCTAGCCAGGAGAGAGTGAGAGACGAACAAATGCTATACAGGAGATAAAATGTGAGCGCATTTGAGCGCCAGAATTTGCCTCCCCTACTCCGTCTGGCATTAGTACCGCATCAATTTGCGCAAAACTCTATGAAACCTCCCTTCAAAATGCAATGGCTCAAAGCCGTTCTGCAAGGATATGCTGACAATTGACAGAACTCAGTTATTGTAAACACATGAGAGATTTCCAGGTTCTTTAAATTATTGGCAGATATGGTAGGTATCTTGCTGTATATTAATGTAGTGCCCCATTCTCTCTCCGAGTTACTAGAATGCCCCAGGCTGGGACTTTGGCCCAACTCTTTACTTCGTTTTTGTACTACTTTTGACTGGGGCTGTTCAGATACTAACTGCAGTTCAGATGAATAATCTGTTCCAAATCAAAATAAACTTTGTTTTGTGTTCTCATGATTTCTTTACCTACTTGTGGGTTTTTGGAAGTGTATTTTTTTCTTCCCTTTTTGAGATACATTTTTTGGGTAGAACCTGCATACAGGTTGTATCTGTGATTAGCTTGGTACCTTCACCATCAAAAATGGACCCTACGGTTTCTAAACATCATGGTACATTCACTTGGCTTGCCATCACAGCTATCGTCTGCTGATGTGAATGAGCCTTCACTTGTCGCTGTGGAATGGAAACCCTATGGTTTTGTGGCTTTCATGACAGAGTTGCTCATCATGTTCCTTGGCTCTGTCTTTCTTGTGGCCCCTAGAGCAATTGAGCACAAGCATTAACTTGTAGGATTTCACTAAGATTAAGAGCATCCACAATCACGCTCCCTATTTCTTAGCTAAAATTTAGCTAAAAACACAAAAAGGCTATTTTAGGAACTCTATAAAAAATTTCAACTCCAACCATACTCCATAATTTGGAGAGTCATAAATGTTTTCTTTCTTTTTATCATAAATACTTCTTTTTAAATTTAATTTCTGATTTGCAATAAAATATTCATATTCAAATACTAAATATTCCAAAATAATAAACTACAAAACAATTTAAATTTAACTCCCCATCCGTTTTGCAAGAATTTCCATTTGGCGTCCCTTATAATAATTTTCTAGCATTGGAGGCATCCTAGTTGTATCTTGTAACATTATCCTTTCTTCCTCTTGCTCCTCTCTGTCGAATTTTAGCTTGCTCAATGGTAATCTTTTCTTGCTCTTGAATAAAAATCCGTTCTTGAAATTCCATTTTCCTGTGCTCCATTTCTTTCTTCTCTTCTATGTATTTTTCTAAGAGCAATGAAGTAGGCGTAGTCATATTGTCATAAATTTGGTCTTTGCCCTTTTTCTTTTTCAGCCTTTCTATCAGTATCACATGATCGTACACCTGAGTTGCTTGACTTCATTCAAGCCCATTATCGTATTAGACATAGAGAGATTCATTCCCAACTTCAATTAGATCTTATTGAACACTTGTGGCAACTGCATGCGGGAGAATAGGAAACTAGTAATTTGAAAGGAATCAATTGTATAAGTTTATTTGTTGTTTAATTTTGATATTCTATGGTTGTTGTGGTTTGCAAAATACCTATGGAGAAAAGAACTTTTGAAAAAAAAAAGAAAAAAAAAGAAAAAAGAAGAAGGTGTTCGTGTGCTGCAAATGTCTGCAGTGAAAAGAATCGAAAAAAGAAAAATTGTTTGTTTGTGCTTTGCAAAGCACCTACAGCTACGGCAAAAAGAATAGAACAGATGGTGTAGATAGCTTGCAATGGAACGCGATTACAAATATAAAATGCAGAAAAAAAAATGATAAAATTAAAGACATCATTAAATAAATATTTAAAATAATAATAAAATGTAGTAGCATTTAATTATAGGGCGTCACTATGAGCCATTTCTCTCTCATCAGATTTAGGAGCTCTTAGAGGCCTCCCTATTTTAGGAGCTGGATAGGAAGCATGGTTGGAGATGAGTTTTTTCAATTCCTCTATAAAATTTAACTAAGGAGGTGGTTTAAGGAGCTCATTGTGGATGCTCTAACCGCCCACGAATTAATATGAGTCTAATATGGGCCTCTTAATAATCAATGATTAGAAATCGTCCACATGTGTAGACAACTGATCTTAGCATACTCTTAACTCAAGTATACTGATACAAAATCAACAAGAAAGACCGTTGTCCTCGTCCACTCGTGACTATTGGCTCTAGATGGTGGCTTGGCTCTTGGGTAAACTTCATTTTTTGCTCATAAGATGAAATGGGTTTTGGTTGTCTTCGATCCCCACAGTTAAAGGAGACAGTGTGCACAATGTGGACCACCAAGCTGCATGCTGCGATCGTTTGGTGCGTGACAAACTTCAATCATTTCACTATGTTTGGCTACATCTTATTCACACCTCTCACGACAAACATTTACGAACAGGGCTTGGCCCCATTAATACTTGCCTCGGGCTATGGCCCCATTAATATTTGCCCCTTCCTTGCATGATTCCAAATCTCAACGGAAGGGAAGGGAAGGGAAAATCACTAGAGACACCCTCTAGATTTGTCAGGTGTTTTTATCACAGCAATCGTGTATGTACATGACATCTAGTAAATAATGTGTAAGTAGATGTAGGTGAGTTGGCCAGGGTAGTAAATCTGCTTTTTTACGCTCAAATTTGAGTTTTTATTTTTATAAATTAGATTAATTTAAACTATTATTTGTATATAAATAAAATAAAAAAAGATAATTTGTGTAATCTCATATCTTTCGCTCAACACATAGCACATCACATTATAAAAATAAGAGGAATGCTAAAACACAGTGTGCGTCAAGCATTAGATTTATGTGGATTCAAATTATGAATCTCATTACTGTCGACATTTGAGAGTTTACTTAAGCACATACATTCACGCATGCAACTCTCTCTAGTATAACTTTGAAAACAAAAGAAGAAGAAAAAAAAATCAAATTGTATAGTGTTACAATTGATGTCTGTCAATCGACAATTGATTGTAATGAGTTGATTATATGATCAGCTAATCATATATAATTCAAAATATATAGAAACAAAAATATACAACAAGAAATGTAAATTTTCTTTTACTATTAACACGTATGTCTGTCATGGGACACTTCCCTTACAGGTTTACGCAAACAAATATGAACACAAATAAAAACAAACGTTCAAAATAAAACCCTGTATGGAAAATAAAAACTAATAATGTTATGTAGGACAAGCTTCCCTAATATACGCTTAATCATGTTAATTGCCTGGCCAATCAATCACCAATGTGTATCAAGCGATTGATCCTAGCCGTAAGTGAACACCGAACACTGCGACGCCGGCCTCGACAGCTCCGTTCCCGCGCTGGCCGGGCACGCCTCCATCCCCACCGGGGGCACCATGCAGTTGTAACTCAAGCACAACGACACCGTATCGGGCAACGTCGACCCCGGTTCAACAGGGAACCCGGATATGTAATTGTGCTGTAAATACAATGTTCTGGTGGTGCCCATGTACAAGCTCTTAACGTACTCCCTCGGTACTTTCCCAATCAGACGGTTGTTATTCAAAAACAAGCTCTCCACCCCAGCCAGGATCGGCGACAGCTCACCCGTTATGGAGTTGTGGCTCAAATCCACGATCGAGCCCTCTCCGTAGGATGGGGGCTGGGACCCCACGGGCGGGACCCACCCGGAGAGATTGTTCCGTTGCAGCAGCAGCGACTGGAGTGTGGTACGGAACAGAGTTTGAGGGAGGGGTCCACTGAGACGGTTCATGCCGAGATCGAGGTGGACTAAATCAGTGAGCGAGTCGAAGAGGGAGCCGATGGGACCCGACATTTCGTTTTCCGAGAACGACAAGTAACGGAGCGTCGTCGGGAGAGAAGGCGGTAAGGGACCGGTGAGCTTGTTGCGTTTTAAGTCCAGGTGAAGGAGCTGAGACGACACGTCGTGCGGCAGCTCGCCGGAGATGGAGTTGGAGGCGAGGATGAGGACTTTCAGAGCCGGTAAACGGGTCAGACCCTGGGGGATTGATCCGGTGAGGCGGTTGTAGCTGAGGTCGAGGGTGTGGAGGTTGGAGAGGAGAGAGAGGGTCTGGGGAATCGGACCAGTGAGGCGGTTGTTGGTTAACGAGATGACTCGGAGGTTGGCGAGTCTGCCGAGTTGGAACGGGATTGGACCTGTGACGATTCCGGGGAAGAGGATGAGCTGAGTCAACTCGGTGAGGTCGGCGAGGGAGGGAGGGAGCGACCCGGCGAGGCCGGGCGAGTCGGAGAGGCCAGTGCCGAGAGTGAGGGTGGTGACTCGGCCGGAGGTGCAGGTGACGCCGGAGAAGGTGGAGCAGGGATCTGGTGCGGCGGAGTCCCAGGTGGAGAAGAATGCTGTGGCACCTCGGAAGGGGACATCGGTGAGGGAGTTCTTGATGGAGATGAGGGAGTGGAGATCGACGGTGCTGATTTTCTGGTTTTGTTGTTGATGCGACGGTGGAGTGAGATTGAGAAGGAGGAGAAGAAGAAGAGATGGAAGTGGAAGTGAGGAGTGTGCATGTGGTTTGGCCGCCATGACCAAAAAACCACGGAAGAGAGAGAGAGAGAGAGAGAGAGGAAGTCAAATTTGGTGCAGTTTCATGTAAATCGTAAGAATGGGGTGTGAAGTTATGATGGATATAACCGTTGCCTTGCGTAATGGCGTTATGGCCCAACTTATTTATTTGAGTCACCTTTCTTGGACTTATTATAAGAGCGCTAGTTACTTCATTTACTCACTACAATAATTACCACTGAGTACATCTTTCACACCTGTAGAACCTTACTTGCACACAGTGGATGAATCTCACTCCATTGCTTGACACAGTCGTGCACATGGGCACCTCTCAATTGTTAATGCATGTGCGTCTCGCATTTCATCAACGGTTGAAAATCACTCACTCGTGTATGTGATTGATTTTGAATCACTCACTCGTGTATGTGATTATTTTCAAGCAAAATCGATGCGTATAGTTTGAGTGTTTTATCCCCATCGAATTAAACTGAGAATAGTGGTCCTATGAGTTGGGCAACTTTTGAGGTGCATAAAATATGTCCTTTAGGATCACTCTTCGTCACTTTTGATGGTTAGGAGTTGGGACTTAGGGGGTTGTTAATTGGTTGGACAACTTAGACTAAAAGTACTAGTACTTAAGTGTTAGGCTTGGCTTTGCTGTCAACCTTTTTTGAGCATTATTACTTTAAAAATTAAGAAACGTGTTTGCAATTAAGGGATTGATGGAATCATAGTAATGAAAAGCAGAGAAAGTTCACCCACCATGACCATTGACCATGCTCTGTTCTCTTGTAAATTCAGGTTTGAATCTTTGCTGTCTGCACCATTTTGTTCTTTTAGAGCATGCAGAGCAGATGGATCTAAAAGAAAAAGACCCACTTGGGCCACTTCATGCTTCAAAGAGCTAACTCTTTTCTTCCCATTTCCCAACCAATATACATAAAAATGTAAGTTAATTAGTGATTAAAGCTAGCAAAACCAAGCACTTAGCACTAATCCACACACCTGGAAGACTTGTTTACTGACAGTTAGTGAATGACCTAAACTTAACGCAGACAAAAAGTTGATAAAAAAACAAGAATAAGAAAAAGACCAGAGTGTAGCTGCTACACCGATCACTGCTTCCCAACTTAGCTATTAGTTAATGAGACGTCTTTAGATGCACATGGGGAGAGGTGTGGGCAAACATCAATATTCACCCCAACAGTGGTCAAACTATGCACGTACAGTATTCTAATTTTACACATAAAATACATTAGCATATACATATATGACACATTGTTTATTGCCATTAAATTAGGCACCATGATACATATATAGAGATCTATTGACAGCTCAGATGGAAACTTCGTGACGCCACTGCTGGAAAGATTCTCCCACTCTTTACTAATTTAATCCATATTCGACATTTTGTAGAAGCAAGTTAGGCCGAGTTAGGTTAGTTGGTCAAAACAGTGAATCCTTTCTCCTGCACTTAAGTTCGAATCAACTTCCCCTTAAATGAGATTAATTTAAAATAAATTATCGCTTGTATAAAAAATCCATATTGGGCATCTAAGTAAGTACTATAATAGAGATACTACAAAAAAGAAAAAAGAAGAAAGGAAAAAAAGAAAGGTTTGAAGGAAGTTGAGCTTAGGCAGCTTTACGTGGGTGTGTTTATAGAAGTTCACGACCCACCAATGGATTATGGATGGTCCAATGCTTTAGAAAATGTTTCGGTGGATCTTTCTCAAGCATTGTAGGTAGGTCCAGTGCAATTTTGTAAAAGGCTGCAAAATGAGCATGCGGCATGTCCAATATAATGAAGGAATGAATTGGAAGCTCAAGGAATATCAAGCTACCACCATTACTAGTTAGGATTTTAAGTTGGTTATTTTAAGGCTACTTTTGGGGGAATAGAGCTTGAGACAAAGCATTTTGCATGGGGTTGTGCTTTTTTTTTTTTTTGTTTTTTTTTTCTTTTTTTTTTTTTTTTTTTTTATACAAGTGATATTGGGGGAGAGAAGAATCCAACCTAGGACTATAGGTGCAGAGAGGGTAAAATGCGGAGCCAGAAGCACCGCTTTCTCGAAATTTTGAGATGTTAAGGTGGGTTGGGCCTCGAAATGGTTCGGGTCCTATGTGCGTGGGAATATATATGGGCTTTATTTTCTTGGCCAGTCTACGATTTGGGCCCATTATTTAGCCTGCTGTACTATAGAAGTGAGGGACATCTCGGGCCTAAAGCTTTTGACGAGACGACTCTTGAAGTCTACCATCTAAACAAATTTAGGAAAAGATGTGTATGCATGGTTTTTATCCTTCTCAAAACCATTCATAAAAATTTACTGATGCAGTAGAGGATCAGGGAATTGAAAACATGGATGCAGGGAACTATGGAGAGCTGAAAATACAGGGGTGATGTTTGGTTCCAGGAATAAATAGCGAAACCATTTTTCAACGAAATGCTCACAGAGCTTCTAAACCAAAGATTATCCCCTCTTTCCCTAGAACCAACATAAGACATATAAAGCAAATGAAGCAATGCTTTTACTATCTAAACTATTAACTCTCACTCACATACCGATGCTCAAATGAATTATACCACAAATCCTTTCCCTAGCATAGGTCAGTAGTAACACAAGCACACTAATCATTTCCCTCTCTTTTCAACTTCTGACATGTCTAACAAGAGAACATTTCGTGCACACACGCAAGCACACAGTCCTACACTACGCATATATGTCCATGATTTTCTCATATTAGAATCCTCTGAGATGAGTGCCAGACTTTGTGCTAGGACCACCAACACAGTGTTCCTTTTCAAACCCAATCCACTCAAAACCAGTAAGAGTTTGCACATCTAACACCAAAATCAATCGACAATGCAGCTGCAATTGCCTCGTCTAAGCCTATCGGAACCATCAGTGGAAAGAAATATGCAAAAATGAGTAGAATGAACGCAAACAATGTAATCACACCATGTGTCAAACAACATAAAGTTCAAACTTGCTCCAAAACTATATTCTCAGGACAAAATGTAGTTAAAACCTAGGAATCCTCAGTAGATGGTTGGTTCACACCAACCTTCTCCAACAACTTACTTAAAGATGCGGGTGGACAAACTTGATACTTCACTTTCCCAGAAGGTGAGAGGAATACCTCAGCCAATTCAAGCTTCTCAGGAGTAAGACTTGTGCTGTCCATGGTTTTACTGAGCACCTTCAGTGCTAGCTGAACTCCCTCTTCCCTAGTCATATCATCCTTGTAATCCTGTTTAAGCATTGATTGAGCCGCTTGGTTGTTCGCACCAATCACTGCAGCTTTCCAGCCAGCATAGTTTCCACTAGGGTCACTCATGTAAAGTTGAAAACCGAAATTCTTGTCCCAACCCGCGAACAAAAACGAAACACCAAAGGGCCGGAGACCACCAAACTGTGTGTAGCCCTGCTTAGTATCACAAAGAGATTGAACAAGCTGCTCAACAGGCATTGGTTCTTGGTACGCAAACATATAGCGCTGAGCTTGGACCCGAGCAGTGTTTATCAGGATGTTGGCATCAGACATTATTCCAGCCACAGCACAAGCAACATGGTCATCAATCTTGTACATTTTCTCAGTGGAAGTTGTGGAGTGGAGGAGTTTGGATGTGACTTTCTTCTCACCAACTAAGATAACCCCATCTTTTGACAAAATCCCAATTGCAGTACCCGCATTTCCAATGGCCTCCATTGCATACTCAACTTGGTAGAGACGACCCTCAGGGGAAAAGATGGTTGTACGGCTATCATATCTCCTAGACATCTTTGATAATAACTGTGAAGGTTTGTGAAATAATGGTATTAAATTTTATCCTTTTTTTTCTTCTGAGATAAATGGTATTCAATTTATATAAGATGAAACAAGGGAAACCCAGAAATCCAAATATGAACACAGTTAAAAATTCCAACAGCTCAAGGTTTTCTACAATCTAACAAAGCCAAATAGCATAAGTTGGGCAGCATACATATGTGAAATACTGAAAAATCACAACTCAGATGCAATAAACATTCAAATCAATAATAATCACAAGACGCAAATTAAAAATGAACTTGGTCGAAATTGAGACAATGTAAGCAGCCCCATCGCACAAACTAATTGAAATGACAATCATACAAGAATACGGGTCTTACCCAGTTTCGCTTGCTCTCTCTTGGTTCAGATGCTTGACAAAGTTTACGCCTTTTGCCGCCTACTCGGCTCTCAGCTCCCTATTCTAGTATTCTTCTTCTTCCTCCTCAAGAAATAACCAAGGCTTTGTTTGCTCTGGCATCCGGGGCTCCGAGTAGGGGCCTTTGTAGAAATTGGGTCAAAACTCTGAGGCCGAAAGTATCGGCCTTTCTTTACACAGGTAGCCCAGACGTTGTTGCTTGCGCAGGTAACCCAATAATATTCAATTGTCCAGGCTCAACTATTTCAGTGGACCGGAGTGTTTTTCAGGTCGAAAGTGGACCGGAGTTAAGTCCAGATATGTGCTTTTAGCAATTTTCTTTTGGAGAAAAAAGAAAGGGATAAAATTAAGGGCTAACATTATTTTACCCCCTCAAGATTTGGGATCATTCTTAAAATGGGCTACGTGATTTTAATTTTGTCAATTTACGCCATAATGTTTTAAAATTCGACCAATTTACATGTTCTGTTAATTTGACCGCTTGGCCTTCTGGTAAGTGATGACGTGGCAAATGTGGGGTCCACCTTTTTAGCTTATGTGTAATAAAATATGTAAAAAATAATATTAACAAAATTCTTTACTTTTTAAGTTAATTAAAAACTTTAAAATCAATTATTTAAAACAAAAAAAGAAAAAAAAATCAACATTCCAACCAGAACCCCCAAGTTGTCACCAACCCTACCACTTAACCCTCTCTTCTCTTTCAACCCAGATCACCATTGCCTGCAAACAACCCATACCACCTCATAATTGCTGCCTACAAACAACCCAGACCATCTCACAACCACTGCCTGCAAACAACCCACTTTCCCTGTTCCCCAACCCATCGCACCCCATATATGAAACCATCCTTGCCCCCAAATCTGAAATCATCGCAGATGGAGCCTGCGCAGAGCATGGTGAAGTGGAGTTGCATTGAGAATACGAGTCGACGGCGTAGGCCCTATACCAATTTAATTGGATCTTTCCCCTTATATTTTTCACGTGCTTTTAAAAAAAATTCTTATAATAAAAAGAGAATAAAATTACAAATATATTCACATAACTAAGACTCGAACGTAAGCCCTGTACCAAGGGATATGCACTAAAAACCAACTCCACTAAATAAATTTTTGTGTCAATTTGTTGCACGTTGGAGTATATATACAGTTGTTATAATATTAATATAAAATTTATAAAATTAAAAAATTTAGGGGGTCCTAAAAAATCAGGGCCCTGTGCATTGGCGCCACTTGCACTATTCCAGGGTCGTCCCTTCCTAGTTGGGTTAATCCTAACTATCTCGTATATGGGAAGATAGTAAGGAGCTCAAGAGAGACCTATGTGCACCATGTTCAAACATGGCTTACAAACTGCTCGGGTTACGTGACTTGGTATGACTATTGTATGAATCTAGATGGTTGTTCCTCATTGTTTGAACCTCATTGGAGCTCTTCATTTATGTAGATGGACACTTATCTAAATTGTAATCCAATGTTAAAACAAACTATGGATTTATGCATGGTTTATTCATTCTAATCAACATTTTATTTTCAAACTTTTCATTAACGCGCATTACATACCACTTATATTTCATCATATGTATATCTTATTATTAGTAAATTTTGAGTTTTATTTGTTCAATACATTCATTGATAATGTACATAACATTTATGAAAGTTTTATACCAAAATTATGTGTTTCAATGCCTATATCTGTCTTTTTTTTTCTCGATACCTAAAAAGATAACGATATATCCCTCGAAATATTCATAAATTAGAGACCTGATGTTATTTTCATGACTGATATTTTAATACTTGGCCTTACCTCTGTGAGGTGAAGAAATTGGATTCATCACTATCCATGTTAAGGGTAATGATTAAAATATAGGTCTCAAGTAAATAGCTTAGATTTACAGTATGGCTCTCAACTGCAATGTTAAACCCTACATTAGTTATATTCATTTTATTTTTTTGTTCTAAATATAATATAGATAGTCTTTTCTATGGGTATCTATACATTATTATATAATATTTTAATTTCTTTTAGTCAAATATAATATTTTAATGAGTATATGTAACAATTAAAAAAGAGAACCAGTTTTTTTTTGCCAAGAAAAATGGAGAACCAATTAATCAATCCCTTATTTTGAGCGATAGGATTATTAGTGATACTAATGATGGTATGTTGCTATTTAAGGGGTTTTTTTATTTATTTAAATTGTATGCTTATTAGGCTTTAGGGTCTAAGTTATGAAGTGTAATAGTGATTTCTTATACTTATTCGACTTTAGGATGTAAGTTACAAATTCAATTGTGATATGAGTAATGTGTAATTGAACGTAATTTGTGTCGTTAGCATTTGTATTGACAACCATGCAATTTCCAAATAGTGGAAGGAATTTCAAAGAGACTACGCCTTTGTCAATGTTTCAGTTGTTAATGCATGTCCTAGAATTGTTGACCAATTGCACATCCATTGTAAATAATTGCATATAAAATTTCAAGACATACTGTGAACTCAAATGTAATTACTCATAATAATTGGATAATTGTAAAAAGACTATGCAATTGCACGTACCATAACGCAAAAACGGAATGACTCTATAGATTAATGACCCTGAATGTAGCAAATTGCCCATCCACTAAAAATAGCTAACCCATCCCCTCATTCCCTTCCCGACACCTCTCCCCATCCCCATTCCCTCAGCTCTCTCTCTCTCTCTCTCTCTCTCTCTTCGTCTAAAAGAAACACAAACATAAAAAATCAATCAAACCAAGACATCAAGAATCAAACATAGCTCCATCAAACCCAAACATGAAAAATCAATTAAACCCAAAAATCAATCAAACCCATCCCAGCTTCTCCATTTTTCACATATTTCGCAGGAGATGGAAGTTTTCATCAGCTCATGACTGCAACTTTGTGTGCATCTGCTCCATTTGGATTTAGTAGAAGGGCAGCAACTAGAGATTTAGTACAAGCCATAATAAATAATAGTTGAAGTTTAATGAATCAAAGGTGAATCAGATTTGGGGAAATAGAAGAAATCAAATAAATTTGGGATTTCTAAGAAGAGGGTTCTCAAGATTCAAGCATGTGAATAAGAGAAATCAGTCATGATACTATGTTAGAATTGAGCCAAACAGAAAGAAAATGAACTAGAGAGAAGAAGGGAAGGTGAGGTATTAGGAAGAAGGGGAAGGAGTGTCGTGAAGGAGGCGCGTCAATTTTTCCCCTTGCTTTTAACCTGTTAACCAACACAACCGTTTTCCCTTGTTTTAAAAACACCCCCATGTGAGTGGCTGTACCGGTACAGCTGATGCACCACAGAAGGACTCGTAAAACAATTGAGTGATGGGGGCCATTGCATTATTCCCCTTTGGATTTATGCATGCAGGAGGAGCTAGTAGGCTTCGTATTTATGGGTAGAATGGACATTATTGGACAACCTTAGGTATGCATCTATAAGAAAACGTCCAAAATCCATAATAAAGCTGGGGACGTACGTGGTGGTGCATGCATGTTGGTAGTTGATGTTGATATTTTATTCCCACCCAAAATATTACAAACGAATCAAAAAAATAACTCAAAACCAGTGCACACTCACGTCACGTGCTTCTGCAAACACAAACTAGTAAGCTATTCAAAGAGGACATAGCCACAGAGGGGGAGCAGATCGATGCAAATTATTAAGTTCTTCTTTAAGCTCAAATACTCAGCACCAACATGACTTAATAATTAAGATTACCACAGTATATCGATCTGATACACTATCAGATAAAAAAAACAAACAAAACAACAAATTACAGATATTGATCCCTCAAGAAGTAGTTTTCACTTCCAAGCTTTCACATGCTATTAATTATTAGCTGACACATATTATGCTAATTAATTAAACCACAGTGACCACTAATTGGGATATTTAGGACTGTGCTGTGGTGATGATCAACTTCAACTATGCAGGGCACTGGAATCCAGAGGGTGGAGTTTTCCCACAGTCAATCAGAACCTGAAGAGCGATGGGGATGATGATGTTGATGTTGAGAAGCTTAGCCTTGATGGTGGTGCAAAGGCAAATTGCAGCATCCAAGTCCACCAGCCCTTGAAGCACTGGACAGCATGCATCCTTGGCACTGCTGCCAATTCCAATGTGAATGAGGCCACCCAACACATCCACACAAGCTCCCAACTTGAGAGTGTCAATGGGACAGGTGTTCTTTGGTGGTGGTGATGGGGTCGGCACTGGTGTTGGTGGTGGAGGAGGGCATGGTGTCTCAGTGGGTGGAGGAGGCTTAACTGGTACAACTGGGGTAGGTGTTGGTGTTGGTGGGCTTGGTGGAACAACAGGTGGTGATGGTGGTGGCTTAACTGGTACAACTGGGGTAGGTGTTGGTGTTGGTGGGCTTGGTGGTACAACAGGTGGTGATGGTGGTGGCTTAACTGGTACAACTGGGGTAGGTGTTGGTGTTGGTGGGCTTGGTGGTACAACTGGGGGCTTGGGTACATATGGTGGGGGTTGTACAACTGGGGGTTTGGGTACATACGGTGGTGGGGGTTGCACAACTGGGGGTTTGGGGATGACGGGTGGGTGCACGATTGGGGGTTTGGGGATGAAGGGTGGGTGCACAATTGGGGGTTTAGGGATAAAGGGTGGGTGCACGATTGGGGGTTTAGGGATAAAGGGTGGGTGCACGATTGGGGGCTTGGGGATGAAGGGTGGGTGCACGATTGGGGGCTTGGGGATAAAGGGTGGGTGCACAATTGGGGGTTTGGGGTGGGGTGGTGGTTTGACAATAGGAGGCTTGGGGATGAAGGGAGGTCTCACAATAGGTGGTTTGGGGACAGAAGGAGGTTTTGGTATATGGGGAGGATATACAATGGGGGGTTTGGGGCCATGGGGTGGCTTGGGTACATGGGGTGGATGAGGATGAGGTGGCTTTGATGGTGGCTTGGGAACATAGGGAGGCTTTACATGAGGGGGATGGGGTGGTTTTGATGGTGGCTTGGGAACATAGGGAGGCTTTACATGAGGAGGATGGGGTGGTTTTGATGGTGGTTTGGGAACATAGGGAGGTTTTACATGAGGAGGAAGAGGTGGTTTTGATGGTGGTTTGGGAACAGAGGGAGGCTTTACATGAGGGGGATGAGGTGGGTGTTTAGGTGGTTTAGGGATGAAGGGTGGCTTTACATGAGGAGGCTGTTTGGGTGGCAAGTGTGGAGGGTATGTTGGTGGTGGACAGTAGGAGTTAGCAAGAGAAGTGAGCAAACTACCCAAATTCACAATGAGGACTAAGAGCAAAGCCAGGGTATAATTCCCCATGTTCAAAACTCCACAACCCTCACAAGAGTTGGGTTGTTTAAGACCGGATATTGAAACCCAACACCATGCAAAAGCCTTCTTATAGAGATATGGTGAGACAAGTTGTGAGTGAGTATGTACTAGAGAGAGAGACAGAGAGAGAGCAAAAACACAATCCCGTACCTTTCTTTGTGGTACCAACTAAAGATAAATAAAACTATTAATCTCTGTGCATAATTAATTAATTTGTCAAATTGCCAACATGCACATTGAATTTCGGTCTCTCCAAACTCCAAACTCCAAACTCCAACTTGATCAGTATCAAATTCACCACAAACAAAAGCGAGGAATTGAGTCACTTCCTTCCTTTACATTCAGAACCAGGTAGGGCACTGCAATCACTGACTTAATCTGTACCCAAAAGTATTCAGCTTTTAAGGAGAAAAGGATCAAGAAAACGCGGTTTTGTGATAGAGGCAAGTTTTAACATGTAGTGAGAGCCCAGCAAGTGACTATTCAACCCGTGATTGGGGTTTTGATGCCAAGCCACATGTGAGGCTTTCATTAACAACATTTTCTTGCATTAAAAAATTCTAAGGGGACAAAAGAAGCCTTAGACTTTTTCTACTTAAAGCATGTGGTTTTTCCTTTTTTCATTTTTTGGCGGTTTTCTCCCGAATAGACTAGTCCATTAATGCTGCAATTTTTTAGTACAAGAACCATTCCTATATGAATAGACCCTGCAATTGTATTTGAGTGTCGGCTATCTTAATTTTTTATTTTTTATACAAGCGATACTTTATTTTAATTTACTCTACACTAAAAAAATAGGGATTTAATCTCGAGTGAAAAGCGCATTCAGCCAACTTAATTAAGCTCATATGTGCAATTATTTTTTACAATTAAACTACACGATTTGATGTAGGAATTTTCCTTATACAATTTAACTTGCTTGCTTTGCCGCATGCAATTTCATTTCAAAAAAGTATATGCATGGCCTAGCCATCATGTCTTTCAAATCAACAGCTCATCATAGGGCATCTTTTTAAAATGAGGGTAATGCTGGCTTCACATGCGGCTACACAATAATTTCAAGAAATTATTAATCGTACCTAGCATTGTTAGCAAGACATTAGGGCTGTAATTATGTGAAAAGTGATGTTCGCCAAATCAATTATAGGGGAATGCTAATGAAAAATTGTGAGAAAATAAAAAAAAATACAAATGAATCCAAAGAAACATAGCCGATATTACATCATCAATTAGTTCCTCTTTGACTCATCACTCCCTCCCCAAATTTATTTCCCCCAAACAACAGTCCAATTTCAAACATTTTCAAACCCTAGATTGAGATTCCAGCCACACCCAATCACAATTTACAAACAACCAGCGACCCACTGTCACTAGGCACATCCTTAGCAACAAAATTTGACCAGTTCACTAGTCGCTAGGACTATGGTGGTGAAACATAGATAGAGGCGAAGATAGATGTGATAGATGAGGAATATAAGGATCCAAGAGGAGGAGATAGATATGAGGGAGATGGAGCAGATCTCAGATCTAGAGGAGAGAGAGGTGGGAAAGGGAGTTTGATCGTGAAAGGAGATAGGGGGAGGAAAGAGAGAGTGAGAGAGTGAGAGAGAGAGAGTTTGATCGTGAAATGTGAGAGAAAGAGAGAGGGAGGCTGTGCAAAAAAATAATAATAATTTTTCATGATAAGGGTAAACTTGTAAAGTAAAAGTCAACTTGTATGATATATTAGAGCACTTCCACCAGTTAGCCCCTTGCCATGGCAAGGGGAGCCCTAGGGCGGGTACTATTCACGTGAATAGTGGCTGCCCTAGGGCAAAAAAAAATTTGTGTTTCCAGCAATGCAAGGCTTGCCATGGCAAATACTATTCATTTTTTTTGTTTTTTTCACAACTTTGTTTACTTCAACAATTAATTTGTATAATATTTTCGGATAAGATTTTTGGGTTCCTACGTATGAAAAATAATTTTCTCAAGATTTTTAGCGGAGGTGCAATATTGACTAAGTATGAAAAATGGTTTTTCAAAATAATCATTTTCTCAAGAAAATTTTTGGCGGCTTTTATTCCTTACACATCAAATAAGAAAACTTGATTTTATGGGATTTTAATATGAAGTATATATTGACTTAATTAGCCATCATTTTTAGCCTAAATCGTATTTTGCACTAAAAACGATTTTTCATATTTTGATTTGGTGGGAATTTGATTTTCTAGTATTTTTATTTGAATCCAAATGGGGGGTACTTCCTTATTTACATTGTAAACTTAAGTAAATGGAGTAATATAAAAATAAATAAAAGTAAAAGGACAAAGACATTTACTTAAATGTTGAAAATGGAAATAAGGTATAGAGAGAAAAATAAATAAATAAATAAAGAAGAAGTAATTTTTTGGTATTTTTTTCAATTTTTTATTACAAAAATATTGGCTGCTGGTGTTAAAAGTGAAGAGTAAAAAATTTCAGTATTTTTTGGGTATTTTTTTCGATTTTTTTCATTTTTTTATTGGACAAAAAAAGCACTGTAGCGGGCACTGTAGCGGCACTGTAGCGCGCTGACGTCAGATTGCCCGGGCTGGAGCTCGGGCCAGCCTCCCCTTCGGGCCAGCCCAGGTAGCTGGGCCCCACTCCTTGCCCTGGCAGCTTTGTGTTGCTGGAAACAGCATTTTCCCCCAGCCCCCCCCCAGCCCTCCCCCCAGCCTGCTTGCTGGAAATGCTCTTAATGATATTGTTTTAAGTATAAAAAGAGAGATACGCGTCAAGAGGTAAAGAGAGATACGTGTCAAGAGGTAAAGGGAGAAGGTCCAAAAGAAATGTTAGAGAGAAGATTGTTAGCATTCCCTTCAATTATATATGGAGAACTTACTGCAAAACAACTCTGTGTGGAACCCATCTACTTGTTATTTGCCTTTTTTAGGTCTGAAGTCCATGTACTTGTTCACTCCACGCCATTGAAGTGTAGTCTATCTAAAACGGTAAGGGTGCCCTAGTTTAGGCGTGACAAGTACTATGTGCCGGGTTTTGGGTTTTTCTTTGTAGACAAAAACATATATAGAAGTATCTAAATAATAACATTTCATATCTACATTGTTCTGACTATTGAAAAATTAGACAAAGGGGTAATGATTATGCCAAAATGAATTTCAACATCACTTTCGACCGACAAAATTTCATTTGCTTATATCGGAAGCTCGTATTGAAATTTATTAATTTTAACAAAATTAAAATATGTCATTTGTCACGTCATTTGGTGAATAAGATTTAAAAAATAATAATAATCTTCCAGTGCCTCTATAATATTAAGGCATCAAATGGTGCAAATCATGACATCTTATTTGAATGTTCATTAACAGATCAAATCAAGGCATCGGATGCAAGTAGGGCGGTAGATTTTTTCCCCTTCCCAACCCAATAATATGAGTTAAAACAATTATATGTGGAACACAATAACACCGCTTTTAATCATTCTATCTAAAAGGGTACATGCGACAGCTGGCCAAGAGGTATATTCCATGTACACGAAATGTTACTTTCAACTACATGCCAATATTTCTACAGCGAAAATTCCAAATTCCAAATAAACATGCAAAAGGGAAATGAAATGTGATGTACCAGCTGTAGTGTCTGTTTGGATAGAAAGAAAAGAAAAGAAAATTCATTTCTGAGAGACCAGAAATTGAGTTTGTTGTCCTTATTTTCGAAGTGTCGCAATCAAGTTTTTTTGATCTGTTGATGAGTCATCCATTGTAGAAGAAATGGCATCCATCAAAACCTGCCACCATTAGAATCCATGCAAATCCATTTCTTAGAATGATATGAAGTCACTTGTGCAAAGCGACATATAAATTTAAAGGGAGATAAAGCCGATGTAATATATGTAGGGTCAGGCTAAGACTACTTTGTCCCCAAATCTTTAACCAAATCTAATTTAACACTAATTATTATTGCTCACTACATCAAGTAAGAAAGATAAATAGTATTTTTCGGTGTGAATGCATAAACAAATCTGTGGGTTCTTATTATTTCGGTGGGAGCTTACAGCTTAGCATATTAATCTCACTTCATATAAGAATTATTTCCAATCTGAGGTCTAATTTTTTTTTTAAAAAAATGAATATGGATTTGTAGGTCCAAATCAAAATGCAACTTGCTGACAAACACGGGCTTAGCCAAGTTGGCTAGAGTGAATGTGCTCCTCTCACTTTGCACCCGATTTCAAATCCCCGTCCTCATAATTTAGATTAGATCAAAGTAAAACATTGATTTCGCCACTTACTTACACTCCCTTTTACTTTTTAATCAATTTTTTTCTTTTTCCTATTCTACCCTTACCTTACATTGATTTCTTTTTACTTCACTTTTATATTAGTTCTTTTTCTTTACACTTAATTTTCCAACTTCTATTTTTAGTTTTTTTTTCCTTTAATCGAGTAAAAAATTAAGTATTTTTTTTCGTTTAATACTGAAAATGGAGTGTAAGTTGGAAAGAAAATAAAAAATATAAAGTGAAGTAAAAAAGAAAATAATGTAGGGTAAAGATAGAATAAGAAAAAGAAATAACAAAATTGATTAAAAAATATTAAAAAACAAAAGATAGTGTAAGTGGAGAAAAAAGGAGTGGGAAAATCAGATCCCTATATAAAAGCAATATGCAGCTGTATGCAGAAGATTTGGTTGAATTATTGCTCAATATAAAATAATAGGTAAAGTATCTTGATTATCTTTTTTCCAACAAACCTGTTCCCCCTATATGTGTCCATTGTTTATATCATAATCAATCAATTAATTGATTAACATCACCAAATTCTTGATACCTTCAGCAAAGACACAATATTTTCTTCCGGACATTTAGTTTGTCGTTTGAAGAAAAAGAAGAAGAAAAAAAAACATTTAGTTTGTCAGATCATATCTATATAGCATGCGTGTTCTGTATCCAATGCTGCAGTTGTCAAGCTCAATTAATTTCTTATATCATTTTATTTCTTCGAAGTCGAAACTATACATTATAATTATATGACGAGGATTTATATTAAAAACTATATAAGAATGGGCAAAATTTGGACCTACTTGGATCAACTGTAACAATCATGGCAGTCCCTCCAAAATCACAAGTGCCACCAGCAGCCCTGGTGCTCTGCCAGTAGCTGTTGAAGGCGTACGAAGCATGGGACAACAATGTGTCTGGCTTATAGCAGGACCCATTGGGCTGGATTGACTTGCAGTCTGCACCAGACCCACACGCGTAGTCCAGGGCCTCTTGGACTATTGGGCCAGGCACTGCGGGCTTGGCCACACACCACACCGCCCCAGACTGTGGTGGCTTTTTCTGTGGAGGGCTTGTGGGTCCTGATGGTGGAGGGTAAGCTACAGGTGGGGCCAAGGCTGGTGGGCCTGGGACAGGCTTGGGTGGGGATGGAGGATTTTTGGGTGGGCTTGGAATTGTGGTGGGTGGGCCAGGTGGGTGAGGGGTGGGCTCATTTGCAGGTGGTGGTTTTGGGATGGGTGAGCAAGTGGGTGCAGATGATGAAGGGGAGGAGGAAGATGAAGGAGTATTTGGTTGAGGTGGGTTTTGGGAAAATGGTGGATTTGCACAGTTAGGAGAAAGAGGGACATTTCCAGGCAAGGGAAGTGGTGCCAGTGAATCAAAGGGTGGGAAAGAGAAGGGAGGGCTTACCTCTAGTGGCTTAACATTTGAGGAAGGCAATGGTAAGTCTAACTCCAAGTGATTTATTGCTTTCAGCTTCTTCTCTAATTCTGTGTCTTGAGATTTTAAGAATTGTGCAAAAATTCTTGCATCTGCTCTAAAACAAAGTCACATAATAAGTTGTTAAAATTGTTCAAGTAGTGTGTCTTAGGAAAACCCAAATAAATAAATAAATAAATAAATTCTTGCTTACCACATAAAATGGAGAATGTTGTGAATGAAATGGAGATGATGGCCAATCTCATGTAAGACATTGTGGGCTGCATCTCTTGAAAAGCCAATGTGATCAAAGGCAAAATACCCAGAAGAAGCTGACTGAAAATTTTGTGCTTATTTAAATCATCCCTCAAGCAAACACTTGGGATAAGTATATATAGGCAGCTGCTTAGGCAGGCCAGAGATGTATGGGAGTGGTAACAAAAGGCGGTGGCCATAAAGGAAAATTATGAACATAGAGAGACTAAAGGAGATTCCTGTGTCACAACTTTGTAGCCTAAGACTCAAAAATAGTGTAAGATATGCAACATGCAGAGGATAAAGGTGAGGGAGAGAGACTGGAGAGTGTTGGTTTTGGAGAGGTGTACAAGAAACTTTTCTCCCTTTTGCATCTTCCTTTGAATATATTCTTGCTTGGCAGTGGAGAAATATGAACAGTGGAGTTTTCTGCACTTTTATTTGCTTGCTTTCCACTCAAAGTGAAACGAACTTCCATTCTCTCTCTCTCTCTCTCTCTCTCTCTCTCTCTCTCTTTCTCTCAGGTTCAACATTTCTCAGGAAGCTATTGTTATTAAATGGTTCCTTGGGATTAATATTCCAAAATAGTTTAACATCCTTTCCTGCCTTAGCAATCATATTTCACACACTAATGCATGTTTTTCAGCTCGATGTGGTATTAGTTGAACTTCAATATTACAGAACTCTAGGTTCATGCTCATCTCTGAACCTGAAATCTAGGAGTTTTTGTTTGGGAATGTAACCATGAAGATCAAAATATACCAAACTTGGGAACAAGAGAGCTGCATAAAACTTTTGCTCATCATCAAAGCTAAATGTTTCTTCGTAGTTTGAACATATTTCTTACTCTAGATATATTTCATTGCAGAACATAAGACTTTCAGTTTTAACTAAGAACAACTAAAAAGCCCGCATGAACTCCTTTGCTAGAATTTGCTGAAAAAGAAATTGTAATCTTCATTAAGCAGGCTTACATAGGTAAATAAATTGTGTATTGTTATTTTAAAACCTCCATGTCATCCTGTTTTTTTTAACTGTTTGGCAACACCAGTTTGCCATCTGGTATGTAAATCATGTTTCAGAGTTCACATTTAAACACAACCTTTAAACTTGGACAATAAATTATAGGACCGTTGCCAACGACCCGACGCCATCTATAACAAGTGTGGCTTGAAATGTTCTTGAATTTAGAAAGCAAATTTAAAAAGCTCCATTACTTAGCATGTAAGTTATGTTTCAGAGTTCAATTGGAAAAAATTATGCTATCGTTGGCAACGGTCCCTTGCCATCTATAACAATCCAGGCTTGAACTTTTGTTGAATTTAGGAAGCAATTTAATTAGCTTCATTACTCAAAATGCAAATTATGTTTTTAAATTTCAAATTCAAACATTAGGAAGCAATTGAATAAATTATCTGGCCGTTGCAGCGGTCCCCTGCCATATACGATATCTACTACCATTTTTGTAATCTATGACTTGAAAAGGCATAACAGGGCAATTAAGCTAACTCTAGTATAAATCTGCTCAATTGTTCAAGTTATCCATCATTGTGTGTTTGCTAAACCACAGCCTTATTCAGGACAATAAGAAATATGGCCGCAGACCCTTCCCAAAGGATGCTAATCACTAATAAGGGACCATGTGTCCGCTACATTGCTTGGATGAATGATTTCTGGAAGCTCAGCTTCACAGGTCATTACAAGCACGAATCAAAGACTGCTTCAGTAGCTTTACAAGGGCTCAGTCGACTGCATTTATGAGAGATCACAATGCTGTATTTAAAGCTGCCTTTGCGCAACATGTAGAAATGGTCAGCAGCTTTACAAGGGCTCAGTCGACTGCATTCAGCCGGGCCCTTGAATTTGCTAAACGTGAAGGTGTCGATTACCTTGAAATCGAAGGAAATCATCCGTTTGTGTTTCGGATGATGTGGGGCGACGTCACCAGAACTAGCTCTATGATCAGGGGCTTGTTAATAAACGCAGATGTGATTTAAGACAGCTTAGGAATGTGAGGCTCCGACACGTCAACATGTATGGTAATTTGGCTGCGAACTTGCTTGCGAGAATTTATTTGCAGCCTTAACAAGAGAGATCATGGTTTGGTGACCCTCCGGAAGAAATAAGTGGAATTCTAGTGAGGGATGTGATCGGTCATTGGATCCCTTTCTCGGACCTATGAGTGAGTCATCATTTGGATGACACAGAAGGACTTCGTAGGTTTCTTTCTTAAAGGAAAAATCTGTTAAGTTGCTTTTCTTTTTGGTTAAGTAGCAGTTTGCACATCTTTTATTTTCTGAAATGAAGTATTTTGAATTAGTGATTATTGTGAAGCCTTTGATTTGTCTAATCTCTTCCTTAAAGAATTAAGATGTGTGGACATGTAACTACTAAGAACAAAAGTCATCTGCTTAATCTCACATTTAATTTTCCTCTTCTTCCTTTGTAGTTTAATTGTATTCCCTGACCTTTCCGGTACTGACCACGACCCCTATATATCAAAACCAAGTTCAAAATAAGGGAGAATTTTTAAGGAGATATATTGATGACCTTTGGTGGAATTTTTTCTTAGTAGAACTTTTTTGTGGTTTTACTCAATAACCAAGTTACTCTTTTTACTCGATTTGGATTTTTGCCTATTTTGTCTAGAACCAATTACATTTGATGGTGGAACCAATTACCAAATAGTTTTTAGTCTAACAGTACTTTTCTTCTCAACATGTTACATTGATTCCGAACTCAATTTAATCACTTGTACAAATTACCTTGGTGCTGACATGCCCGTGTGCCTTCAAATGTTGAGGTCCAATAGAAAGTGACCGTGCCTTTTATCAATAAGGGAAATGATTTTCTCACACCAATTTTATCCACTTATACTCCTTTTTTAGTTATAAAATGGAGTGTAAGTGGATAAAATTGAAGTGGAGAAATCATCACTCTTAACAAACCCACATGCCCAACAAATAATATTTTAATAAAGTAACCTGCCTTTTAAGAATGTATCGTAGGATGAATTAATAAAGTACATGTGGTCGGGTTTGGGAATTGTTTGGGGAATCTAGAAAGTACAATTAAATGAATTTTCAAATAGCGAAATATTACAACATCACAGAGAGGTATTACATGATCTACCACTCTATTTATTCTGTTGCTGCAGTGCAGGTTTACAACTTATTGTTCAACAGAAAACACAAAATAACTTAACTTGAACTAAGTCCGTAATATAAAAAAGATAAAGAGGCCATGGACTGGAAACTCTGGATCCAGATGATGGAGGGATCAAGGGGTGTATGGCGTTGGAATAAGATACAGAGGAGCTTTCTTATGGACTGTGAGTCCGAACACTTCGGTCATGTTCAATGTGTCAACCAATTTAGTACCACCACTAGGCAACTTCCAATCGAACCAAAACAGTAGGTTGGCAAGCACATATTCAGCTGAAGCAATTGCAAAGGCGAGTCCGGGGCACACCCTTCTTCCACCACCAAAAGGGAGGAGTTCGAACTCTTGACCTACCAAACCGATGGAGTTCTCCTCAAACCTCTCTGGAATAAACTCTTCTGGCTTGTCCCAGACTCGGGGGTCTGTTTGTATTGCGAATGCATTCACAAACACCTGTGTTTTCGCAGGGATGTCGTAACCTCCCAATTTTACATCTGCAGTTGTTTCACGAGGAAGTAAAAGAGGACCTGGAGGATGAAGCCTTAGATTTTCTGTGATTACACATGACAAGTACTTCATTTCCTTGATGTCACTCTCGTCTACATATCCCCTTTTCCCTGCCACTCTTCTTACCTCTTCTTGGACTTTCTTCATCACCCGTGGATTTTGCGAAAGCTCAGACATTAACCATAGCATTGATGTCCAACTAGTATCACTTCCCCCAACAAACATGTCCTAAATCATGAAATTAACAAGCCAAATCAATCTTCATCCATATATATTTTTATTAGAAAATTAGACTTAAAACCAAAAGTATTAGGGTTTATCAATGTGCGCGTGTGTGCGGGTATGCTCGTGCCTGTTCAAGATAAAGTAAGTGAATGAGTATAATGTGAGTATAGTAAGGTAGGGAGGGGGGGGATATAGACCTGCATAAGTCCTTTGACATTGAACTCAAAATCGAGCGAGCCATCCTTTTCAAGGTCGAGGAGTAAATCCACAATATCCTTCTTACGAGGCTTACCATCTTTCTGCGCTGCTTTATGTTCGTCAAGCAACTTATCATAAAATCCATCCAATTCACTTCGAATTGATTTCAAACGTGCAATGTAGCCTCTGGCATGGTCAACCCATTTCAAAGAAGGGTAGAAATCTCCAAAGCTGAAAGTCATCATCTGAACCATCAACTCCTTTATGACCTTTTCAAACCAATTGTCTTCTTTGTCCTCAAACTTCTGTCCAAGGACGCACCTACAGATGATGTTGTTGGAGGTTGACACCAGCAGCGGCCCCAGATTGATGGGAGCCCCTTTTGTGCTGGCGGAGGCTTTGCGAATCTTGCTGACCAGCTCTGCACATTCTTCCACCCTTGCGTACTGAAACTGCTGCACTCTTTTCACGCTCAGAAGCTCAAGAACAACAACTTTTCGAGCTTTTCTCCAGTACTCCCCATAAGGAGCAAACGCAACGTTATAGCCGTCGAAGAACAATATAGTTGCAGCTGTAGTTTGAGGCCGGCCAGAGAAACCAATGTCTTGGTTCTTCATCATGTCCTTGGCCAGTTCTGCAGATGAAACTACCAGCGTTGGAAGTTTGCCAAAGTGCATGAGCATTATATCGCCATAGTTCTTCGACAGATCACAAAGAGAGCGGTGTGGGAATTTGCCTAGCTGGTGAAGGTTCCCAATCAGAGGCAGTGTTGGTGGGGAAGGTGGCAGTTTGTAGTTTTTCCCACTTGAAGATGATCTTGTAAGTGATATCAGAATGTATGCAGAAAGCAAGAGAAGAGGAAGCAGGAAAATATTGCTCTGAAGAAGCTGTTGCCACATTTCATTGAAAAGTGATAATGCAGCCATTGTTCTACTTTTTGCCTTTTGCTTTTGGCTGCTCACATTAAATTAATATATGTGCCCTTCTTCTTCTTCTTTATATAGAGAAGCTGGCATTGCAACTTGCATGCGCCTACAAGTTAGTTGTGATCAATTTGTGATGTCCATGCCCCCCAATTATTTATTGGGGTGTTCCGATATAGGTTCAATTTTAAGTTTGCACTATGAACGCAATTCACCTCTCTTTTGACGTAGAATTGGGTACAGCGACTCAACATGCCAGCCAAGTATGCAAAGCATTGGCCATTATTTTAAAAACATTTACACATATTGCCATTGTACAATCAATCCTCTAAATTTTATTAATGACTGCAATCAATAAATTAATATCACATTTCTAAAATTAATCTCAATTTATCAAACGCTTTCAATATTTCAATACCTTATGATGAGATATATATGTCTTTGGGTGGTTTGATTTACCTGCTTTGCAAGTTTGTGTGTACCTCCTTTATAGGTAATTTCATATCATATATCTCCTCCATAGGTAATTAATATATACTTCCTCTATAGATAAATAGCATTCGTATGTATACCTCCTCTATACCTCCTCCATAGGTAATTTACCTATCCATACCTAATTAACATTCATGTATATTCCTAGTCCATAGATAATTATGCCTCCTCCATAGGACTGTAAGAAGAAAAAGAAGGAAGAAGAAAGATTATAGGAAATTGATTGATTTATTTATTGTATCAAGGCATGTTTATGGGATTTTCAAAATTAAAATGGATAGAAAAGAAATTTTTTTTATAAATTCAAATCATAATTAACTAAAAGGTCAAATATAGTAATTATTGGCCTAAAATTAATTTCTTACCCGTTTATGAATTGCAATCAGAATCAATAGTTGTATTAATTAGCAAATTATTATGATATAAATCAGTCTTCCCGATTTAAATCATAAGGGCATAATTGGAACATGAAAATAAATGTAAAAAGAAAAAATATGTATGATTACATCATAAAATTAGAAAATGAATGTAATCCTATGTGGCATTAGAAGAGGACTTGGATTACTAACAATACATGTGTGGATTGCACCCAAATTCTATTGGAGAAATTATAGAATGATATGGTAGTACCACGTCAGCGTATAGTACTCCAATTCAAATACAGCCACATGTCCATTTTAGGAAAGAAATTAATTATCGTTTCACAATTGGACTTTTTGGTTTAATTCTTAACTTTTGAAATAAAATTAGAAAAAGAAAGAAAAAGAATTTCCTAACAGCCAACTATCTCCTAACTCAACACCAACCCTAATCCCAACTACCTGCTATGATGGCCACCCCTCTCCTTCCACTATCTTCACCCCTGATACTAATTGTGAACGGGGGGTTTTAGAGGAAGGAGGATTAAACTGGTATTGATGATGATGAAATGGAGTAGTCTTGATAATTAAAAATTGGTTCGTTCTTGAGGGTCTAGATCTGGGTATGAAAATATTCCAAGGTGGCAGTGGGTTGAAGCTGGTGGTGGAATTAACATTGTGTAGACTGTCATGAGAGAATTTAAAATATATATATATATATATAGGGGAATTAAAGAAGATGATGATATTATTGGGTTTGGATGTTGATGGTCTTCATGAAGAGCGGCGATGGCAGTGGTGAATAGAAAGAGAGAGGAGAGGAAGAGGGAAGAGAGAAGGGTGGCTGCCATGGTTTTTCTTTTTTCTAATTTTATTTCAAAACTTAAGAATTAATAAAGTAAAAAGTTTAGCTGTAAAATAATAATGAATTTCTTTTATAAAATGGACACATAGCCATATTTGAGTGGGAGTACTATACGCTAACGGAGTAGTACCGTATTATTCTATAATTTCTCTATCATCAGATTGTCAAGATGCACATTGAATTGAGGTCTCTCCAAACTCCAAACTCCAACTTGATCAGTGTCAAATTCACCACAACAAAAGGGAGGAATTGAGTCACTTCCTTCCTTTACATTCAGACCCAAGTAGGGCACTGCAATCACTGACTTAATCTGTAGCCAAAAGTATTCAACTTTTAAGGAGAAAAGGATCAAGAAAACGCTATTTTGTGATAGAGGCAAGTTTTAACATGTAGTGAGATGCCAAGCCACATGCGAGGCTTTCACTAACAACATTTTCTTGCATTAAAAGAATCTCTATGGGGACAAAAGAGGCCTTAAGACTTTTTCTACTTAAAGCATATGGTTTTTCCATATGAATAGACTAAGAACCATTCCTATATGAATAGACTCGTGCAATTGTATTTGAGTGTCGGCTATCTTAATTTATTATTTTTTATACAAGCAATATTCAACTTTAATTTAATCTATATTATAGGAGAATAAATTTGAACTCGGATGCAAAATGAGGTGTACATTCATTTTAGTCAACTTAACAAAGCCCATAGGTGCAATTATTTTTTACAATTAAACTACTCAATTTGATGTAGGAATTTTCCTTATACAATTAAATTGCTTGCTTTGCTGCATGCAATTTCATTTCAAAAAAGTATATGCATGGACTAGCCATCATGTCTTTCAAATCAACTGCCCATCATAGGGCATCTTTTCAAGAAATTATTAATCGTGCCGAGCATTGTTCGCAAGACATTAGGGCTGTAATTATGTGAAAAGTGATGTTTGCCAAATCAATTATATAGGAAGGACCTACTGCAAAACTACTTGTTCTTCGTTTTTTTGGGTCTGAAGTCCATCTACGTGTTCAGTCCACGCCATTGAAGTGTAGGCTATCTAAAATGGGAAGGGTGCCCCAGTTTAGGCGTAAGTACTTTTTGTTTTGTTTTGGTCGAAAGGCGTAAGTACTATGTGCGGGGTTTTGGGTTTTCCCTTGTAGACAAAAACATTGAAGTATCTAAATCATAATTGCTCTGACTATTGAAAAATTAGACAAAGGGGAAATGATTCTTATGCCAAAATGAATTTCAACATCACTTTCGACCGACAAAATTTCATTTGCTTATATTGAAGCTCGTATTGAAATTTATTAATTTTAACAAAATTAGAATATGTTATATGTCACGTCATTTGGTGAATAAAATTAAAAAAAACCTCTTTCGGTGCCTTTATAATATTAAGGCATCAAATATTGCAAATCATGACTTCATATATTTCAATGTTCATTAACAGACCTTCATACAATCAAGGCATCGGATGCAAGTAGGGTGGTCCCTTTCTCAACCCAATAATATGAGTTAAAACATTATATGTGGAACACAATAACACTCCTTTTAATCATTCAATCTAAAAGGGTATATGCGACAGCTGGCCAAGAGGTATATTCCATGTACACAAAACTACATGCCAATATTTCTACAGCGAAAATTCCAATTAAACATGCAAAAAGAAAATGAAATGTGATGTGATGTACTACCAGTAGTGTATGTTCGGTATAAGTCCAATTCTTATGACAGAATTTGAGTGCAATCCACACATTTGTTTTTAGTAATTTAAGTCCTTTTACTTTTGTGTCATGTAGGATTACTTAACTTTTTTTAAATTCTAAGGTTTATATTTTATTTTCTTAATTTTTTCTTTTATATTGTGCTTCCAATTTTGCCCCTAAGATAGAAATCAGATATTCTAAAAGACAGCAAATTATCAAAAATCGCGTTAAACAATCTTCAGACGCCAAGAATAGAAAGAATCGCAAAAATCATATATTTCACAATCAATTATGGTCCTATCAAGCTGATTTTTGCAGATTTCATGCTTCTTAATTGCCGAGGGTTTTGGGTTTCATTTTAGAGTTGAATTTGCCTTTTGTCTTCTTCAATGTTTAGTTCCCTTTTTATACATATGAGTTATGTAATGAGAAGTCTGCTATTTGTATTGTAGATTAATCTTAACTAAAAGCATCTAAAAACTCAGCTGGAACAGCAGAAGTCCCCAACTAGCTATGTAATTTGGTGATACAATGTTGGATGCATTGTATGTTATAGGTTATTTATCAAATTCATAAAACTTTCTAAATGTAGAAACTTTACTGAGGAGGTGATGGTGATTGCGTGAATTCATTTGTTGTTTTTGTCTAGAGTTATGATTTGTACTAGCCCAGATTTGTTTTGTGCTAATGTCATGATCTGTACATATATATTGCATTTAATTTTTCCTTTTTCCCACCTGCATGTTAATAACTTAAGATTATACTTGTGAGTTTTACAGTCATGTTCTTGTTTTGTCCAAGCAGTTATGTAAATCTTCATTTGTGCCTTCATTATTGTAGGGGCTTTTTTGTTCCGGCAGCTACTGATGGGTCTGGGCCACTGTAAAGAGCCAAATGTATGAAATTGCCCCGAGTCTAAGTTCAAGAATCATACCCCAAGAGTGCTTTGAAAGGGTAGCTGAGCCTTAGGAAACACCTTGGTCTTCTTCACCAATGAAACCAACAGTTACTTACAGATAAATTCTTGGCTTGGCTTGAAAAGCTTGTGACATGGAAGCTAAGCATTCATGAGTTTAGCATGACAGAGAGAAAGACCAGGCTTTCTACGAGAAACAGAGGTTGGTTAAAGCAAAGGATTTCGTGAGGATTTGCTTAGGAGAGAGAGAGACAGAGATTAGGGTGTAAGAATGGGTGCTTTGGGTAATTTGTCGGTAGCTTGACGAAGGGTTCGTCAGGCTCTGGAATGGTTTGCCAGAGGAGAAGATGGGAAGAGACGGAGGAATATGACTCAAAATTGAAGGGTTCTAAGGATGAGAGGTGATGCTTGCTATCTCTGGATGTGGGTTGAGATAATGGGTAGAGGATACCCCTATTTTATAACCGTTGGAAGCTCTTTCTTCTTCTTCCTAAGAAACCCTAATGGGTTCTCTATAATTTTGCTAAGTCTTCTCCTCCATTTCTCTCATCTTCCTTCAATTCAACGTCATTTTGTGAAATCATCCTTAGTTCAAACACATAGAGACAATAATTTTGGGAGCTCTAGAGCCTTCCCGCAACAGTTCCAGTGGCAATCTCCTATCTTTGGTT